TGTTGTATGTCACATGTCTGTTTACTTCCAGCACAGTCTGCTGGGAACTTCCGTTGTATATGGCTTTTGCCTGTGCTGTTTGCTTGGACATGAAGGGAAGCAGATATGTTTTTCCTTTGTCCCGATGCTGAATAAATGCTTGTAAATATGCTTACATGTGCCTCTGTTGTGGGGGAGGAAGAGAAAGGAGAATGTTAGCCACTTTGAGACTCCTTTGGGTAGTGATAAAGCGGGATATCAAATCCAAATTCTTCTTCTTCTTCTCTGTCCGCTACTTCTGTTGCAAAGAGTTCTTATCTTCTGGCTTGCGTGCTCAGTCTCTAAAGGTCTCTGAGGCTTGACTCGCAGTTTTGATGCTGTTCCAAGAACCGGAGTTCGCCCAGCTGCCAATTGCCCCCGTCTTCCCAGACGCATCCCAGCAGAGTGATGGGCCATGTGGATGCGCCGGGAGGTCGAGGAAAGGGCTGAAAGGGAAGCCAACGGCAGCTGAAGTGGGACACACACACACACACACACACACAAACAGAAAGCTGGAAAAATCCTCCAGTTGCCATACATGTGGGAAATTCTGGACATCACTTAAAATTCAAAAAATTCTCCCCAATCACCATTTTAGGCATCCGATTTCTGTACACGTCCAGAATTTTCCGGACGTATGGCAAGCCTATGTATCATCACCATCAAAAAAAGGACCAGCGAGAGAGGCAAAATGTGCCCTCCCAAGTAGGTTCACCAATTTACTGGTGTTCATAGTATCATAGGATCTTGGAGTTGGAAGGGACCCCAAAGGTCATTCAGTCCAACCCCCTGCAATGCAGGAATCTCAGCTAAAGCATCCATGGCAGATGGCCACCCAACCTATATGAGTTACTGTCTGAAAGTGCAATGTGTAGAGTACACAGAGATACATTATGTTCCCCCCCAAAAAACCTCATAATCCTTGTAATATATAGACACACCTTAAAATGCTTTGCCCTACGCATATATTTTTAGTACATAAATGAAAATTAGTGTCTTGAACAAAGATACACTAGTGGAAATTCATCATTAGAAGTGCAGTAAAATTTGTAATACATAACATGCTGACTTTATGCTTAGCAATGCCTTAAGTATTCGCTGATGGAAGATTTATTTATTATTTTAGCAATATCATTCTGCATAAAATGTACCTTGCCATTTTGTAACCTGTCATATACTTGGCTTTCACAGGCAATTCTATAAATTGCTGCTCCTCTGTAAATGGCTACATTTTTTTAAAGGGACATTTGTCTCGCTGCGGTAAGTTTTTGGATTTAGAAATACAAAAGTTTGACTCCAACTTTTATCCATTCTAGCACAATGGTGGAATGTGCCATGCTTAACATTGAGCTTTTTTTAGACCAGGCATAGGCAAACTCAGCCCTCCAGTTCTTTTGGGACTACAATTGCCATCATCCCTGACCACTGGTCCTGTTAGCTAGGGATGATGGGAGTTGTAGTCCTAAAACATCTGGAGGGCCAAGTTTGCCTATGCCTGTTTTAGACAAACCCCAAAGCTGTTGGCCAAAAACCTGCAATTTTTCAATTGACTTTCCTAGGATCCAGGATAAACCACTGTCTTTCAGAATGCTCTCCCTGTTTTCTGCAAAGAAACAGAAGTGAAAGCTAAGTACTGAAGTTTTGAAATACCTCATTATCCATAAATATATCATGTGGAACAACATGCATATACCACTTTGGGTTCCATGACAAAATAAAAGTGGGGTAGAAATGTAAGAAAACAACTAGCTACCTGTAACTAACAGCTCTGAACATTAACCTGTATGCAAAGTGACCTTTGGTGCATAGTGTGAACATGCAAGTCCATCCTTATAAATTTTTTTTCATGGCTTATATTATGTGATGTCGATAATTCTGATCTACTGCTGTCTCATGCTTGACAAGTCTGGATGGGTGTGATTTACAAAACTTTGACTGAACCCTTAAAGAAAGCTTGGGTTATGCGGTTCTAGTAATTTCACCTGGGACAATGCCAAAAAGTTACAGACTCTGAGAAAGGTGAAAATCTCCCTACAAAAAAAAGAAAAAGAAAAAGAAACACAATTAATGCTGTCTCAACATTGTTAAGCTGCTCCAAAAGCGTTTGCAAACAATATCCCTCCATTTCTCTGCAGGATGCCAATAAATGGGGGTCAACATTAATCCAAGGAATTTGAAATATAGCAAAAGTAGAGGCTCATTTACTACATTTTATGGGGTTTCTTGAGTCTCCAAGGGGCACTTTCCCTTTTTATAATGTGGAACTGTTTCGTTTTGGCTTGTCGATTTACTGCTGTTGACTCAAGAAAAGAAATGGGAGAAATTGAGTGCCAATTTCTGTTTGCTAATTCTGTGAAAATATGCTTAAACTAGCAAGGATTTGTAGTAGAATTCAACAGATTAGTATCTGGGTCAGTGTTTTGAAACCTACAGTAAATGCTGAGTGACTTAGTTCTGCACCTCATCTCTGTTGCTAATTCCCTCTGTGTGCACTATGAAGCGTGTACATGATGGTAAACGTATGGCAGTAAAATAATACATTGTTGCCTTTCTATTACAGACTATGGATTGGATCCACTACATGACTGCATGAAGCTTTTCCATAAGTTATGGTGCATTTCATTTCATTTTCACGTCATTTTAAATTTACATACCGCAAATTAATTTGTGTATACACAAAATAGACAGAAAAGGACACACACCTTAAAATAATCTGATCCAACACAAAAAGCCAGAATACAATGGAACAACTTATATCAAATAAAGTGATATTCAATAACATATTAGAATATAATAGTACACAATAAAATGAACTCTCAAAATATCAGCAAATAATAATTAAACAGAAATTCATTCCTAACAATTACAATAAATAATTACTAAACTATGAACTTCAGCTCCAAGTGAGGGATGGATGAATCCTTCGATTCCGATTTCTCTCAGTTTCCCAGTGTGAACTTCGGCTCCTGAAAATTCAGCATAGGTTTGCATTTTTTTAAAAAGAGAAGCCCTCAAAAAAAATTTTTGGCATTTTAGTGCACATTGCTCATAATATACACATTTTGGCCAGCAATTTTGGCTTCTAGAATGCATTTTTGCATGTTGTTTTACCAACATATGCATATTTAGGCATACATTCCCCATAACGCATGCATTTTTGCACACATTTTTAATCGGAGAATTTTGCATTGCAAAATTCAGACAACTGTTAATTTTGAAGGATACCCATGTTGTTTCAGGGAGCACAAATTACTCAGATTTGCATTAAAATGCAAACTGAACTGAAGTTCTCCTCCATCCTTAGTACAAGGCTACGTATACATATATGTATGAAGAAAATACGTAATACATGAGGCGTTATATTGCAAGGTCCTTTGAGAAATGCTCTGTATCTCTGTACAGTCTGCACCTGGGGACATATTGCAGCCTTGTGGGGGAATCCTGTTAGCGGTGGCGGACTTAGCAGGGGGCCTTCAATCTTAAGCTGGTATGGGGCCCCCTTTGCAACAGCCTTTACAACATCTATGCTACTGACTCTCAAACTTTGGGATTGTGGACCCAACTTTTTAAAAGCAATGTGGATGAAAATCACTTCTGAGTCACCTCCGCAATTAGGGTCTCTGAAGCTTAAGCTTCCTTAGTTTTAGAGTATATCGGCCCCTGCCTGTATTGGAGGGTGAGAAAGAATATTTTACCCTCACAATAACCATGTTCCCAAACAATTTACTTTTCACCACAGAAGTGGATGGGAATGATTCTGGTACAGGGAAGAAAAAGATATGCTTGGAGACTCTATTGGAATGGAAGTGAAACCTTCTCCTTCACCTGGTGACCCCACCTATGTAGAATCATAATTTCATAATTTCATCTGACCGGTGACTGGGAGCAGCCGCCAGGACCATATAACACCGGTTCTGAAAGACCTACACTTGCTCCTAGTACGTTTCTGAGTACAATTCAAAGTGCTGGTGCTGACTTTTAAAGCTCTAAACAGCCTCCGCCCTGTATACCTGAAGGAGCATCTCCACCCCCATCGTTCAGCCTGGACACTGAGGTCCACATCCAAGGTTCTTCTACTGGTTCCCTCACTGTGATAAGTGAAGTTGCAGGGAACCTGGCAGAGGGCCTTCTTGGTAGTGGCGCCCTCCCAGTGAGATGCCCTCCCATGAATGTCAAGGAGATAAGTAACTATACAACCTTTAGTAGACATCTGAAAGCAGCCCTGTATTGGGAAGTTTTTAATGTTTTATTATGTTTTTGTATATGCTGGAAGTTGCCCAGAGTGGCTGGGGCAACCCAGTCACAAATGTCACAAATGGGGTACAAATGTAATCATCTCAAGGCCACTTTCTTTGTGATCTAGCATCTGATGGAACGTTGAGAGTGACAAAATGCCAAGAACTGGCTTTGGCTAATTGATTTAATTCTGTGGTGTTGTGAAACCAGCACCTACTCCATTTTTACTTCTGCGGGCTGAACTTTTTGGCCAAATATTGGCTGGTGATGAGCATGGAACAGGGGAAAGTTAGGGGAACATCCTTCCCTGTGTCCAAGACACCCCTTTCAGTAACGTTTGCATCTCCCCCACAAAAAAGGTGCAAATGTATATGCAAGGATATAGCTGATGTGAGAGAAGGCAGGGCATAAGCTGGTGCACCCTCCCCCAGCTTGTTGTAAATAACTCCAAGGAAGTAAAAGTGAATCAGGGCAAAAAGCGCTGCTGGATGGCACTGGTGGGCCATGAAGCTACCAGAAGAGCAGGGAAAGACAGGGAAAGACAGGGGGGTTGGCCTGGTTGCCTGGGCAATGGGGATGTGTCTCCCCCTCCCCCATTCAGAGTGAAGACAATAGGATGGCTTTGTATGTCTTCAATGACTTCATCCTATGTGGCGCTGTGACATCACCCAACCAGGGACCATGTAATGAACAAGATGAAGGAGCCCTTTTAGTTAAAAAAAAAGGAAGAGTCCAAGGAGCAGCAGATGGAGAACGATGGCTGCAAAAAGGTGATTTATTTATTTTTTAAATAAACATGTGTGTTCTGAAATGGCAGCCGATGCAACTTGAAGCCATGCAAAAAAGCACTAGTAGTGTAGAATTCCTAGATCTCCTGAGATCTGGGTTTCGATATCATTCTGTGGCTTGCAGATGTCTGTGGTGGAAAGATCTGGTAAAAGATGAACTCTCTCTTGTTCCCACTTACCAGTGGCTTTTCCAGATAAGGTATCTTTTTAAAAAAATATTGATAACAGCATTGTAATGATAATCCCATCCCCATGTTTTATGCATGCTTCTGAGCACAATTTAAAGTCCTGGTGCCTAAAGTGCTGGTGCCCTGTAGACCTGAAGGAGCATCTCCACCCCCATCCTTCAGCCCGGACACTGAGGTCCAGCTTGAAGGGCCTTCTGGCTGTTCCATCACTGCAAGAAGTGAGGTTACAGGGAACCAGGCAGAGGGCCTTCTCAGTTGTGGCACCCGCTCTGCGGAATGCCCTCCCATCAGACGTCAAACAGATAAACAGCTATATGACTATTAGAAGACATCAAAGAGATGAGTAACTATATAACCTTTAGAAAGCCTCCAAAGGCAGCCCTGTATAGTTTGATATTTTACTGTGTTGGGTGTTTTAATCTGTTGGAAACCACTCAGAGCGGCTGGGGCAACCCCATCAGAAGGGTGGCATATAAATAAAAAGGTATTGTAATATTATTATTATTATATAAGGAGATGAGGCTAGCTTTACAGTCTGAATGTGATATCAGGGTTGAGACAGACTTAAACAAACAAACATAGGAGGTGGGTACTGTGTTGCTGTGGAGGGTGAATGGATAGCTTTAAAACAAGCAAGCAAAGCAGCAAGGGTATATAGCCAGACCAGCTTGTGAAGCTCCAGATCACAGGAGTGTCAGCTTGGTTCTGCAACTGTGGGTGCCTGAGGCTGTGGTTACCATGCAGCATGCATGGCCCTGGTGCTGAAAGTTGTGGGTGCCCGGCCCCTACATGGGGAATTTTGTGGGTGCTCGGGCCCCAGGGAGTCGGCACCTGTGCCAGATCACATGCTAGCACCTCAATTAGTGCCAATAGTACTAAGAGAGCTGAAGTGTATGTTGCTGTTGTTAATTTTGCTGTCTGGTCTTTGACCACAATAAAGATTGATTGATTGATTGATTGATTGATTGATTGACTGATTGATTGACTGATTGATTGATACGAAGAGAGCCATCTCCTGAAATAGAAATGAAAGGTGCTTCCTCTTTGGTCTGGGAACTGCTGCTTTCTTCAAACTTCTGTTGGGGTTTTGATTACAGTATAAACATGATCACCCTGTAAGGGAAGGTGATATTATTAGCTTGGGGTGATATTGTTAGCCTGATTTAATTGCAAACCTGAGGTTTCCTAGTGCAACTACAGAATGTGCAAGAGTTCCTAGGACATGTAACAGAAATTCAAATTCTTTATTATTATCCTGAATACACACATGAGGAAGTGAAATCTCTCCACCAAATACAGTAGTCATCTGTGATGTCATGGATTAAGAGACCCTTTTTGGATTAAAAAACTCTGCTCAGCCATAAAGTTCACTGGATAACCTTTGACAAATATCTCTCCATATCATGGAGCTGTAAAGAAGTACATTGATACAACAGACATTACTGATAATAACCAAAAGAGGAGTTTGGGAACATCAAGTATACACTCATATAGTACTAGAGATTATAAGATTCAGTGAAATAGACATAACCAAGATTTTAAGATATTTATGTATTGGAGCGTAATACAGAATGATGACTAGTTTTTGCCTTAAATCCTCTCTTTATGTTCTGTGAGGCAATTCCACCCTAAATGTTGCATAGATTGTCTGCAATTAAGTCCTGAGATTTCAGGAGGATATACTTTTGAGCAATGAGTTTCATATCAGAGTGTATGTCCGAGTCTGTAACTGAAAAGTTGCGTGAAGAATAGATTAGGTTAACTGCACTGCATCCAAGGTTCCTTTCTGAAGGCGTTTGAGATGAGACGTGTCACTTGTGAGTCACACTCAGAGCTGGATGTTGGCCCATTATCACAGAGACTCGGCTGAGCAGTTGTTGGAGTCAGCAGAAATGAGAGGGCACTCTGGGGCTGATTGATGGGAGCTCTCCTGTATGTGAGAGAAATAAGCTGCCTGCAGAGAGTCTCTCAGGCAACCTCAGGGTTTTTTGTGTTTTAATTGGAAGAGGCCTAGTTGACAAAAGTCAAAACCGGAGAAGGATTATTTGGCTAACCTTAGAGCCCAGCACGAAGCAGAACGGGGAGAAAGTTTCTCTCTTTCCCTAGCTTTACCGCTGCATCTGGGTGCTTCTGGTTTTAGCCATGGCTCAGTTAAAACACTTTGCTTTTCAATTCTAGGAACAGCAATTGGGCTTTCTTGCTTGCTTTGCAGGATACTTCTGCTATGCTTTTATTGTCTCCCCAAAGAGAATTCTGAGCTTGGGGTTCATCTGCAGGGGCTGTTTCACCCAAGGTGCGTCTAAGGGGCAACTTATGAAGTCTCCCACACACACACACACAGATTGTCCCCATTAGTCCTCCATTTCCAGGACTTGTGTACACCCAAATAAATGAGTAGTTAATTAAAATAGCAATAATTTCCTTCACAACATTCCTTGAGCTGTTATTTCCGATATCTCAGGATGTATTGCCACTGAAGCAGTGAGGTGAAGCTGTCTCCCAGCTTTGCTGAATGGAGTTTAATTCTGAGTAAACAGTAGAGAAGGATCTTGGCCATGAGAACAAGCATTGATGGTCAGGCTCAGGACTGGAAATGGAGCTTAGTATTGGTCATCCGAAAGCAGGGGTAGGCAACCTAAGGCCCATGGGCTGGATGTGGCCCAATCGCCTTCTCAATCTGGCCCATGGACAGGCTGGGAATCAGTGTGTTTTTACATAAGTAGAATGTGTCCTTTTTTTTAAAATGCATCTCTGCGTTATTTGTGGGGCATAGGAATTTGTTCATTATTTTTTCCCAAAAAATATAGTCCAGCCCACCACATGGTCTGAGTGATGGTGGACCGGCCCACAGCTGAAAAAGGTTGCTGACTCCTGCCCTGAAGCAGTGTTTCCCAAACTTGGGTCTCCAGCAGTTTTGGACTACAACTCCCATCATCCCTTGCTAGCAAGTCCAGTGGTTAGGGATGATGGGAATTGTAGTCCAAAAGCAGCTAGAGACCCATGTTGGAGGAGCACCGCCCTAAAGGATGGGTGAGCATTAGAAGCCCTTTGGATGTGAGCTGGAGAAGAAGCTGGAGAAGACTTCCCAGCTAAAGAGCTGCTCTTGGGAAAATTGGAACTTGAGGCAAAAGCCCACCTACCACAACAGATGCTCTTTACTCCAGATATCCCCCCGTGTATGTTGCTGCCCCTTCCTTGCAGGCTGCTCCTGGAGAAATGTCTGTTGCTTTGCTAGGTATGAAGTATGAAGCAAAGGTGCTAGGTGAAGTGTGGAACGAAAGAACTGATTCCAGGAAATCTGAGAGTGAGGGGCCAAAGACCTCCTCTGCAGGGAACCCTCATAGTCCAAGGTCTTCGTACTCCATTTTCTCCAGGGTCAACACTCGAGTTTGGCTCCCTATAATATCAGCAATGCTGATATTATCTGTTGCTTTGCAAAGCCAGACCTTTTGGCCAAGAGGATCCCCCACAAGAGTTGGGCTGATGGCTCTGACTCCAAATTTTCTTGGGCCTACTCTTCAAAGCTGAATCCTTTCCTTGCTGAGGTCTGCCTTGAACAGCTGCCCAGACTGCTTCAGCAATGAACCGAGCTATGTAACCATTTGGAAATAAATAGCTCAATTGCTTTCTTTGCCAATCTGATGTGAGCCGAGGGAAGCTTGTCCATCACTAATTTCTGGGCAACATTGCCAGGGCTTTTTTTCCCAGCCGGAACTCGCTGGAACTCAGTTCTGGCACCTCTCAGGTGGACACCGTTGCCATTATAAGAGAACAATGGAGGCGTTCACGGAGAGTTCCAGCACCTCTTTTTCTAGAAAAATAGCACTGAACATTGCACTATATTAAGTCCCAGTTCTGCTTCCAGACAACTGCAGAAAAGCAATGCCTCAGTAGTGCCAAAAAGCACCAAAGAAACCAAATATGCACTTTACATTTAGTAAAGTACTTTTTATTGTACATTCAGTTGCTGTTTAGTTTAGTTTGTTTTATGACAGAGTTGTTTGTTTGCTATTTATGGGATTTGTTGGTATGCATTCTGTAATTTTTGCATTTATTTTTAAAGTATTTTTCCCCCTGTATATTTCTTTTAATTGTTTCCCCACTATGGGATTGAACTATTTAATGATGAGCAGGTTATAAATACTCATTAAAAAATAAATACATGTCCAGTACACAGAAGCAAATGAGTGAAATTACTTTTGCATTTTCTGAACTCTCTAGGTTGTGCATGCTCATGGCAAGAAACAGGAAATGACAAAACGAAGATCGCCGGAGGGAAGGTGAGGGAACTTTTAGTCACTCCTAATGCATGCCAAGGGGCGCAGGTGGTGCTGTGGTCTAAACCACTGAGCCTCTTGGGCTTGGCGATCAGAAGGTTGGTGATTCGAATCCCCGTGACGGAGTGAGCTCCCATTGCTCAATCCCAGCTCCTGCCAACCTAGCAGTTTGAAAGCACATTGAAAACGCAAGTAGATAAATAGGTACCACTCTGGCAGGAAGGTAAATGACATTTCCGTGTGCTGCTCTGGTTTCACCAGAAGCGGCATAGTCATGCTGGCCACATGACCCGGAAAAACTGTCTGTGGAAGCGGACAAACGTTGGCTCCCTCGGCCTGTAAAGTGAGATGAGCACCGCAATCCCAAAGTTGTATGCGACTGGACTTACCGGTAACTGTCAGGGGTCTTTTACCTTTTTTTTAATGCGTGCCAAGCATGCAGCATGGGATGGAGAATTAACTTCCGGAGAAAATGACAGAGGAAGTCCTTTGCATACAGAAACTCTCAGTTTCAACCCTCAGCATTTTCAGGTAAAGCTTGGAAATACTCCTATCTGACATCCTGGAAAGGTCTCTTCCAGTCCACGTAAGCAATTCTGAACTAGAAGGGTCAACAATACAAGGCAATTTTGTATGTTTCTGTAGCTGTCATTCTGCTTAAGTAAGTTATCAGCATGGCACAAATCTCTTATTAAAAATATGAGGGAAAACTCAGAAGCAGGAATGTCCCAGCTTTCAAAGCCCACTTATTATCCTCATGAGTCACAACTGCTGGTAGTGCAATATTCCTCCCTCCCCACATATGATTAGAAAGAAATTTAGATGATTAGAAAGTATTTGCAGAAGCAAATATTCGGCAACCAGTGGGGACGATGAACTTAGTCTACTCCCCAGCCTCCCTCTCCATTGCTGGACCACACCTGAAGGAAAGGTACTTTCAGCATGTAACCCCACCTTGAAGAAAGGTGTCTGGACTTCATTAAAAAAGGGGGATAACAAATGTTTATTTATGCCAAATAAAGGCCCTCAGCCAAGGGGCTACTTTGGAAGGAAGGGAAGGTATAATAATAATAATAATAATAATAATAATAATAATAATAATAATAGGCTTTATGATGAAATCATAGACTGGAAATGTAAATAAGGCTGTAAGAAATACACCTATGTTAAAATAAATAGGGACTTACTTCAGAGGAAATATGTTTCGGATGGGAGCATTGATTTGACTGATAACTGCTGTTTTCTTCCAGAAACCTGGCATATTGGACAAAGCAGGCCGCTCCAGAAATGCCTTTTGCTCTTTCTGTGTCACATGCCGATATTTTATTCTGGAGCCGCCACTGCAACAACTACAATACAAATGGATAGTAGCTGTAGAATGAACAGCGACACAAGATTGCAATCCAAAGACTAAGGGAGAGTAACATGCTAACTACACAAAGCACTGCTTTGAAGAACGATGTATGGACTTCATGAAACAAATGAAGAACAAATGTATATTTATTGCCTAAATAAAGGCCCTAAACCTGGTGGTCTTCTTAAATCAATTCAGGCCATAGAGAATATAAAAGGTACTATGTACTTTATGAAGAAACTTACTTTCAGTTTAATGATTACAGTGACACCTACTGTTCCCAAATAATCAAAATTATGTACATTTCATTCCGCAATATGTTAGGAAATTATTGTTCTGTAATTCCCATCTACAAATTTATTGCATGGATTTCAAATGGATTTCCATTCCCTCTCAAACGGATTGCATTTTATTACTTCAGAAAAGCTTTACAGCACAGTGAAAAAGCACAACTTTTTATGACTCCGTGTATTTATATTCGTGGTCCCACTCAAAGAAGGAAGGATTTTATGTAGCTCAAGACATCTATAAATAGTAAAATAATATCTCATTATTTGCAGTTTATGGCTGCAGCACACGTCTGAATAATTTTAGTATTAACTGCCACCAGGCACAATCTGGCCAACCTTACACACATCCGTCACATTTATCTCAATGGGAGAAAATTAAACACTTGAATATTTGGGGATATTTGCAACATTCACTAACCAGACCTTTTTGAGGAAGCACTTAGAAGGCTGCAATGTTTTGTTTTTCCAGTGGTTATTTTAACTTGTTTTGCCCCTTGAAGGAGAGATTATGTTCAGAACTTGAGAATGTATTTTGTTAAATAAAACTTTGCACACGCTCTGTGCATATCTTGTTGGCTTTGGTGCATTGTCTTCATGCTGCAGAAATAGAGGCGGGGTGGACCAATAAGCAGGGGATCTTCAAAGGTTAGCTAACTTGTTGAACATCTGCATTAAGTGTTATTAACAAATCTTGTTCTAAGTTCAGAAAGAACAAGTTTGGTGATAGCAATCGGAGGAGCTCAGTAACCTATTTTTATTTTGTTGTGAATCCCTAGCGATAACTGTGTAGTAACAGATTGCTTTGGTTAAAGGTGTATTTGAAAATAATCAGGGATTGTTATGTGTAAGGATGGGCAATGTTTTATTAATTTCGGCTATGCTGTGTATCACATTTGTGGGAAGAAACCCAGTGGGCGAGCTCACTTTTTCTGCTTTTATTGGTCTACAGTTGATTAGCTAACTGTAGAACTGGTCTGCTTTCAACAGTTGACGCTTGTAAATATAACGCTTTAAACACTTTATTTGCTGTTGGGGTTGTGCTACAGTTATCTGAATTAACCAAGCCCATTTCAGGAATTGTCCCAATTCTAGATAATTAATTGTACCATCTGCCAAATTAATGTGACTTATCTGTCTCTTTTGTTTATTCCCTGAGCTTTCCCCTTAAAAGTCTACCAGATTCATTAGTTTTTCTATTTGGAGATACAATCATTGAGCGTAAACAGCTGTTTGATTTATTTTTTAAAAAAGTTTAGGGTTTGCAATCTCCCCTAGTCTTATTTAGTACCTCTGGGTTCCTAGAAATTTTAATGTACAAACAGAAATTTGATTTCTTCCATCTCCCATCAAGAGTGAAAAACAACTTCCCATTATGATGAATATGGAATTCTAACAGAGAAAACCATTGTGAGGAATATGAATATATCCCAGTGAAGGCAAAAGACACTGAAGTAAGTAAGGTAAACAGACATTTAATACCATTTTGAGAGATTATTTGTCAAAGATGTGAAGGTCCTATCTCGGATAACGTGATGTGTTAAGTACCTGCACCTGTTCTGTTCCCTCAACGGTGCCTCTACCACATACATTTGCCAGTTTCAAATGTTATTTGACTGATTCCATTAAATTCTTTCAAGCTCTAAGAATTATGTATATGTAAGAAGAGGAGAGGGACTGTTGTGATTAACAGTTGTCCTCCTGGCAACCTTGTCTTCCTTAAGGTAGTCCTTAAGATACCTCAAGGCATATTTTCTGGCACTTTATTTCATGCACTCCTTTTTTGGGAGAAGAGAAACCCTCTTTGAGGAACTGCACCAGGGCCCCCAACCGCCTTAATCCATATTTGGATCTGGGAGAACTGTTATTGAACACTAAATCAGTCCAGAGTAAAGCATATACAGTGGTACCTCGGGTTACAGGCGCTTTAGGTTACAGACGCTTCAGGTTACAGACACCCAGAAATAGTACCTCAGGTTAAGAACTTTGCTTCAGGATGAGAACAGAAATCGTGCTCCAGCGGCACAGCAGCAGCCGGAGGCCCCATTAGCTAAAGTGGTGCTTCAGGTTAAGAACAATTTCAGGTTAAGAACGGACCTCCGGAACGAATTAAGTTCTTAATCCGAGGTACCACTGTATCATTCATTAGTTAAATGAGGATGGGCAGGGCCAGATTTAGGTTTGATGAGGCCCTAAGTTACTGAAGGTAATGGGACCTTTTATATGTCCAGCTGTCCTTTGTTAACAACCAATTGTTGCTGTTTTTTTGTGTTGAATATATGCTGTATGGTAATTTATTGACCTAATAGGTATCTAAAGCCATTTGCACGTTGCCGTGCAACCAGTCCATGCAAACTGTAGGCACCCTATATATATATAGAAATGAGCAAACCAGTGATATTTTAGGGAGCAGGGTAGCAAGCTCCCTACTTACATCATAGGAGCCTACACAACACAAAACACTGTTGCTGTATGGTTTTATTTTATGTGTTTTTTATCTTATATTTTGGAAATGTACATCCAGGTTTTTTCCCCTTTAAATTTTTTGGGGGCCTGCAAGAGAGTGGGCCCCTAAGGTATAGCTTGTTTAGCTTATATGTAAATCCGGCACTGAGGATGGGGGCGGCTGTGGTCTGTGAGGATTCCATCACCCAATGTGGGATTTGATGCTGGCACCTGGTGTTGGGCACTAAGATATTTTTTTTTCCTTTTCATTTGCACAACTTTTCATTTGTCAAGTGACTTCATGAGTCAGCAGTGCTTAACATGAGTTAACAGAGTGATGCAGCAGCAAAAAAAACAACCCTAATGCTTCATCAACAGAAGTCTAGTGTCCAGATCAAGGGAAGCAATAGCACCGCTCCATTTTGCCTTGGTCAGATCACACCTGGAATACTGTGTCCAATTCTGGGCACCACAAATTAAGAAGGATGTTCACAAGCTGGAACGTGTGCAGAGGAGGGCAACCAAGATGGCCAAGTGTCGGGAAACCAAGCCTTACAAGGAGTGCTTGAAGGAGCTCAGTATGTTTAGCCTAGAAAAGAGGAGGCTGGCGGGAGATATGAAAACCACCTTCAGATATCTCAAGGGCTGTCACATAGAAGATGGAGGAAGCTTGTTTTCTCCTGCTGGAAGGTCTGACTTGAACCAGTGCCTTCAAATTACAAGAAAGGAGGTTCTGCCTAAACATCAGGAAGTACTTTCTGACAGTAACAGCTGCTTGACAGTGAAATGGTCTCCCTTGGGAGCTTGTGGACTCTTCTTACTTGGAGGTTTTTAAGCAGAGATTGGATGGCCATCTGTCATGGATGAGATTCCTGTATTGCAAGGGGTTGAACTAAATGACCGTTGGGGTCCCTTCCAGCTCTATGATTCTTTGAATCACCTTAAAGGTAAAGGGTCCCCTGACCATTAGGTCCAGTCGTGGCTGACTCTGGGGTTGTGGCGCTCATCTCGCTTTATTGGCCGAGGGAGCTGGCGTACAGCTTCCGGGTCATGTGGCCAGCATGACTAAGCCGCTTCTGGCGAACCAGAGCAGCGCACGGAAACACTGTTTACCTTCCTGCTGGAGCAGTACTTATTTATCTACTTGCACTTTGATGTGCTTTCGAACTGCTAGGTTGGCAGCAGCAGGGACCGAGCAACGGGAGCTCACCCTGTTGCAGGGATTCGAACCGCCGACCTTCTGATAGGCAAGTCCTAGGCTCTGTGGTTTAACCCACAGTGCCACCTGCGTCCTTTTGAATCACCTTAGGATATACCAAATGTGATCCTATCTGTGCAGGACTAGGTTTGCTACTACAGTTGTCCATGCACTAGTAACTTCTCATTTGGATTACTACAATGAGCTACATGTGGGTTGCCTTTGAAAACATTAGCTCTTCTGTAATAATAACAATAAATTTTTATTTATACCCCACCCTCCTCAGCCAGAGCCGAGCTCAGCATGGCTATCACCAGTAAAATTACAATAAAAACATAATGGGGGGGCAATTTAAAATACGGGTTAAAATACAATTTAAAATGCAGCCTCATTTTAATAGTAGCCCATAGATCAAAACCATAAGGGGAGGGAAACATAAGGGTCAGACTGAGTCCAAACCAAAGGCCAGGTGGAACAGCTCTGTCTTGCAGGCCCTGCGGAAAGATGTCAAGTCCTGCAGGGCCCTAGTCTCTTGTGACCGAGCATTCCACCAAATCGGGGCCAGTACTGAAAAGGCCCTGGCCCTAGTTCAGACCAATCTAACCACCTTGCGACCTGGACAGCAAAAAAATTCTTCTCCTTTTCCATATTATAGTTTTATATACTGCTTTTTATTTACAAAAGAGAAAGAGGTATAAATACAATATAACATAAACATAATAAAAAACAACAATATCCAATAAAAATCAATAACCGTCAGTAAAGTATTATTGCAGGAACCAAGTACATCAAGGATCTGGTACTGGCGATAATGGAAAGCATGGGTGAATAACCCACAGTGGATGCCCACCTCATCTCAATAGGGAAAGTACTCCACAAGACACTGGGCACAACAGAGAAAGTTAAGACTGCCAATACAACATGAAGATAGTTCTTTGCCACCTGCTCTGTCAAATTCAAAGTTCTGGCATGTTTGCCTTTAAAACCCTAAATGGCTTGATACCAGGTTTTCTGAAGGACCACCTCCTCCCATATAGACATACAGTATCTGGACCCTAAGACCATATTCTGAGGCCCTTCTGTGCATTCCCCACAGTTGTCTGCTAGAGAAAGTCTTTTCAGTGGTGGCACATCATCTGTAGAATGTCCTATCCAGAAATAGCATCTTTTTGACATCAGGCAAAGACCCTTCTATTTTCCCATGCATTTTAATTTGCAAACCATTTGGTGATTTTTCAGGTCTTTGTACTGATCTTACTCTTTGTTGTTGGTGTTCTACTCTGCAGTTGGTATTATCCTGCTTTGGATTTCATATTATGTCTTATTTCTACACTTTATGGTTGTAAACAGCCCAGAGAATTGCAGTCACTGCTCTGCAAACAAGCAGCCATACCCCCAAAATTCAGGCCACTGTGAATTTGCTTCACCCTGTTAAGTCATTGATTTAATCAGTGTTTTTTTCATCTAAGCACCATCTGCCTCACAGTCCAAATGTTAAAGCAGTGTTGGGGCAGAGTGCATCTCTGAATGCAGGAACAACTTTTGCACTACTAATCTTCACAGAGTCACATGTTCCACCTGGACTGTGACCCCTGAGTTCTTTCAGCAGAAACATCTTTGGATCCAGAAGTCTGCAACTGGAGCATGACAAATCTGTGGTCACCTTGGGAAAGCAGAACTGTTTTTAAAGTAGCCTTAATCTGGCCAAACCAGACATTCCTTTTAGGTATTTTGTGTCTGAATGATCTATGATAATGTTAATGGGCTTTGTCATTTATTTGGATTCACCACTCTGCCAAGGGCAAGGCCTGTGGTTTGAAACAATCATGTTTGCATATACAGAATTTATCCTTTATATTCCTGCACTTTCTACTTATTTTGTTTTGCAATTATAAATAATTAACATCCCTTTAATGATTTTTTTATTTCAAATTGCTCTACCTTAAGGGCTGTATTTTTTATTTTATTTTTTTACCCCAGGCACACATGTAACCTCCAGTAGAAAATTAAGAGTTATGGAGTTATGTACCAGAGGAAGCTGTGTTCTTTAAAAAAGGGGGGGGAACCTCTTAAAAATGCAAATCTATGCAACACCGATGCCAAAATAGCTGCTCCAGTAAGTGAAACTAATGTGCTGAACTTGCCAGTACAATAATCCAAAATATGGAATGGATCCCAAACAGCAAAGTTCTGAATTCTAACTTTTCTCAGTAGTAAACAGCGTGTTACCAATACAGCTAACTTTCATTCCTTGAAGATACTTTATGCAGGAGTTGAAAGGAACTGCCCTTAAATGCAAATTTCTAATTTTGTAATGAAAGTTATCTATTGACCGAACAAATTTAAGTAGACTTTCCCACAGCACTTTGACTACTCAAGTGTGGTTGCTTCTTCTGCCGACTGCACTGGGGGCGTTCAGCATGACTGGCTTAAATGCCCCCCTGGCCAGCCAGGCATGAAAGCAGACAATGTCTGGCCAACCAGCAAGGCACTGACCAGCATTAAGGGCCTCTGATTGGCCCGTTTGAACTTAAGGGAATTTAGGCTTCCAGAGGCTTTCCTCTGGCTCTATTCCAATATATAATATAGGGTTTATTCAGTCAACAAGCTTTTGTTGAACATCACCTTGATCTCAGAACAGTGTGAGATCCAGGCACTTACCCAGGGTCTGTGTTTCCTTTGGAAATGAGGCACAGAGGAGACTGTGGTGTCTTTATGTGATATGGCTTATTATTTACACATATAACCAACCTGAGCCTTTGATGGAGGGGCAGCGATTTTTAAAAATTGGCAAAGAGAAATTTCAAGGTATATCTGGCAGGGTAAGAAGCCGAGGATAAAATTTAAGATATTGACAGACACAAAAGAAAGAGGAGGCTTCGCCCTGCCAGACTTGAAATTGTATTATGAAGCATCTTGCCTCTGTTGGTTGAAGGAATGGATGAAATTAGAAGACACAGATGTGTTAGATCTTGAAAGTTTTGATAACAGATTCGGGTGGCACGCGTATTTGTGGTATGACAAGAAATGGGTGCATAAAGGTTTTGAAAATCATATTATAAGAAGGTCTCTGATTGAAGTGTGGGAAAGATATAAAAATCTGTTGGAACAAAAAACTCCATATTGGTTGTCACCGTTGGAGGCAATGAGTGTGAAGAAAGTCAATATGACAGGGGGATGGGTGACATATGAGAAGTTAATATGTAAAAGTGAAGGAAAATGGAAAATGAGACCATTTGAAGAAGTTAAGGACTATGTGAATGACTGGCTGCATTTTTTTCAAATTAATGAGATGTTTAGAAAAGATTTGAATCAGAGGGATTTTGCTGATAAAGAATCAAAATTTCAGACAGAAATACTGAATAATGACTATAAGATTTTAGCAAAAATGTATAAGATATTATTGGAATGGTGTACAAAGGATGAGGAGGTAAAATCAGTTATGATTGACTGGGCAAAAGATATAGGGTATAATATACAAATGGAGGATTGGGAAAGACTCTGGAAAGAAGGTTTAAGATTCACTGCATGTACAGTTATAAAAGAAAATGTTATGAAAATGATGTACTGATGGTATGTAACACCTGTGAAGTTAGCAAAAATGTATAAGACAAGTAACAAATGTTGGAAATGTAAAGAAAAAGAAGGTACCTTTTTTCATATGTGGTGGGAATGTAAGAAGGTAAAATGCTTCTGGGAGATGATTTATAATGAATTGAAGAAAATGTTGAAATATACATTTGTTAAGAAACCAGAAGCTTTCTTACTAGGCATTACAGGTTATGAGATAAATAAGAAAGAAAAGAAGTTATTTTTATATGCAGTGACAGCAGCAAGAATACTGATGGCCCAGAAATGGAAACAGGAGGAGCTACCTACGATAGAAGAATGGAGAACTAAAATGATGGACTATGCAGAACTGGATAGAATGACTGGAAGGATCCGGAATCAACGAGATCAAAGATTTACAGAAGATTGGGAAAAGTTTATCCAATATATGCAAAAACTGAGTGATAATCAAATTACGTTTGTAAGTTTTAAGGAAGCTCTGTGAGGGGAAATGGTTAAAATGGCAGAAATGCGTTAAAAGTAATAAAGGGAAGGAATTGCAGACAAATTGAGGGAAGTCAAAAAGAGAAGTAAGATTTAATTAAGATGTATGGAGTATATAAACTTGTTTTTTTGTATCTGAAAACCAATAAAAATATAATATTAAAAAAAAAGAGAGAATACAGCTTCTGGCAGTTCAGCATCCAGTGAGAACAAACCAGTTCCTGTGCCTCTAGGGTAGGGTGAGATTGTATTCATGTGTAAACAAAACTGTATATCCTAAAGACCCCATGGTTTCTGCCTCACTCTGAAGGAAACTCAAACCCTGGGTGAATGCCCAGAACTTCCAACCACTCAGAGATTGCGGTGGCCTGCTGCAATGAGCTAAAGAAAATGTTTTAAAATACTTTTATTAAAAAAACAGAAGCCTTTTTATTGGGTATAGTGGGTGAAGAGATACCAAGGGAAGATAAAAGACTGTTTATGTATGCAACAACTGTGGCAAGAATTCTCTCAGCCCCAAAATGGAGACAACAAGAAGTACCAATGAAAGAAGAGCGGCAGATGAAGATGATGGACTTTGCAGAACTGGCAAAGCTGACAAGAAAAAAAACCGAAACCAGCATGATCAAGTATTCCAAAAGAGTAAATATATACAATATCTGAAAGATTATTGTAAGGAATTAACATCACTAGCAGGGTTGTCTGAAGACTTGTAATGAGAATTTTTCTACCTTCCTGTATTTATTTAAATTTTGAGCTATTTTGTAATGAGTGTAATTAGAATTGGAAAACATATAAAATGCAATGATATATAAAGGTTAATTTTGAAAGCCATGAGGCGGGCGGGAAGGAAGTCAATAGGCTCTAAAGACCCAGGGAGGTGAAGTGGATAACGATGATGTGAATGTATATTATTAAATGGAAAATAAATAAAAATTGTATACAAAACAAAACAGAGATTGCGGTGGCCTGCAACAAGTTGGTTGCACATCAACTCAAAATATGGCAGGCATCATGTCCTGTATTTCCCTCTTTCCCCAGGTCTTTTTCTTCCAGAGCAGTGACGAAGAAAGTAGGGCAGCTGCTGGTGATGGCAACATAAATAAAATATCGAGGGGGGGTATCAGGTAATCAGCCCCCCTGCATAATCAATCACATGACAGGGCACACACACCATATGAATTACCGTGCCCATCAATTGGGGGGGGTGCAGTCCCCTCAAATAATTTTTTTGGGGGGGCCAAGACCCCTCACCCCTTTGGAGTCGCCTCCTGCGGCAGCAGCCGCAGGACCATCTGGCCTCCCGCCGGCTTCGCGGGACACCTGGCGGCCCCTCCTGTTGCTGCTGCTGTTGTCATGGCTCCTTCCCAGCAAGCAGCGCCCGCTCCGGCGGCGCCGAGATAGTTGCCTGGCCGGGAGCGGCTAGGAGAGCCGGGGCTGGGGGAGGAGAGCCCGGCCGGATTCACGGGCCGGGCGCGCGTTTCTCCGAGGGCGCAAAAGGAGCCGAAGGGGACCTCGCCCGGCAGAGGGAAAGCGGGTCTCTCTCGACACCCGCCTCTCCCCGGAGACGGACAAAAGACTGAACCTCAGCTGAACTTCGGGAGGGCGAGGGTCACCCTCGGCCCAGCCGGGCTCGGGGCGAGGCGGAGGGGCAGCTCGTTAGGCCGGAACGGCGGCGCAAGCTCCTCGCGGGACCCGCACTCGACCACCGGCGCTGCTGCTGCAACTGTAAGGCGCTGCGCAAACCCCTCCTTGGATCTCGCTCTTTCCTGTCTTTTGGGAACCTCCCCTCCCATCCCCCCCAAGGGAGCATCCCGGTTCGGTCGGGAGCGTTCAGGGGGGCGCTGCTGGAGGGGGTGGGGGGCGCCAGCCTCTCTCGGCCAGCCTCGTTTTTCCAGGGGGGTGGGGAGAAGGGGGTTGCGCGCACCGCTGCGCCCGCGGAGGGCTCGGCCAGGCCTGGCCTGCGTGGGGCGGGGGGAGACCGGCTGGCGGAGCGAAGGCCGCCTGTTGCTTCTTGGGCAGGAGCTGCTGGCGCTGGCCCGGTTCCAGCAGCGGGACCTGCCGGAGGGAGGAGGGGGCGGGGGCGGGTCTCGGTCCGGGTCTTCACTCGGCGGCTGGACGAGCAGGAGGGATGCGGCGGGCCGGTTCTGCGTCTGCCGCGGGTGGTAGGAGGAGGGGGAGGAGGGATGGGGAGGCCCACCAAAGCGCGCCTTCCCCGGCCTGGCCTGCTGGGCTCCGTCTCCCCCTCCCTTTCCTCTGGCGAGGAGTTTCCTGCGGTCACGCTCCCTGCTCGCCTTCCCAAGCAGCTCTGGTTCCTACTCTCTGGTCTCTCCCCCCCCCCCCCCCCGATCGCCCTGAAACACTTCGGGTTGGCCGTGCTACGGGAGTAGATGCAACATCTTTGTTTTTTGGGAGGGGGGGCGGACCGGGGAGAGAGCATCTTCTCCCCTCCCGTTAGGCGAACTGAGGAGCTGCGAATGGGAAAGAACTTGCATTGTTGAGAAGGGTTTTTTTTTGGGGGGGGGAGATGTGCTCCGTTTGCATGCGCGGTGGAGCGGGCTGGGGGGCGAAGGATGCCAAGGAAGCATCATCATCCCCAGTTGAAGGAGGTCTGGCTAGCTTCGCTTTTTCGCCCTCCTCCGTGGAAACAGCTGAAGAGGACGAAAGGGAGGCGAGAACTCCGCCTTAACCTGGGCTGGGCGTTGTTTAACAAGGCTGATGTTGTGTTGGAAATACGGCGGAAAGATGAATATAGCCCCTCTCTTTCGGTGCACGTGAATAGGTAGAACTAGGTTTCTAACCTGTTGTAATAGCTGGGAGCACAGAGATAAGGAGTTGATAATTGCTTCAGATACAATTAGCGTGCAATAGAAGAGTTTATTGGTGTGTAGGCAGGAGTAAAGTGAGCAAAACCGTACAGACATCCTGCACGTGCTAATAAATCCACTCCTTTTATCTCGCAGTGAAAATGCCTGATAATCAGCTGGTGATCATTGAGGGGGAAGTAATAGCAACCCCTCTGTATTAAGGGATAGCTGACGTGTCAAATGGTCCTGATCAAAACCAGTGTATGAGCATAGTCCTCACTGCTTATAATATTTGTATCAGGATGTGCCCATTCTGCGGGAAACATGATTCGGCAATGCTTTCCCAAAGCAAGAAGGGGCCAGTCTATGCAAAACACTATTTCTGTGTTTTCAAAATAAATGCAGGTCTGTAGTAAGCCCCAAAGCTCCAGTTCAGAGTTTAAGTGCACTTCATTATTTTTTTTAAGATATTTATTAAAATTTCAACATATTACAAAAATGAGCGAAAAAAGAAAAAGGAAAACAGATACAAAAAGAAAAAAAATAGAAAAATAGAAAAATACAAAATAAAAACAGTTAAACGAACAGATTAGTCTTTCTATGTCTTATCCTTCATTTACTTGTTTCCTCGACCTCCTCGCACCTCCCTTTTTTGTATTCCAGTTCACATATTTTGTTCAGCAGTTCCCTCCCCTCTTTTAAATATCCTAGTCAATAATCATAAAGATATTGTACTTTTAGATTTTTACATATTACATAGTAAACCCTTTTTTTCATCTTCCCTTGTAACATTTCAGCTAAGAACCACTTAGTTTTTATCGAACATCATTCTAACATTCATTAACTTTACAATATTTCTGTAGATAATCTTTGAATTTCTTCCAATCTTCTTCCACCGACTCTTCTCCCTGGTCTCGGATTCTGCCAGTCATTTCCGCCAGTTCCATATAGTCCATCAGCTTCATCTGCCATTCTTCCAGGGTGGGTAGATCTTGTGTCTTCCAATACTTTGCAATAAGAATTCTTGCTGCTGTTGTGGCATACATAAAGAAAGTTCTGTCCCTCTTTAACACCAATTGGCCGACTGTGCCCAGGAGAAAGGCCTCTGGATTCTTCAAGAAGGTATATTTAAATACCTTTTTCAATTCATTATATATCATTTCCCAGAAAGCCTTAATCTTTGGGCACGTCCACCAAAGGTGAAAGAATGTACCTTCAGTTTCTTTACATTTCCAACATTTATTATCGGGCAAATGATAGATTTTTGCAAGCCTGACTGGGGTCATGTACCACCTGTATATCATTTTCATAATATTCTCTCTTAAGGCATTACATGCCGTAAATTTCATACCTGTGGTCCACAACTGTTCCCAGTCAGCAAACATGATATTGTGTGCTAAATCTTGTGCCCATTTAATCATAGCAGATTTCACAGTTTCGTCCTGAGTATTCCATTTCAGCAACAAGTTATACATTCTTGACAAAGTCTTAGTAGTGAGTTCTAACAGTTCTGTTTCCAATTTTGATTTCTCCACCTGGAAGCCAATTTTCTTATCCAAATTATATGCCTCCATTATCTGATAGTAATGAAGCCAGTCTCGCACTTTGTTTTTTAGTTTCTCAAAGCTCTGCACAGAGTTTAAGTGCACTTCAGTCCACTTAGCTCTCCGTTGCATTGCAACTATTGAGTTTTAGTGGTGCACTATCTATTTTAAATCATTAGCTTTCCTGAAAATCCCAACCACTGTAATCTCTGTGGTATTGTGTAGAGATTACCAGACTGCAGTGTCAGACACTTCGTAGGCTTACTTATATAAATTGACGTATTTAGCTATCTCTACAAGTGTCCATTCAGACTGATTTACAGTATAGCATACAATGGGTGAATTCTGTCCTCAGCTAATTGTGCAGATCTGTATGTGTTTAATTAGAATGAAGCTTCAAATGGTATGTGCTTTTTGTTTCTGATTGTGGCGGTTCTTAATTTAGTTTTTCTAAAGGCTTTTATGGACTAGTGAATAACTATAGTACAGTATAAACACTCCATGGCAGTACAGAGACTTTCTCTCTAGTGTTTTTACATATAGGAGGAGAAGTGTCTTGGGTTCTGTGTATCATGACCCTGTCTGCAAAGATGTCTTGTATTTACTTGATAATATAGCACCTATTTTAAAGAAAGGCTCACATGACATTTTGGAGAACTGTGCTTGATTATTGATGGCAGTCTCCTCTCCAGTAAGCAGTTCAGTGCACTCACTGAAATGAATGCCAGCATATTAATGGATCTTAGTGTGGTCTAGTAAGTTTTCTTTGCTTTGCCAATGACAAAACTACACTCTAAACCTAAGGAGGAAAGGTGGTAGGCAGCCTTTTCAATAAGCAAGTTAGGCTGTTGTAGTTGACTTGAAGTCATTTTGTATCCGGCTGTTTATTCTGCTTTGCTACAGTGACATGTTTTGTCACATTGCACAGATGGTGGGCATTGCAACCCATTGCAATTGACTTGTTGGGCCAGCAAACAGGTTTGAGCACAGAGTTATAAGAAGCCCAGATTAAGGACAGATAATGGGTGTGTTCACATGTTACATTCAACACATGTGCAATCTCTGTACCTGGATACACAAGCAGTTTAGGGGGTACATTTGTACAGTATTCACATGCAGAGTTCAGTGACTGTACAGTATATGTACTCTGGTGCAGAATTGTTGTACTCTTGTAGCTATTCACATGTCATACCCAACGGATGTAGTCTCCAGTTTATACTGCCAAGAAAAGAAAATTGCTTCAGTGACATGATTTAAATACATTAAGTGAAACCATTCCCTTTTACTGGCAACAAGGCAAGGCATGCTGAGACTGTTATACCTCCCAAAGCTGTTTCCTACCAATATTAATTAATTAATTTTTATTTAATTACATTTATATCCCACTTTTCCTCCAAGGACCGCAAGGTAGGGCATACAATTCTCGCCCTCCTCATTTTATTTTCACAACAACCCTGTGAAGGAGAAATGGCTGAAAGACTGTAAGTGACCCAAGGTAACCCTTTGGGATTCATTTTTTTTTTTTTAAAGCAATTTATTGGGTTTTACAATAAGAATAAACATAATAAACAATATAACATTTGTCTTAACATAGTTTCACATTTTCTTTGGACTTCCTCACATCCCCCGCTCCCACTTTCATCGTTATAACATTTTGTCAGCAATTTATCATCTTATTTAAATTCTTATATGTCTTCAATGTTTCATAATCTTATAGTTCTCATAGAGAGTTAAACTTTCATAGTCTTACTTATTTTCTTAAAAACTCCTAAGTTAAGTGGTGCTCAGTTATTTAGTCTAGCATCTTATTTAGCATTCACTCAAATCACAATATTTTTGTAGATAGTTCTTAAATTTCTTCCAATCCTCCCCTTTGGGATTCAAACTGGTCTCCCAGATCCTAGTCCAACACTCTTTTAAGTATTAGACCACACTGACTGCCTTTACATTAAGTAGAAAAAGTTGTGGCAGAAAGGGGAACATAGTTTTATTATTTCCATTTTTTTCCTGCAGTCTCTTCTTTTATAACTAAAACACAAGCTTTTGAAATGAAAACACCAACTCCTGTAAGGACCTTAATTATAGATATGAAAATACTGCAGATCAAAAGTTATATCTGTTATTCCCAAGAATATTCATGGTTTTCTTTGATGTAGGCCTTTTACAGCAAAATCCTATACATGTTTACATTCCTTACAGTTCAATGGGGTGTACAGTAAGCCCACAACTTATACACATTCACTTTGTGCGGATTCAGGTTTAAGCACTTTTCAATTAATAATAACAATAACAATAATAAGCAGGTGGAAAGTGGGAGGGCATCAGGGGGGGGGGAAGACTTTGGCAATCCCACCCAGCATTGACCTCATTGTGTTTTGATTGAATGGGATTTTGGCTTTGGGCGCAATCCCCAGATTGTAACCCCTGTGTTGTGTAATGGTTAGTGTGTTGGACTAGGACCTGGGAGACCAGGGTTCGAATCCCCACTCAGCCATGAAACACACCAGGTGACCTTGGGCCAGTCACCATCTCTTAGTCTATCCTACCTCAAAGGGTGGTTTTGAGTGGGACTGTGAGATATATTGTCCAAAACCAGTTTGAAATCCATGTTGTGACATCAGTTTCACAATTTTAGACCTAGCAATGGATCACAAATCATATGCTTTTGTGTGTGTGTGTGTGTGTGTGTGTGCACGCGCACTATGCAAAAAATCACAATGTGGGGGAAACTGTGAAGCCAGCCCATGCTTCTACATAGTTCCATCCTTATTTCAGACATTGTGATATATCACTATATCACGATGCTTAGCTGGTGATACATTGTGATGTTGAAAACCAGGTATCGCCCAGCTGTAGCTGTGAGGAAGAAATGCGGAGGGGGAGAACCACTGCACCACCTTGAGATCCTTCTAAGATAAAGGTGCTCTATAAATGCAATAAATAAATTAAATTGTGGGTTTACAGTACCCCTACACAAATCTGCATAACATCAGCCCTAAATGTACCGAATGAAAATATTTTGAGGAAGAGGCAGCATCATGGTGGCCTAACATCCTAAAAATACTGGAAGCAGCCTTTTGATCTACATAGACTGTTATATATAGAGCCAGTGTGGTGTAGTGGTTAAGAGCGGTAGACTCATAATCTGGTGAACCGGGTTCGCTTCCCCGCTCCTCCACATGCAGCTGCTGGGTGACCTTGGGCTAGTCATATTTCTCTGAAGTCTCTCAGCCTCACTCACCTGACAGAGTGTTAGTTGTGGGGGAGGAAGGGAAAGGAGATTGTTAGCTGCTTTGAGACTCCTTAGGGTAGTGATAAAGCTGGATATCAAATCTAAACTCCTCCTCCTCCTCCTCTTCTTCTTCTTCATGCATAGTTAATACCATGTATGCATTCATCCACTAAAACAGATTTTTATCACTGCCTGTGGATCAAATCTTGCCGTGAGGCTCTCATAAGACCAAAACGTGAAAGATTCCTGGAAGTTGAAAGCAGCAGCAGAGCAAGCAAGCAGCCAGCTGCATAATTAGCAGGACAATTAATATCCCGTTAAAAAAAATACCTGGTGCTTCAAAGAAAACACTCTGGTCAGCCAGGCAAACTGTTTGGGGGCAGGGGTGCCAACTTGAATAAAATAATATTTTGGGGGGAGGGGGCGCAGGTAAGCCCCAGCTCGCATAACTAATCCTAGGACAGGGCGCGCGCACACAGCATCTGAATGGCTTTGCCCATTAACTTTTTTAGGAGGGGGTCTGTCCTCCTGAAATATTTTATTGGGGGTGGGGAGAAGGTAACCTGGCCCCTAGAAGATTGGGGAGGGGGTTCCAAAGTTGAGGCGCCGTGACCGAAAAATGGTCCCGGTAGCTACCCACCTAATGGCGAAATGGGGCGCGGGGGAGGGGGAGAATGAAGAAACTTCTTAACACGTGTTGGAGAGGAGAGCTGGGCCGAATCCGACCCTCGCTTTCTCCCTCCCTCCCGCCGCCCGCTCGCTCGCTTCGTTCCTCCCAGAGCAGCCGCGGGGAAAATAGGGCAACTGCCGCCGCAGGATTCAGGGGCCGGGGAGCCGGCGCGCGTTTCTCCGAGGGCGCAAAAGGAGCCGCCGAGGGGGCCTCGCCCGGCAGAGAGAAAGCGGGTCTCTCTCGGCACCCGCCCCTCCCCGGAGACGGACAAAAGACCCTCCCCGCGACGCCCTCAGCTGAACTTCGGGAGGGCGAGGGTCACCCTCGGCCCATCCGGGCTCGGGGCGAGGCGGAGGGGCAATTCATCAGGCCGGAGGCTCCTTGCGGAACCCGCACACGACCACCGGCGCTGCTGCTGCAACTGTGAGGCGCTGCGCAAACTCCTCCTTGGATCTCGCTCTTTCCTGTCTTCTTGGGAACCTCCCCTCCCATCCCCCCCAAGGGAGCATCCCGGTTCGGTCGGCGGCGTTGAGGGGGGGGGCGCTGCTGGCGGCGGGGGTGGGGGGCGCCAGCCTCTCTCGGCCAGCCTCGTTTTTCCAGGGGGGTGGAGAGAAGAGGGGTCGTGCGCGCCGCTGCGCCCGCGGAGGGCTCGGCCAGGCCTGGCCTGCGTGGGGCGGGGGGAGACCGGCTGGCGGAGCGAAGGCCGCCTGTTGCTTCTTGGGCAGGAGCTGCTGGCGCTGGCCCGGTTCCAGCAGCGGGACCTGCCGGAGGGGGGAGGGGGAGGGGGCGGGTCTCGGTCCGGGTCTTCACTCGGCGGCTGGACGAGCAGGAGGGATGCGGCGGGCCGGTTCTGCTTCAGCGTCTGCCGCGGGTAGGAGGAGGAGGAGGAGGGATGGGGAGGCCCACCAAAGCGCGCCTGCCCGGGCCTGGCCTGCTGGGCTCCGTCTCCCCCCTCCCTTTCCTCTGGCGAGGAGTTTCCTGCGGTCACGCTCCCTGCTCGCCTTCCTTCCCTTCCCGTCGCTCTCCCAGCTCCCTTTACCGTCCAGAAACACTCGGGATCAATGCGACGCCTTTGCTTTTTTTTGCGGGGGGGGGGGGCACCGGGGAGCAGCGAGCATCCTCTCTTCTCCCCTTAGGGAGTTCAAATGGAAAGGAACTTGCATTGCTAAGAGGAGAAGATGCGGGGAGGGGGGGGAGAGAGATGCGCTCTGTTTGCATGCGCAGTGGAGCGGGCAGGGAGCGAGGATGCCAAGGAGCATCATCCTGAGCCGGAGAGAGCCAGACTTGTCGCTTTCACATTTTTGCCCTCCTCTGTGAAAGCAGCTGGAGAGAACTAATGCAAGGTTACCAGACTTCCCCGTTTCCCGGGGACAGTCCCCGGATTTACAAATCAGTCCCCCATACAGAATCCATTGAAGTTTAAAAGTGTCCCCGGATTCATTGAAAAATAATCTGGTAACCTTAAACTAAAGCGAGCCGAGAACTCCGCCTTTGCCCTTGTTGGAAGCGAAACACTGAGAGTTAGTTGTGGTCGCGGCTACACACTCAGGATCATTACCCTTGGCTAGGCGTTGCTTAACAAGGGTTATTCCCTTGTGTTTAAAATGACTGGTTGAAAAAAAAGTTGAGAAATGCACAATCCTCACACTTTTGGCGTGCTTGAATGGGTAGGGTTTTAGTCTGCTGGGAGCACACAGTTAAGGACTTGATCATTACTCCACATTGAATTAGCCTGGAGCAGAAGAGTATTGGCTTTGTGTATATGCAGGAGCGAAGTAAGTAACTGGGTATAGGTGTTATCCTGCACACCCAGCTGCTTTTACATCTCATGCTGAAAAGGCCCAAACGTCAGTCGCTGCTCAACATATTAATTGCTCGGGATTTGATATAATCCCCTGTGTTAAAGTACAACTAATGTGTATAATGGTCCCGATCAAAGTCGGTGTGTGAACATAGTCCCCACTGCCCTTAAATTTGTGTGGCGTGTGTCCATTCTGCTGGACATAGGATGCAGCAACACTTGCCCAAAGCAAGAGGGGGTCAGTAGTAGTGTATGGAAAACACCATTTCAGTGTTTTTGAAATTAATGCAGTAAGCACAAAAACCCCAGTTCAGAGCTAAAGTGCATTTCAGTTCACTTAACTCTCTTTCGCATTGTGACTGTTAGATTAAAGTGATGCACTATCTATCTTAATCATTAGCTCTTTCCTTCTTTCTTTCTTTCAATCAACTACCTCTGTGCTACTCTCTGGAGATCATGCGGCTATCTTTAAAGTGTGGATCTAGAATAATTCACAAGAGTGCAAATAAGGAGTGAATTCTTTCTTCAAGTAATCATGCAGATCTGTAGGTGTTTTGTGCAATACAATTAGAATCAAACTTCAAATGGTAGATGTTTTTTGTTTTGGTTTGTGGTGGTTCTTAATTTAGTTTTTTCCAAAGGCTTTTATGGACTAGTGAATAACTATAGCACAGTATAAATACTGCATGGCAGTACAGAGACTTTCTCTCCAGCATTTTTACAGATAGGAGGACAAGAGGCTTGAGTTCTGTATAGCATGACCCTGTCTGCAAAGATGTCTTGTATTTACTTGATAATATAGCACCTATTTTAAAGAAAGGCTCACATGACATTTTGGAGAACTGTGCTTGATTATTTATGGCAGTCTCCTCTCCAGTAAGCAGTTCAGTGCACTCACTGAAATGAATGTCATCATATTAATGGATCTTAGTGTGGTCTAGTAAGTTTTCTTTTCTTTGCTGATGACAAAACTACACTCTAAACCTAAGGAGGAAAGGTGGTAGGCAGCCTTTTTGATAAGCAAGTTAGGCTGTTGTAGTTGACTTGAACTCATTTTGTATCTTGCTGTTTATTTTGCTTTGCTACAGTGACATGTTTTGTCACATTGCACAGATGGTGCGCGTTGCAACCTATTTGCAATGACTTGTTGGGCCAGCAAACAGGTCTGAGAACTGAGTTGTAAGAAGTCCAGATTAAGGACAAATAGTGGTATGTGCTGTACAGGGACAAGCTCCATGCACTTGGAAGTTAAACAGGCACATGCGTGCAGATGGACCTGCCTTCAGTATTGTATTGAACAAAAATTCGTAGTAGCATGTTAGCTTTCTGCATGAGCTCCTGCATGAGCAAAGATCAGGATGATGTTATTTGTCCATAATACCAAGCCCCAATCCTAAACAGAATTAGGCATGATTAACGCTTGAGCTCTACAGTGTCTTTGCAAGCGAAAGGGGCAGTTTCGTGTGGCAAAATGATTGTGTGAATTGGCTCCCCTTCTAAGTCAGGTGCTTTTTACCATGGTAGTAGATGGTGAGGGAAAGTTCTGGGTTTTAGCATAATTGACATGCAAACTGCTTTGAAAGCCACTTTATCAAAATGGTTTGCTATAAAATTCCAGCAAACTTAGAATATGGCTGTGCTTTCATTTTAGCTATGATACTGGAAAGTGTAGGTTTGAGTTGGGTTTTGTTGGGAAGAAAGGAAGGCTGAAATTAAGGAGGCCTAGTTTTAGCGAAGTGTTTAGGACTTTTCCCTTGGTATGTTTGATGAAATCATGAACTGAAGAAACCATTCTGTGTCAAAACAAAAACTTATGTTTTGTTAGATCGCTGTTGTTACCTGCGCTCTTTATAATTAACAGAGAAATAGACATTTACATTTATCTTTGAATGCCACTGAATTTGATGAATGTGTGCCCTGAACCTTCTGTTGACATGCTTTCCCATAAAGAATTGAAATACATTCTTCTTGTCTTGGGTTAAAATAGAAATCTGCATTAGGACAGCCAAGGTCAATATCAGCTTTAGGAAAGTAGAAAAGTGCCGCTCTGAATGCTGGTATAGATAGCTTTTATCTCTTGTCTCCTCCCTATGTTTTTTTTTGACATCCATAGGCATGAGAGCACTGAACCTTTTCTATGACAATTTAGTCTGAATGTTTAGTAGGTTAGTATCTTCTAATGCCCAGATTATACTTTAATCTTTAGATTTAGGTTTGACCAGGCCCAGCTTGTTGTAGTAAAATTCAAATTCAAACACTTATGGGTTTCTAACAAGAGTATTCATGAGAATTCTAACATGGTATTCATGAAATCAATTGGATTATGTAAATCAGCTGCTTAAATATTTTTAATGTGAATTCTTTTGATGTTTCATTATTGCTTTCTGATCCTAGAGCTTCTAACAACAGTGCGCTGTGTGGTTATTAGTTTGTATAAGAAAAATAACTTCACTTATTTTGAATTTATTTATTTATCTGGAATTTATATATGCAGCTTTCTTTTCTACCGTCAGAGGTGAATGGAGATGTTGACTGGTTAAATCATGATCAATATTTAAAGAAATGGTTTCTTTGAACAGTAGCAAAGATAGTCTTACATTTATTACAGAACCCCAAATTAACTGTTAGGAAACAAAGCTAGCACAATCAATTAATAACTGTAATGAATTTCTGCAAATATGAGTGTATGTCAGTGCTATTAAGTGATCAGCTTTATTTGCCAGGGAATTAGAAGCAACAGGATACTTTACTTACAAATTTTACTTCGGTGGCAGATTTTGTTTTATATTAAGCAGATAAACAAACAAACAAACAAACAAACAAACAGAGCAATAAAAAAAGCAAAGGAGACAAGTTGGTTTTGTAATGCAATTATGTTTCTAGATGGTATGCAGGAGTTTATTGGTGTGTATACCTAGACTTCACAAGGACTCAGGAGCAAGACTCCTCCCTCCTGCCTTTGCTGTTGGATGATACCATGATGGACATGTTTTGCTTCATGGAATTTTTGCCAGATATTTTCAAATGCGCTGAATTATCAGTAGCTTGGATTGGATCATATGTGTTATTGAATCTTATTCAGATGCATGATTTGAAGTGAGTGTGTCATGCCCTCCTAAAACAGTTCTGACATTATGGGATGGACACTTGTGGGCATCATTTTTAAACAGAGCATATGGGTGAAAAATCCAGTGCACACAAGCCAGTTCATGTGGTTGATGTCACCAAACAAAATATGAGACAGAATATACAAAATATCAGAATATTAAATGTCAATGGTTATTTAATGAATAAATCCCAATGGATTTTTCTCTTACTAATCAAGGGAATCTATGTAGACACTTGTTTTGTTTTGCTTAGCTTTGCCTACTGAATAATTTTACAAGGCTTTTACCATTTTCCTATGCCTTTTATATTTGTTTGGGGAAATGGTAAATTTTTGCCCTCCAGAAATTTCACATCTTAAATAGCATTTTACTGGTTTTGATAGAGTTATAGTAATTGTACGAACTCTTTTCTGTCATAGTTTAATTGTGTATTTGTGGATATATGTTTAAGCAGATTTCCCAGATGCAGATCAGTTAAATGCATTGATAAATATATTCTTTATATAAATACTGCACTTGTCACATTCCTGGTGTACCTTTTCAAAGTGCATATAAAAGTAGGAATAAATTGGCTGTATAATTTGAGTTTACAATAAAAAAAAATTCCTATAACAATTAGAATGTTCTACAAGTATTGATAAAATAAGAAATAAAATAATAGTGATCGTGTCTTTTATCTTTTATTTGTACTTTTGTCAGGCTTTTATTAATTACCATTAACAGTTTTTAAAACCTTTTACAGCTCATATCTTGTTTTAGCATCACAACCACTCTGTAAAACAATTCATACTCCCCCCCCCCACTTTTTAGGCAGTTGGGTTTCCAATATAGTGACTTGATTCAGGCAATTCATTTATCCATTAACTGTGATAAACTTTGTCTTATCACTGCATTTACTCTTGCATTGCTTTAACCTCTCCCAGCTTTGATAAGACCAGTGTCCAAGTTGCATTGCTTGTTGAGAAACAAGATAGTGGGCTCAAAAATGCTAGTTATGAGCAGAATCTTGTGTGCATGTGTGCAGAATCTTGTGTGTGTTTAAAGAACATGTCATCACGAAAAATTTGTTGTTTAGTCGTGTCCGACTCTTCGTGACCCCATGGACCAGAGCACACCAGGCACTCCTGTCTTCCACTGCCTCCCGCAGTTTGGTCAGACTCATGTTTGTAGCTTCGAGAACACTGTCCAACCATCTCATCCTCTGTCGTCCCCTTCTCCTTGTGCCCTCCATCTTTCCCAACATCAGGGTCTTTTCCAGGGAGTCTTCTCTTCTCATGAGGTGGCCAAAGTATTGGAGCCTCAGCTTCACAATCAGTCCTTCCAGTGAGCACTCAGGGCTGATTTCCTTAAGAATGGATAGGTTTGATCTTCTTGCAGTCCATAGGACTCTCAAGAGTCTCCTCCAGCACTATAATTCAAAAGCATCAATTCTTCAGCGATCAGCCTTCTTGATGGTCCAGCTCTCACTTCCATCCATCACTACTGGGAAAACCATGGCTTTAACTATACGGACCTTTGTTGGCAAGGTGATGTCTCTTCGTGATGTCTCACGAAAAATAGTGCCCCACAGTTGTGTGAGGAACAATCAGTTACGGTATTGAACAGGTAAAGTAGCAACCATATTTCATGGTTATTATGCATCACAGTTTGAGAATAGATCATATTCTTGCATGTGCCTTAACTTTGGATGTAAAATAGTCATCGTTTTATTAATTTAACCTGATGCAGCAAGGGGACCTATATGTCTAAACAAGTTTCCTTTTGAGTGTCATCAGCTGAAGCCACAGATGGGAATGCTCATCTGAGCGTGGGTGGAGCATAATAAAGTATGCTTTAAATAGTATGCACATCTTAATGTGTCTCCACATCCTGATGCAAATACTCATGCACAGAAAGGTTTCTAAAATGTGATTCGAGCTGCTTGGGAGTGAGAATGAAAAATGGAGGTTGTGAAAAACTTCTGAGATTTAGAGTAGGGGCGTCATATCTTGAAGAGCAAAAAAAGAGGACAGCCCGAACCATTGCCAGCCTGAGCTGGGGAAATAGGCACACAGGGCTGCAGCGCCTGAGACCAAGTCTGAGCTACTCTGTGCCTGCACCAAAAACCCCATAAACAAACCAACAAACCCTGAATATTTCCTTTGAAATGTAAAACATCCCCTAGGATGGACATGTTGGCACCCCCGAAAGAGGACATGTCCAGGATTTCTAGGACATATGGCAACCCTAGTTTAGAGAAACATCTGGATTAACAGTACTGTCCTCGAGAATATGTATGGGTTTTAGCATAAGGGGGGGGGAAGTGAGCGTGCTCTTTCTGGTCCCAAATTTACCTTGTGTCTCTGTTGGTGATGCAACAACATCCAAGCGTTGGGGTTCTGTTCTGCTTATGGAGATCAGGATTCAGTATTGCATGGGCAGCCTCCATCTCCACATTGGGCAGGAAGCCTGCTGATCACACAGGGTTCCCATTCAAGGCAGAGAGCATCGCACCTCGGCTATGGTGAGGCATGCCTGGCCTGACCTGGTAGCAGAGAGTAGGGGGAGAGTGAGCGGCAAAGCTGCCACCTGCTCTTCTTGGCCACGGCCTGCATCCGTGTGCCCACCCCTGGCAGTGCGGGCATACGCTCCACTGCTGTGCATATGCATCGGGGGGGGGGGGGGCTAGTGGCCACAGGCCCAGCTCCACTCCCTTCCTTCATGAAATGGTTAATCATGTTGATCAAACACTTGAATGGGGCCTGATGCTGCCAACCCAAATATATTTGCATGAAAGCATTTAACACTACAAAAGAGTGATTGGCAAGGCAGACAAAATGTTTGTGTTGCTTTTTGGGCATCTCCCTGAAGGAAAGGCACGTTGATTTGCTTTCATATATAGTATGAATTCATTTGAACTCATGGCGAAGTGTTGCTCGTAGTGGATTTAATTTATTTACAGTGGGTTGGGTCCAGAAAAGTGTGAGCGGAGGTCTGTTCACAGAATGTTCCCCTGAATGGAAGGAAGAGGTGGTTTTGGCCAATTTCCCCCCTCCCTGTTCAGTTTTGCTCGTTCTCTGAAGTTCTGTTCTGGAGCACCTGTGTGCCTTCTAGAAAGTTCTACCTTTGAACTTTAGAAGATGTGCACAGTCATTCGTCTGTCTTCGGCTATTTAGCTCACCATCACTTATCTCTGTAGCTGAAGGGCTAGAGGCTTCCTCTAAAACAAAACAACAAAAGGCAGTAGAAACTTGCTGGATGACCAGATACCACATTTTGTGTTTGCATGGTGTGATCACAGATGCTTAATATACACACACTTCCCTAATATTGTGTAGCTCCGTCTAGAAGAATCCTAGGGATGTATAAGTAGGACGCCTCACTTAATATCTAATTTCATCCTCTCATTTGATAATGGGGGCTCAGGTAAGGAAGCCTGACTGTACGTGTAAGGCAATTTGCATCTCAGTGTGAATGCCTGAATGGTTCATTCCTCTTTGTGTGGGCAATCAACTTACAAATCTGTTCCTTTTGCCATTCGCTGGCCTCTGTAAAATTGATATCGTGGCACTCGCACACAAAAAGCTTCCTCTCTTCCATCCCAATGGGAGGTTGCTTCCCTGCGAAGTCTAGCCTACCTAATGAACACGTGGGGCCTGGTTGTCAGTGTTAATTCCAGCAAGGCTTGAGAAATGCCATTGCCTGCAGTAAGGGCTGCAAGGCAAAGCCTGTTACTGCACCTTCTATCTTTGGCATCGCATGTTTGTTAATCTGATGCTGTAAGCCTTATAGTTCCCCCCGAGGTATTTATCGAAAATGGATTTGTGAAATATTAAGAGGACCGGTTTAATGAAGCGGGTGAAGCTTCTGGTTGGAAATTATGCATTCAAACACAAAAAGAATTCTCACAGCCATTGGAGGGGAATTGCAGGATACATGCCTTTTCAACGAAATGTTGAAGGTTCAGTCAAATAACATGGGATGGTGTGTTGTAGGTAACAGAGTTGCAAAATCCAGGGACTTGCCCTGCCTTAATTAGTGATGGTCTTTTCTTTATATTATGTGTGTGTTGCACTTTCTGTTTGTCTTTGCAGCTGTGTATAATTTCCCTTGAATTATTTCTTTTGGTGAAAAACGAGCAAAAAAAAAAAAAAAAGTTGCCCAGTGGTTATGGGGAGCATAGAAAAGCATCCATATTGCTTCTACAACTACATATTTCTGCAGCACCCCACTTTCTCTGCCCCTCTTTTCCTCCATATCTTCATGAGAGTTTGCATAGTGGGTTTTAGAACCTGCATTTTGAATACTGCAGCATGATGTTTGTTATCATTTAAATAAAAAGAAGCAATTGTTGTATGCCTGTGCTAGTAAATTGCTCAGGACAGGGTGCCAATTCAATCTCTTACAACACAACGTCACTGTGGTGTTGCAGTAACATGACAACTGTGCAAACATTTGAGATGAGGTATCTAATTAACTTGTTGTTCACTTTTGGGATTACAACTAATACAGAAATAAGCGATTGATTGAGATTCTGCTAGATCAGTCAGTCGGGGAGGGGGTATGGTTCTGACATAGTAGTATTAAATTCCTGTTTTTACAGCTTAGTGTGTTTAAAATCTTTCTCCCTCCCACAGTTCTCTTGTAGGAAGACCTTGAGCTGCTGACTGCTGTTTGGTGAAGTATAAATTAAGCCAGTGGAGGCCATGTTTGAAACAATAGGTAAGACATGATACCAAAACACATTTAGATACTTAACAAACCCTTTTCATTCTCTTTTTAAGGAGCTATGGTGAACTGTGTTTCCTCGTGTTTATCTAAATTCAGGAGAAATACATGTGACGTTCATCGGTAAACAGTTCACTGAGATGAAGTCCTGGTGGAGATTAATGTCTAAGACTGCTGGCAAGAAATGCTTATAGATCTATATGAAGATGTATTATGCCAAGTGAGGTCATTGGTCCATCTTGCTCAGTACTCTTGACTAGGAGCAGCTCTCTAAGGTCTTAGGCAGAGCTATTTATCAGCCCTGTTAGCAGTGTTAGAAACAAATGGCTCCTTAAACCAAGGTTACATTCACCAAAATGGAATGTCTAGTTGCCATTTTGGGGCAAGCCAGCTCCAGTGTCTCATTTTTCAAATGATATACTGACTGCGATTGATTCTCTGTTAAACATCTGGCTAGCTCAGATGACTGCCTTGAACTAGGTTAAGAACTTTGACAACCTAAAGCATGGCAGTGGGGTGGGGTAAGTGAAGTGAAGATGCACCTCTAGATGGTGTAAATGCCAGGTTACATTCTGGCACCCTGGCATCTTCATTGAGTCTCAAGTGACCGATAGCCAGGTGCAAAATGCACCTGGTGCTTGGCTTATTTCAAACACTGCCTATTAGCTGATAATTTTTAGCTAGAGATTGAACTTGGAGCCATCTGCATGTAAAGCATATTCTCAGCCTCTGAGTTATAGCCTCTTGCAGATGGGTGTTGGTGTCCAAGGAAGAGGTGAAGTTGATCTCATTAGTTAAGCCAACACCTGAAGCAGATAGTAGAACAATGAAGCAAGGTGAACAGGCCCTGGATGGGGAAGACAGCTGTGGCTCAATCTGGGACAGAAGGCCAAAGGGCAAGACAAAATAAACAGGGGCCTTCAAAGGCATTTCGTATGGAACAAAGCCACGTCTCAAGTAGTATGGTTGGAAGGACATTCCCATATATGGATAGAGGAGAATGATTGGACCATGTTATTGGTACATCCATCAATCAATGATTGGGCCATATGATTACTATTGTCTGGAAAGGAGGACTATACATTCCTGAGCTTCAAAACAATGGTGCATCCATCATTTTGTGTTAGCTCCCTGATAAAAATCCATTCAGGAAATCAGAATCCATTTGGGCCATGGGTTAACTGTAGAAAGCTAAAATGCAGTCACTTAAAAGTATAATTAAATGCATATTCTGCTAGTGTTGTGCTGTGACAGGGCAGTTTCCACTAAACCGGATGTTTAAAAAAAGTGTGTGGAGACATCCACATTTCCATCTTGTTTTAAGAGCTGATAAAGTAGCATGTAAGCATCTATGCCTAACAGTATATACGCACATTAAGGGTACCAAGTAATAGGGAATATTCTTTCAGATACTCACCGGGCCCTCCAGGCAGTGGAACGCCTGCAAGCTAAGTTACGGGAACGAGGTGATACAGCAAATGAAGAGAAACTGAGTTTACTGAAATCAGTGCTGCAAAGTCCTTTGTTCAATCAAATCCTAAACCTTCAGGCTTCTCTTCCACAATCAAGAGATCAGGTAGGATGGTACCATCTCCAGGGGAAAGAGGAAATGCCAATATGACTTTGTCAAATCCTTTTATCTGATAACTCTCTGAACAGCTTGCAAAATAGACGCCAAACAGTAAAAAGGTCCAAAATTTTCCTTGTAACTTAGCAAGTTTGGCATTCTTAAAGTTAATTTATGCAGTTTTCTCACTGAATACTGATCATAGGTATAACCTGTAAACTTTAGGAATACTATTACTACTGAACTTAGGATAACTGGTATCACACACTATTTTCCCCAAGGTGTTTTGTGAAGAATGGTGCCATTTAACCTCTGTCAGACTAGCTTGAGAGTAGTGGGGATTCATTCTTTGACCTTATTTTTAGCTGTTGGAAATAAAAGAGAAGTTTCACATTTGCACTGACATTGTGAGATGAATATATATATTTATTTCACAAAATGTGGATACCTCAAAGCCCTCAAAGTGGTTTGCATAAAAGATAAAACAATAAAATTATTATTGCTAAAAACATTACAACCGTTTGCTAACTTGTGCAACACAGAAGAATGCTGGTGTTAAGCCCTGCCTTGAGTTATGTGACGCATGCCTGTGGAAACATACCATTCGTAATGAAGGCCCGACTCCAGCCATTATCAGGAATGTGATAAGAATGGAATGCAGTTGTCATAAGGAATATGAATCGCTAACAGTGCAGAACTATACATGCCCGCTCAGAAGTAAATCCCATTGAGTTCAAGGGGCCTGATCCTCAGTTAGGTGAGTGTAGACTTGTAGTCTAACATGCCTGGTTTTCACTCAAATGAGTGGAACACAAATGTGTGAGGTGCTGGTCATAGTTTAAATATAGAGGCAATTGTCACACATCTTTTTTATTTAGTTAAATGTGGTGCATTGAAGCGAGTATAACAACAACAACAACAACAACAACAACAACAACAACAACAACAACAACATTATTCTTTGTACCCCGCTCATCTGACTGGGTTATGACAAATTTAGTATAACATTAGTATTACTGCTACATATCTCAGCCATTAGCCACCTTTTGAAGAAATGAAAACATAAAAATCTTTTACTTCTATTTTTCCTTTTGCTAGAAGCAACAACGTCTTTGCTCATCCACGTATAATATGGCTTATTACATTCTGAGCCCCCTGTTATCATTATTACAGTGCCTTTACTCTTCTGCGCTATGTATTTTTTTTAAAAAATGTGCATTTTTGGGCATAGTTGGGAAAGAATTCCTTTGATGAGATATGGAGCTTCCTTGTCTGCGTGCTAAAGGGCTGGAAGAACCAAAGCTTAAGGAGTTTTTAGTTATTTGTTTCAAACATTTCACTTAAGCGTGGATGTTTTATAACTGATGCTCAGATGCCTGTTGATAGGTTGCCTTGTAAACCTTTTCATTAAAATAAACAAGATTTGTTGCTTATGTTGAGGATTTTAAAATGCAAAGTAAGCAAGATAAGTAGGAAGAAAATCCCAACAGCTAGGGACTAAACCAAACTGAATCAATTCTCTCTTTCAGAGAGAGAAACTGGTACTTTGCCTTCAGCACTCATTTGCATGTCAGCACGCTAAAAGCAAGCGCATATTTTCCCTCTGAGCATTCCCACTCTGTCCGTTTTTCTAAGTCTGATGCCATAGCAAAAGCCCGGTGTTTGAAGATAAGGGAGCAACGACAAAACTAAAAGAAATAAAAATAAATTCTGCTCTTGTGATATAACGAACTTCTTAAGTCTTCATTTGGCTTTTGTTTATAATTTGGAATATTTAAATATTCAAATAAAAACAACCACAACCACCACTCAGTGTTGGCAATCCAGCTTTCGCTCCAACAGTGCTTGCTTCCCCTCCTCCACTGGAAAAGCTCAAAGCTGTGCTAATGAGAAAAATCCCTTTCCTTGGCTGGGTGACATTCTTCAAATTTTTTTCATACAAGTTTGAAGATAGATTTTGCAGGGTGGAAAATTACTGACTGCAGTGTAAGGGGTCTAGCCTGTCTTCACGTGCACCCCTTTTAAGTCCTGTTTCTACTTCCTTAGTGGTTTCCTTCTTTCTTTCTTTCTTTCTTTCTTTCTTTCTTTCTTTCTTTCTTTCTTTTGATAGTGGCTTCAACCGGAGTTGCATTGAGATGTAACTATGCTTGCTTTCCTTTGATTTGTAGCCTGTGCACAGCCCCAGCTGGAAAAAAAAAGTGCTGGAGCTTATCTTGTATTCCACTGGGAAAAAATGTGTGAAGAAAAACAGCAGAACCAGACAACTGGTTCTGTTGCAGGCAGTTCTGGCGTTACTCGGAGGCTGTGGTATTATTCACTCTTATTTACATGGGTCTAAGTCCCATTGAACGCAGGACTGATTTCTGAGTAGACCTGCACAGGATTGTTCTGTAAATTGCAGAACTACTTAATTACCCTAAACACCAAACTATCCAGTGTGGATCACACCAAATCCTTTTGCCATTGTCTTTCTACCCAGCTACAGATTGCTCTTGGTTCAGTGCTTCCTGCTTTTAAGAACCATGTCTGTACCAACGTTCCTTCAATTAAGACACTGAGCTCTCAGAGAAAGATATCACAAGTCGGAAGTCCCCTGTGAAAATCATGGCACTGTGCTAAGCACCTTCTCCACCTTGGGGAAATTATAAACCGTCAGTGTAGAAGGTGCTGGACACAAGACTCAGCTGCAAATACAATGTTTTAAGTGTGTTTTGCATGCATTATACAAATGTGACACTAGATGGCATTAGTCTTATACATGGGGGGTGTTATACATGGAAAAATATGGTACTCCTTAGAGGCATAACCTTTCATGGAAGCCACTGTTGCCATCAGCTTTTTTAAGTTGGAAAAGAAGAAATATAAACTAGGTTCTGAGACCAGTTCAAATTTCCAAGAGTTTTGTGCAACTTCCATTGCTATTTTATCAGGTAGTCCAATTGCATAGTTTTCTTTATACATATAAGGCAATAAATTCAACCATGATCATAGTATCCCTGTTTTCAGCAGTGGACAGCGCAGTGGGGCTGCTCCGCTTACCTGAGCTCCCCTCAGCTGAGTTGCGTCTGCATACTGGGAGGGAGAGGGGAGCACGAGGAGGCAGTAAGTTTTGTGCAATGCAAATGAGCCAGCAGGAGCACCGGATTGGCTCTCCTGGTTTGCTTGCAGCATGCCAGCTTCATCACTGCTTCACCTCTTGCCCTCTCCAACTCAATATGCAGCAGCAACCTGGCACAAAGGAGCTCAGGTTAAGTGGCGCTGTGTCTTAGTGCCCATTTTAAGCACAGAAACCAACCCCATCTTTATGTGTTCCTACATGCATTGACACCCTAGCTCCACCTTCCTAGCAAAACTTGTGCTCCTGTAGGTTGCAGATGAAATGCTTTACCAAAGAATGCACTTTGAACAAAGAACAAGCAGGGATCTCCTAAATTTTATTGCCCTTGCTCTCCTTCTCTTCGCTCCTTTCAGTGCGAGTTAAGGCAAAAGTTTTTGAAATAAGTGCTCACTCTCATTTTGTTGCCTAAAATGCTGACATTCCATAAATGCAACTGAAGTAGATTTTTTTTTTAATTGGATAACATTTCAAACAAAATACAGAAAGTAGCATTTGATTGCAATGAAAGTTACCCAAATGTACATTTTATCATATATTGTGGCATCGAAGGGTGGTGGGTTTTTTTTTTGTTTCCTTCCAAATTATGCCAATATTGCAGATGTTATATACAGTAAAAGGAAAGGCAATTGTGGCAAATTAGCTTAAGGCAATTTATAGAACAAAGCTATGCTCTTTTCATACAGTACATACATAATCACTTTGCTATAAAGCTACCTCATCATGGAGTTAACGGTAGCTTTTTTATTGTGAAGCAGAACACTTTATATGCAATGAAAAATATGACTTACAACTACAAAAGGCATTATTGTTGTGTGGCAGTGATCACTGAGCTACTTTAGAATATGTCACATCTGAACTGAATCACATGCAGATACAGACACTCAGAGAGTCCTATTGTTTCCTGTGGAAATACTTAATCTGGATGAGCACACACCTGCGTTTCTCTCCCCACCCCAACCCCAATTTATTTTATTAAACTTCCAGAAATTCCAGCTACAATTCCAATACATATTAAAAAAAACATTCTTTTATATTATTGACTTCCCATCCCATTTTCTGTGATGTTTTTCTTATCCCCTTCTTGCTGCACCCTGGTTTCCCTTTTTCTTTCTTTTTTTTAACAAAAATCGTAATACAACAGTCTCTAGTTCTTTCTGCTACTCATAATTCAAATCCTGCTCATGGGTTCTTCAAATTAGAATATTGGATTGGTTCAAATAATCCGGAAAGGGCTTCCATTCTTCCAAAAATAAAAACAAAAAATCATCAATTGATTCTCTTATTTTAGCTGTTAGCTTTGTTGATTCGACATAGTCCATAACTTTGCTTATCTATTCTTCTTGAGTAGGAACTTCTTCCTTTTCCCATTTTTGAGTGTAAAGGATGCTAGTTGCTATAATTACATACATAAACAACTTAGCAATCTTTTTTGGAATTTCTGTCCCTAGCAGTGTCAGGTTTTTTGGGGCTTACTTTAAACATCTTTTTTTTTTATGTCACCATATATCATTTCCCATAATGCCCTGCCAACCTACCAGTTCAAAAACGAGTAGATAAATAGGTACCACTGTGGCAGGAAGGTAAACAGCGTTTCTGTGCACTCTGGCACTCGTCACGGTGTCCCGTTGCACCAGAAGCGGTTTAGTCATGCTGACCACATAACCTGGAAAGCTGTCTGGGGACAAGCGCCGCCTCCCTCGGCCTGAAGCGAGATGAGTGCCGCATCCCATAGTCAAGTTTGACTGGACTTAACCGTCCAGGGGTCCATTACCTTTACTTTACCTTCTAGGTATTCACACATAAACTGTAGCTGTGTGGTTCTGATGCCCCAAGTGCATGTACATAGGGCCAAGAAGAATCAGTCTGAGAGTAGGGAATACCACCTTTTCCTTGACAGAAGGCCATCTGTCCTGAACTGGTGAATTTAACAGGCAGAAATTAATTGGACCATCTTTCCCATCACTGTATCTCTGTGCAGAGAAAAATGGCACGTGTTCAGTTCCTGCTCATTTCTAAAGCTGTTGGGGATTTCTTGAGGGAAAGGTGCTAATCCTAGCTGGAGCCAGAGTAGTACAGTAGGTCAAGATTCAGATACTCATGTGCTAGCTTTGGGCAAGTCGCTATGTCTCAGCCCTCACAGGGTGGTTGTGGAAGAGGCCAGACATGTAGGACACACTGAATGTTGGAAAGTGTTACAGAAACGATTGGTGTATTCACTGAACAGGACAAGAGTGTCATTAACCACGACTTGAAGCTGTCATGTCACTTAAATTGTTTACTATTGGCCAATTGCATTCACGGTGGCTAAAATATTTTTTTTCCCCATACACCTGAGTTACTCTCTCGTTTTTGTGTTTGGCTTGGTTTTACCCACCCCCTCTGCTGCCCTGTAATGCAGTAACCAGAAGCCACTTTGTCTGACATAGTCTTTTCACATTAAGCTAATCCCCTTTGAACAGGCAACTCAATTTCTTTAATTAGCTTTAAGAATAAAGATCATTAGAGTGGAGTGCCACTATCAATTACTATGGACAAGTTAGTAGTCAATAATACATCAGAACTCTACCATAGTCTATACTAAAGCATTATTAAAAAACAACAAGAAGTCTTAGGATCTTGAATTAGATGAATTAAGGTTATGTTTTCATTCTTCTCTTCTGCAGCTGATCTAAAGGCATACTAGGAAGCTGTGCTTCACTTTTCCCAGGGTGGATTTGATTTAAATCAAATCGATTTAAATCACTATTTAAATCACTAGTCAGTAAGGCTTGATTTAAATCTTTTTTATTTTATTTTACTGAAAGGCATTCCTGCTAGTATATTCTTAATATTTACAACCAGATGAAGGTTTCATTTTTGGAATAATAATTTTTCAGAATAGTTTTTACAGTTATATAAAAAATTACTGATTTGGTTATACTGTTAGAAATACATACACAGATAATTATTGTGAGGTTTAATAAGTTATCTGTTTATATTTGGACAACTTTTCTGCTGTACTTTATTGGAAGGAGAAAAATAATCATTTCCTTAATAACAATTTAAACAAATTAATTCAAACAATAACATTATAGTATATGTATCCATGTTTGTTAACTGATGTAGTTAAACTAAAAAAAAACAAAAAAAACCCCTTAGACTGAGTTTCAGCACACATGAAAAACTTAAAACAAATCCTTATTTCCTGATGGCCTTTGGACTATAATGTAACTTAAATAGAAAACTATCTTTAGAAAGATTTTTTTTCCTCCAAAAGCATTTTATTTTAAAAATCCAATTTAAATTAAAAAGATTGATTTAAATTAAAACAAAATCCAATTTAAATTAAAACAATCCATTTTTTAATATATATATTTTAAAAATCATTGATTCACCTTGACTTTTTCCCATTCTACCTTTGGAAGGGTAGTAAGAGAGAAATATTTTCTTTCTAAAGCAGTTTCTTTGCATTAGCAGAAGCATGCTATGTTGTTCCCTAAGAGAGGGGAGAATTAATAGTTTGATGAGCTTCCAAGAGCTGTGATTTGTTAAAAGCATTGAAGCCTGTCCCCATTTTATATTTCAAGAGAGATGGCCTTTGTTTTCCTTGTGAGAACATTAAGTCATATTTTCCAGCATTCTGTCTTTTGACAGTGGATGCACCCAAAATAGCCCTTAGGCTGCTATAGAATGATCTATCCAAATGTTTTGTTTGTAATGTCTAAGATCTTCTCCTGGTGCTATATTCCCCAAAGTTTAGAAATAATCCTACGGACCACTGCTTCTTTCAGCTGGTTTCTGCTGGCTATAGCATTTGTAATGTGTCATGCTAGATGCTGTGTGATTTCGAATTGTAATTTTATTGCTTCTTTTATTTCTTATGTTCCACAAAATTCAAATGGTAATAAAGGAAAATATAATATAAGGAATAAAAGAAGCAATGAAAATATAATTGAAAATCAATATGAATATTAAATGCAGACGCACCACGGTTTGGCACCCCAGACATACCTAACACAAGTACATAAATATACAACATTTTGTTCATATATTAGAAATAATTGAAGAGCACCTTATCTCCCTACATAATAATTATTAGCAATCAATAAGCGATATAGTTTCAGAAAGTATAGTATACTATGCAGAAAAGCTGTTATACTTATCTGTAGCCATACCATATCTGTTTTTTATACCTTCAATCTACAGAAGTAATTTACTTCTAAAAATTTCCTTTTTTTGTTTTCTGCGACGCAGTTGGACCATTTCAAACCATTTCTGCTATTCTTTTATCATAAGTGGTTGCTTGTTGTTGCATATTTGAGCTACTGACAGATTGACAACAGTTAATAAATTCCACACCAGTTATTTGGGGTTTAATGTGATCATCCTGATAGCCCAACAAAACTGTCCAAGGATTTAATGGTATAACCTAAAGGGTCATTAGTGTGATTAATCTGATTACTTCTTCCCAATATTTCTTTATTAATGGGTGGGACCACCAGATCTGCATTTGAGGATCTACACCTCAAGTCTTTGTCCTAACTCCCAGTGTATATTTTTCTCAGTCTATGTGGTAAAGCAGTTGCTAACATTCACTTACATTTTCTAGTCTTTGGTTATAAATTTTATGCCATTCCAGCTCAGGTTTCTCTGTCCATCACTTCCTTATATTTCTTCTCAAACTATTGCCAAAAGCCCCTTTATTGTTATCCTTCTAAAAATCTTACCGTCTACATGCCATTTTCTGTGCCCTCATGTTCCCCGCCCCCCAAAATAACTTCTTAACTGCCACTAAGAAAGTCAATGTGTGGTTATACTAAATTTCAATTACAGTTGACTCTTAAGCCAGCAGTGTGTACAATATTTATCATACAGTGTTCCATGATTTGTTTCATGACTTCTGTAGTGTTTTAACTCTGTTTTGAACACGTGTCGTATCATTAAGGGCATGATAAACCTCCAATGTTGGATTATGTGTGAGTTTTTTCTATTTTGTTTTGTGTGTTTTGCCCAGTAACTGTGTGTTCTTATGTTCTTCACAAATAAAATCCAGTAATGTTGCATAATTTTTTAGGTACATGTTGTACCTTCTATCTCCTCATCTGGCGAGCTCCTACAGCTTTCTCATCATGCTGCTATTGTGGAAACTTCACTCCCAAATGAATCCTATCTGTTGGCTCAGCAGAATGGCAGTCTTTCTAGTGGGCTAGAAGCAGCTGCCCGATCTCCTCAGATTATTGTGAAGTCTGCTAGTGATGACTTTGAACTGCTGATCAGAAATATGGCACAGGTAGGACTTCATAACTTGAATTAACTGTCTGGCACTGTGGCCTTCTGCTAGGGCAGACAGGTCCAACCGGTTGACCGCAATCTACAGGTAGATCCCCAGATGATCTAATTGATCCCTAAGTGGGATCCAGCTGTAGTGGGCAATGAATGTATCCACCCCCGCCCCCCCTTGGGCAGTCATTAGGTGCCCGCTGCTGGCAATTTGGGAAATGAAAGTTGGCTTTAGCGCCGTGTGTGTTTCAAAGCTGTGGATTGTTTGGTGTGCGAGTTATGGCACCCCCCCTAAAAATAACTCCACAACCCTGTGCATTAGTCCCCAAAAATAGCTCTATAGCTCATGGTACTCTCCCCTAAAAAAGCTCATCAACCCTGTGCAATCGTCCCTCCAAAAAGCTCAACAACTCTGGGGCACTCCCTAAAAAAAGCTAAACAACTCTGGGCAATCCATCCATCCCTTCCTTCCTTCCTTCCTTCCTTCCACCCACCCACCTAGCCACCCCACGCATGCTCCTCCTCTCTCCAACGACAGTGGGTAGATCACTGCCAGTTTTCCTATACTGGGAGTAGATTGCAGTCTCTTGGGAGTTGGACGTGCCTGTGCTAGGGGATTAGGAATATGCCACAAGTTTTCTCGATTTTTACGAGCTTTGCCTCCCAAATGTTAGCACTACCTGTAGTTACTCCAAACGCAAGTTCCTAACCCACTTTTGCATGGTTGCAAACTGTGATTTGTCACTAAATTTGGTTAGTGAACATGCTGGTGGATATGTAAAGGTAACCGTACTTAGTCCCAAAACTTGAAAGAGAAGGGTGAAGAGATGCTTCATTGTGGGATGCCCAGACTGCCTAACCACAGTGATCAGAACAGGACCCCTTCATTATGCCCCTACTGGATTAATTATTGCCTGTTTGTTTATTTGTAATTTGTTTCGTTAAACGTGCACAAACTTTGAAACCACATTGCTTCTGAATTTGTTTCAAAATGGTGCTGGTTTTTCTTACAGGGACGCCTTGTTGAAACCATAGAACTTGTGAAGCCTCTAAGCGGTGGCCTAGGCTTCAGTGTAGTTGGCCTGAAGAGTGAATATAGAGGTGAACTGGGCATATTTGTGCAGGAGATTCAAGACGGAAGTGTGGCACAAAGGTGAGATTGCCAGGAACCACTTTCTTAGTCAGATTTTAGAGATGGGAAGAAATCTGTAAGAGACGTGCCACTTTTAGTCATGAGCAATAGTATAACAGCTACAAAGGGATGTATTGCTCACGACTGATAGCTCATTGGAAGTTATAAAGATTGTAATATTCATGCCATTCATGTACAGTTTGAATTTCAGATCTTTCTGAAATGGCTCCTTTTCCAAATTGTTTATCTATTTTTTAATCATTGTGTTCATTTATACATGTTGCAATTTTCCTTTGTTGTGTGGCAAAGGATAAGGACTGCCCAGAAAGTATCCCACCCTTTTTAATATTCTTTTGGGAGCCGCCCAGAGTGGCCGAGGAATGAATGAACAAATAAATAAATAAATAAATATTCCAAAGTTCTTATGACCTCTATTTCCTCTTCTCACACTCTGTCCCATTGCAACCAGTATATTGTTAACTCCTTCCCCTGCCTAGTTTTTCTTTTTTTAACAAGGTGAATCTGTTGGTTTCTATAATTTCTTTGATTCTTGATATTTCTTTGTTTCATTCTTCTTCTGTATTGATGTGTGTATTCTGCAGGTTGTTTTGTACTGCTGTGGGAGCTTTTGGTTTAAAGGGCAGCATATAAATTAATAAAAATAAAAATATTTTAAAATTCTACTGATTTCAGCAGAAGAGAATTAAACATGAGTTTCATTCTCCCGTTGGAAGCAATGACACTTGACAGGACTTAGTTTGTGACCAATATATTTTGGGCACATAGGTTTTAAAGACTGTTTAATAAATTTATTGATCCTAAAAAGAAACGTGAATTAGGCTCACAGCTTACTTTTATTCAGCTTACTTTGACTCAAGTCCGAAGAAAGGCAGATTATGTGTTTCCCTGAAAATACATTCTCCACCGGCAAATGAATGAATCCCTTTTGTGACTAAGTTAAGAGCAGAAAGATGTCCTTTACAATGTAGTTTGCTTCTTTGGTTTTAAATAAGGAAGGCTAGTCTCCTCCCCACCTCCCTCTTACACACCTGATGGCAGTGTTTGGTAAGTAAACTGTATGGATTGATGAATATTCAGTACTTGTACCGTGAATGAAGTAGAGCACATGCTCTGTTAAGCAGCAGGCTCAAAGTCAAGAATGAAGTTCCCAGGCTATAGCTGGAAGAGCTGGAAGCAACCCACTTGTAATATGCTTAGTCTCGGATGCGGGTGCAGGGAGAAGGAACTACCGTAGCTGTGGGGTGAAGCCAGGAGACAGTGGCAGTGGGATTAGCTTCAAAGAAAGCTGATCACCAGGGTGCCAAAATAGTTGCTCACAGCAAAACTGTAGGGAAAGATTTTTTCTAAAAAAAAAATAAAAAAAAATTGGGTGGGGAAACAGAAAAACAGGATTAAAAGAAACTATTTTGGAAAAACTGACAAACTAATATTTGGTGGCACTTAATTTTGATAATTTCTTTTACCCTTTGCTTGCCTACAATAGAGATGGAAGGCTGCAGGAAGCCGATCAAATCCTTGCTATTAACAGGCAACCCCTTGACCAGACCATCACGCACCAACAGGCTATCGGGATCCTACAGAAAGCAAAGGATTGTGTCCAGCTGGTTGTGGCCAGGGGCGCCTTGCCTCAGCTTATCAGCCCTGTGATTTCTCGGTCCCCATCAGCTGCTAGTACAATCTCAGCCCACTCCAATCCAGTGAGTACATTGTATGAGCATTGAAAACAAGCATGCCTTCCTTTTTCTTAGCTTGTCGGTGGTTGTAGTTTATATGCTGTTTTCCGTAGTCTTGTAGACTAATCACCCCTTGCCTCAAGGTCAAGAAAGTCATGCATAATCTTCTCCCTGAACATTAAGCAGGTGGTTGAGTCAAACTGCATCTCCAAGTGAAGTTTTCCCACGCTGTCAATTTGTCTCCTAGTGCTCAGGCAACAATGTTCCTTCAGTAGGAAGGTCAGAGGTGCAGAATTTGTGGCTCTTCACATGCTGCTCCCACCTGGCTTTGAGTGCCCTTTAAGTTTCAGATTATTTGCGGTAGGGTAGACTTGGTGAATCCATAGATGGAAAGAAGCCCATGCCTTCAGGCTCCAAGAATGATGACCAAGTACCAGTCAAGGTATCAGACCCATTTGGATTGTGGGCAAGACTCCATAGCATTCTATGCTTCTGGGAAGCGTCTACATTGAATCACAACAGCAGCAAAGAACTCACATAACACTCTCTAAAGTACAGCGAATCATGCAAGAAGCCATCAGTCACCTAATAGTGATAGAGGCTATTAAACCTGTTTCTGCAGAAGAAAGGTGCTTAGGCTTTGACTTAATCTTTTTCATCTCCCTCTTCTCCCCTTGCAAACTATTCTGGAGATTCTTCCAACCCTCCAGAACAGATTTTTTGGGGGGTTGGGGGTGCTCAGGGGGTATGCGGGGAAAGAGAGTCTTTTTTTTTTTTTTTTTTTGCTAGCAGGAATCATTGTGGTGGCTTCTGCTGGTGCAGTAATTTAGTTGAATACTACCCCTAGTTGCGAAAATTCTGTCCTGAATTTCTTATAATTGAGAAGACCTTGCAATCCAATATTGCCCACCAGTTGTCTCCTTTCTTCAGGTGCCTCATTGTCCCAGACATCCTTGGTTCTTGGCAATCCTGTAGTTAGCACAGTTGTCCTGCTGTTTTCTCCCAGCCAGGATGGACCTTCTCTTTCAGGGCTCTGTCACACACCTAGATTCACCTAACAGAAATCTAACAGCACCATGGCTGCAGTCTGCCACTTGGAAGTTGAACCTCAGTCCCTCTTAGCTGCTAACAAGCCCCTTCTATATGCTGGTGTAGTGCATCATTGGAACATCCCTCTACATCAGCCAGTGCTATGGCCCACCTCTTCCAGCTCACCCATCTGGGTGAGCCATGCAGAGGATGTTAGGGTAGCTGATGTTTCCCCTCTTGGATGCCCTTTCCTGACAAACAAATGGGCAGTGAGGAATTGTGTATTCAATCGCTGGCCAACCTGTGCCTTCTCCCCCATGCTAATTTTCAGAGGCATACTGAATATATCTGAATACACATTGAGCTTCTACCACCTTTACCATGGAGTTTCATTGGATTATGAGGTAGAAAGACATTTCATCACCCATGGCATGCATAATTTTATATATTTCTGTTATATTGACTGCTTCAGAGCAGTGGGTCTCAATTCCTTTTTCTATACCTACATAGAAAAGAACATGCGTTCTCAGCTACAAGCTTTAATTTTGATTCCTGGTCCCATTTTGAGCTAATTCATTGAGACAGTAAACACTGTTGATTTGCCATTGAATACGCTCAGAATGAACAACGCTGCATAGTGATTACTCATAGGCAGATTTCTAGAGTGAGGATACAGCCAATATTTAGCATGTTTACAGTTCTGTGCTCTGTTACACTAGAAACAAGACAAATGCTTGTCCTCTATTGTTGTTGTTGTTGTTGAAATTAACTTTCAATATTGATATTTTCAGGTTCACTGGCAGCATGTGGAGACCATTGAGCTGGTGAATGATGGATCAGGCCTGGGATTTGGGATAGTGGGTGGAAAATCAACTGGAGTGATAGTGAAAACCATCCTTCCAGGAGGAATAGCTGATCAGGTACACAAACTATGTTCTTGTTTATAGCACAGAACGATATAGAATTACAGTTTATAAGTATTCTACCTACAATCGTACCTTGGTTTTTTAACAGCTTAGTTCTCGGGACGTTTTGGCTCCCGAACACCGCAAACCTGGAAGTGAGTGTTTCGGTTTGTGAACTATTTTTTGGAAGCTTTGGTTTCTGAACGTTTTGGAAGTCGAACGGACTTCCGAAATGGATTGCGTTTGGCTTCCGAGGTACGACTGTAATTGGTACCCATCTTTTATTTTCTTGAAGTAAAATGAGGGGGTTAGCATTTTTGTGTGGGAAAACTGCTTCATTAATTAAGATCTGCCCCACTCCAAAAAACAGCAACAATATAAGCACATATCAAAAGGGAAGAAGGAAACGGTTGGAGCTGTGCTCAGTGCCACCACCCATCCAAGAACAGCACTGCTGCCATCCAGCAGGCACAGATTCTGTTGCAAAATTATGACTCCCTCAGCTGAAGTTGCCGCCAGAGGTGGAGAGAGAAAAGGGATGGTCCACTCTAGCCTCAGCTTCTCTCTCTCTCCTTCCCGCTTCACCCCGGTGACTGGCAAGCTCTCTGGAGGTTTCCTCCTATTCTTCTTCCAGCTGGGCTGCCATCTACCAGAAACCATGAGAAGGGAGAGTGCTTCTACAGCTGCCTCCTCCATGGCCAAACATGAAGGTTTGTTTGCCAGAAGCATCTTAAAACCACGGGCTAAGAAGCTGGCTTGTTTAAACAAATCCTAGCTGATATTGGCCACAGTTTATGGTTTAGACAACATGCTAAACTGTGGTTTGGTGTTGTTGTTGTTGTTGTTGTTTGCGCTAAATCCCACTTCGTTTCTTTTCACTAAAACCCTACCAAGCAGTGCTAGGTGCAAAAGATGCTCCCAATTTTCGCTACTCTCTTCTCATTGCAATCCCCCCCCAAAGCTGCTCTTAAGAGTTGGAAGAACCCCTGGAACAGTATGGGATGTGGCACAGAGGGTTGCAAAAGGCTGTATATTGCAATAGTGTATTATGCTTACTTTTTGAAATATAAACACTAGGCATCTTGGCATCGCTTTTACCTGTGTTTATTATTTTACTGCTGCAACAACAGATTATACATTAGAGCATAAACAAGTTTTTTGAATTCCCCTATATCGTTATTGTTGCAATACTAGTACTGTTAATGCTGTATTGTTTTTAATACTCGATTGGGAGCTGCCCAGAGTAGCTGGGGAAACTCAGCCAGATGGGTGGGGTATAAATAATAAATTATTATAATTATTATAGTAATTTCTTGTTGGGGTGCATGTGTGCCCTCTCTATCTCTCTCTATATATTTTGCCAGTGAAGTAATTGGTTTTTTTCCTCATCTAGCATGGTAGCCTGTGCAGTGGAGATCACATATTGAAAATTGGTGATACAGAGCTGGCTGGAATGAGCAGCGAGCAGGTGGCGCAAGTCTTGAGGCAGTGTGGAAACAGAGTGAAGTTGGTTATAGCCAGAGGCCCACTTGAGGAGCCCACGCCACCAGCAGTTCCTCCAGGAACACCAGTACAAACCTTTATGATGGATAACCAGGTAATGATTTGACAAGGTCAATTTAAGAAGCTGCACTGGCAATAGAGACTTCAATGGTGGTTCATTATTTAGAGTTCATGGCTCACTATTTTCTTAATCCAAAGGCATATAAATAGAATGTGCTTATCACCATACTTAAAAATAAATCAATCAATCCCTCACGGTAGTCAGTAGTGCATCGGTGCACTGGGAACTCTGAGGAGCCAGACATAAAAACATGCAAATAATTTCTAACCCACTAACCTCAATGTGCCACTTGAACGATGCTTCAACAACAGCTGAGCAATCAGTGTTTTGCAACACCTCCCACTTACTCTGTGGCAGCCCTTTCAGTCCAGCTGGATTATTAAAACAGTTTCTCCCAATATGCCTCTCTTCCTCCTGCCTCCCCCACCCACCTCATCACCCCCAGCAACCATCAGCCTTTTCCTTTCTGTGCCAGCCGGCACACAGCTGCAGCTCTTCACCTAGGTCAGCTGCTACAACTTCAGCTGCTGCTAGCTGTGTGCCAGCTAGCCAGCTGCCACCTTCATTGCATGCTGTATACCCTTCACTTCTCTGTTTTGCTGTTCTGGCTCTCTTTCTTTGCTCTCTGAAAGGCTCCCTCAATTCCCCCGCCCCGAATCCCTCTGCGTTCTCCCGTTCACAAATGAGTCCTTCGTTTAACGTTCCGAAGGGATGCCAAGCAAGATTGCGGTTAGTAATGTGAGAAATGGGAGAGGCAATCTGAGGCGTTGGGTGTGCGAAAACAAAGAAATACCATGCAGTAAAACAACACACGTATTTTTCTGTGTCTTAAGAAAGAAAAAAATCTACAGTAACATGTAGAGAGTCTCAGCACCCTGTACAGATAATCTGACAGCTGTCGAACTTGATGCATCAGTTGAGCTGATTTTATTCAGCAAAATGAGGTGCTACTTGGTGGAACTGTGACTGCCACAATTGTATACTGAAATAAATAAAGGAAATAAAGAGAGGATCAAGCTCAAACCTTTCTGCCGGGAGGCATGGCTTGTTCCAGTGACCTCACAGTTTTTCATTGCACTTTCTCCCCCTGCAGTTTTCAGGAAGAATTCCTGAAAGATTATTTGAACCATTGCTTCTCATCATATGCGTAAGGTTGGGAAACAGTCTTTTAGTTTATAAAGAAGCCTTTCTTTCCTTTAATAGTTGAATTTATACTAATAGCTATTTTTAGGGACAAAGAGTAGGCAGCACGGCAGCTTTGCCTCTCGGCTCTCCCTGAAATCATCACAAAAAAGCTGCTATTAATTGTTACATGCCCCAGTTCCCAAGTTATTTTTACTTTGCCAAATAGAATTTGCATTTGTTCAGTTTTACTCAGTGACCTTCCCCTCTCCCTGCCCCTAGAATCCTTTGTGCTCCCATTTCTCTAGCATACATAGTATGTTACCCGTAAGTCATCTGTATAATACACTATTAAATCATGGCTCATCATTTAGTTATCATTATTAGTAAAGGAGGATTTTTTTTAGCAGATCCATTGTGCCACACTGGGTGTAAACAACTGGAGTTCTGCTTGTGCAACAGGACCTCCCTGTTCTCTATCTACAGCACCCCGCCCCACCAAATATGTTTTGAAGGTCTCTGGACATTATCGGATTCAACCCATATGTTATAGGCGAACCATAGCTCTATTTCCTGTTGACTTTCATAGTATCAAGAATTATGGCTCTTGTTATGCCTACTGGCGTGGTTGCTCGAGAGCGAACAGGCAAGATCCCCACTGGTCTTTTCAAAAGGCTTTATTATTGGTGCAAAAACATTTACAGTGCAGAACGTCTCACTTCCATGTGTTGCTCAGTCACTAGCAGAATCTGAGAGTGGGCGGTCCTTAAACTTTCCCCAGCAGAGTAGTCTCTTGACCCCCATCCAACGCTCCCCTCTCTGCGTGTAAACCTACTGTGCAGAGAGAGCGTGGGTAAAGGGGGACCTGGCTCCCCCCCCCGCTTTGCTCATGCACGGTGTCTTGGCTCTCTCTTGCATCTTCTGAGCCCTGCATCTCTTCCCCACTAGAGGCGGGGCTTCCCTCCTCCGCGGATGAAGTGCTGCTTCTCACGATCTTTGGAGGCTCCCTGTAACCCAGCTGCCCTTCCACCTCTCACCTCTGAGCTGATGGCAGTTCCCTGACAGCTATTATTATTGTTGTTGCTGGCATATTTTGCACTCAGGTGTCTAAAAGTGAATGGCACAATGGAAATACAAATGACAGCGATGTTAAAATCAGATATGAAAGCAGCAGTAAGCAAAAACTCAAACACTTCTACTCACCACTTTCACTTAAAGCTACTCTGTTGAATATTTGTTTGTCTATGGTATTTTCAGTAAAACAATTTGGTCATATTCTAACTCTACCAGCACAAGGAGTTCCTCTTCTCCTTAAATCTGCTCCAGAGGGATATGGGAACCCCTGCAACAGATTTTAGGGGGCACATGGGGGGTGAAAGAGAGGGTTGGCAGTCCTGCTGCATTCTTGATAATTTTTTGGACTGACGGGACCCGAGCTTAGCACTACATTGAATACAACCCGTTTGTCTTTAAGTGTTAGCTCCTGAATTGAAAGTTTCAGGACCAAGTTGTCGTTTTATTTGCCTGAATCACATATCCTCTTGTTATTTCAATTTTAATATTTGTGTGCGTATCTTTTATTTTGAAACATTTCAGTAATAATAAAATTTACCCTGACCTTTAGTTTACTTCTCTTGCATGATAGTAATATCTGTGGAACTGAATCTTGAAGGACCTCAAAACTGCAAAACACTTCATGGAGCCCCAAACCACAAATTTTTTTGTTTATTTATTTTTGTTATCTTACTTATTTGCAAACATTTCTTCATGGATAACATTTTAACAAATGTAAGGGAGGTGAACAGCATAAAATCAACAATAAAACAACATCAATAAAACAAGTGCAGAATACATCATAAATCTGTAAATCAGAATAGTACATCAGTATAGCTGGATTGAGCTGTATAAATAGGTATTTTGAAGACAAGTAAAACTAACATTTTCAGCAGTTATTTTGGAGGGTTGCCATCTGTACAACTATCATTCCAGTTCCATGCTATCTATTTGCAATTTTGGTACCTGAATTGGTTTGGAAAATACGTACCAAAGTTTTTGTCCCTCATGGGACATTCTTTCATTTGTTTTTGTTTTTTTGTTTTCTTTTTTCTAAGAGAGATGAAGAGACACAAGTTGAAAATGATGCTAATGGAAATATGTTTGATGTGGAACTCACAAAAAACATCCAAGGATTAGGAATAACTATTGCTGGTTACATTGGAGACAAAACCTCAGGTAATATTAAGACCAGATCTGTGGAGGGCTATAGCTTGGTGGCAGATGCCATGATTTGCACACAAGAGGTCTTAGAGTCCAATCCCTGGTATCTCCAGGTATGGGTGGAAAGGACTTCTTACTGAAACCCTGGAGAGCTACTGACAGTCATTATGGACAGGGCTCAGGCTATTTTAACCAATTTTCAGGCTCTTTAATGGTGGGCCAAGCGGGACTTCAAAAGCACCATCTTCAGGTACAGTGGTGCCCCGCAAGACGAATGCGTCACAAGACGGAAAACCCGCTAGACGAAAGGGTTTTCCGTTTTTGAGTTGCTTCGCAGGACGAATTTCCCTATGGGCTTGCTTCGCAAGATGAAAATGTCTTGCGAGTCTTGAGACTTTTTTTTCGCTCCCCCCCCCCTTTATCTAAGCCGCTAAGCCTTTAATAGCCTTTTAGCAGCTAATCCGCTATGCCGCTAAGCCTTTAATAGCCGCTAAACCGCTAATAGCGCTAATCCGTTAAGCCGCTAATAGGGTTGCTTCGCAAGACGAAAAAACCGCTAGACGAAGACACTCGCGGAACGGATTAATTTCGTCTTGCGAGGCACCACTGTACCATTAAAATACAGGTGGCTGAAGGGGAAGGTAGCAAGACCATTACAAGCATCCAAAATCCAGGAACCTCCCCACTGCTGGAGAGGGTTAGACACTTTAAAGAGCAGCTTGCTTAACCGCTCTCTAAAGCACCTCCCACTCTCCTTTAAATAGCTCACCTGGGCTACCAGCTGCTTTCTTGCTTGCTTGCCTGACGGTCTGTTGTTGCTCTGCAGTTGCATGACTGCCTGTTGGTGGCCGTGTGAACTGCAGCACGATGACAGCCTTACAATTTTATGTATATAGGAGGCTGTGCATGTTCAAAGAAGCCGGCATTAAACTGGGGCTGCCTCCTTGTATGCATCTATGCATTAAAATGTAAGCTTATATCCTGTAATGTGTGGTACAACCCTTAGGGGAAAATGTCTTCAATGAGACTTTGGACTTACATCATAGTACTAAGGTTAAGTGCTTGGGCGTTTTTTGGTATGATAGAGAACAGCGAAATGTCTCTGTGCTGTGTCTGGGATTTTGGACTCGGGTCCTAGGTGCTGATGTAGCAAGAGCTGAAAAGTAGTTTTAATTGCATGAGGTTTTTCCCTTTTCAACCACAGAACCTTCTGGTATTTTTGTAAAGAGTATCACAAAAGGCAGTGCAGTTGAACATGATGGTAGAATCCACGTTGGAGACCAAATTATAGCAGTAAGTAATCATAGAGGAGTGATTTTATTGAATACTTGCTTTTATTACCCTCACTTTTATGATCCCCATCCCACCCCGTGGCACAGTTGACCAAAACGATTGATTTATTTAGAACCTTACATACCTTTTGTCTAACAGAAAATACACCTTATGCTAAACATTGAATAGCCAGCCATAGGATTGGGCCATCTCCTTGGTGTGGAGACATGTGTCCAGCAGAAGGCTGATTAGATTCAGTGTTTGAAGCTGCTATGAATAGACTGCATAAAAGAAACTGGAATGGATAATTCACACGGGCCTGTTTGTAATAGCTCCATCATCAAATGCAGGTGTCTGTTCCAAAGACAGGTTTTTGCATGCCTGCTTTCATTGATCTGCACTTGGAAACATGGTTATTAATGCAATCACATTAGCTGTACCCATACAGAGAGAAAACACAATTGCTCTGTTCTTCCAGTTTTTCTTGTATCAGTCATTTGGTCATCCCAGCTGTCACTGATGACACAAATATATCAAAGTGCTGTAGTTGGTTATCATGTGAACACTTATAACACCAGACTGTTACTCAGCAGTAGAAACCAAGAAGGAAAGTGACTTTTTGGTTATGATATTACAAAGCTACATAAACCCAGTTCTTTTCTTTCACAGTGGCTTTGTATAAATCTAAACACTGAAAGCTAAATGAATCTGAATGTGGTTTTCTGGGATGCTCATATTCGGAGACAACAAAGCAATAATAGATAAAAGTGGCTGGAGACCAAAATAAGACATGACATTTTGCAAGTGGCTAAGATGAGATTTGGCTCATTTTGAATTACACACTTCTTGCACGTTTATCTTCTTTATAGTGGCCTGCTGGAAATTAAAACACATTTAATCATTCAGGTGGATGGAACAAATCTTCAGGGTTTTACCAACCAGCAAGCAGTGGAGGTTCTGCGGCATACTGGCCAAACAGTTGGACTCACGTTGGTCAGAAGAGGCCTTAAGCAGGGAAATCACATTCAACCCCATGAGGACTTCAGTGGTGCTGTTGAAAAGGATTTAATTTTCCAAACGATGGAGGTTGGCACAGGCAAAGGTAATTAAGAATGGCTTTGCTTCAAATGAGTTGGATTTTATTTCTCTTTCTACAGCTTATCAAACTGGGGAAAATGGGTTAAAATTTGCCCTTAGAGTCTGCATTTCATTTTTTTAAAAAAATCATATAGGGCTTTCTCATGTAAGGGATTTGTGTTCTCATCCATAGCTTTTATAAAGATTTCCTCTTGGAATTTCAGAGCTAAATAAAGTGTCAGCAGGAAGCTCCCTGTTTAAGAGAGTCAGCAAAGATATGGATAGAGCAATGGGATATTGGAGATTATTCTTGGTGTTGAAGGAGAATATAGTGGTGTTTTTGTTATGTTAGATGGATGGATAGCACCACTGTCTGTGATCTTGGAAAGTTGCCATCAGTCAAAATAGACCAAATGGATTGATTGGCCGACAATATAGGGAACTTGATAAGTTAAAACACTTTCTCCACTACTTTACAAGTAAAACAACTGTACTGTATATGTGACGAACAGCTGAGCTGGTGATGCAGTGCCTTAGAATTCCACCAGAGGGCTGCAGCCTCTCTCTGATTGGCTACTAAGACAGCCAACCAGAGAGGGGTGGAGCCAGTACTTTGGGAGGGCAGATAAAAGGAGCTATTTCAGAGAGAGTGCTAGGATAGGGAGATGGTTTAAGAGAGAGCAGGAGGAAGAGAGAAAGGAGAGACTTGAGAGTTGCTTCTGGTCTGTGTTAGGGCTGGGCGATATCTGGTTTTTGACATCTTGATATCTCACCAGTTAAACATTGTGATCTCCCAATATATCATGATGTCTGAAAGAAGGATGGAGCTATGTAGAGGCACTGATTGGTTTCATGGTTTTTCCCACATTGTGGTTTTTGCATAAAACACACACATACACCATGATCTCCAATATATTGCCAGGTCAAAAATTATGAAACCTATATCACAATATGAACTTCAAACTGGTTTTGGACAATGTATTGATATATCACCCAGCCCTAGTCAGCGTGTCAGATCCATTCTGAGGAGAATATTTACAGCTATAGAAAGGAGTCTCTCAGTTTAGATAGAAAGTGGCTTGGGAGAGTATTCAGACAAGAGTTAACTGGAGGGCTGAGTTTGAAGAAGGAGAAGTAGAAGCTGTGAGGGTGATATACTTTGGTCTTGTTTCAGTCAGGAGGGGAGAGATATTCAATTAATATTTAAGAAGGACGTGGTGATCCCCTGGGTCTGTTATAATGCTAGAAGTATCTCAGGAGTATGATTGATAGAAGGTTGGGAATCTGACAGAAAGTACCACCAAAGTATTAAGCTGTAACACCTATGGTACAACTAAGTTAAGGAACTGAAGTGAAATAGCTGGAAATAAGCCAAGCATTTACTAATTAGTCTAGAAACCGGTAACATCTAACTGAAAACAAGCAACTGAAGTTTAAAAGAAGCTGTGTGTTTGCTACCTTGTTAGAAGCCTGTAACATCCACTGGTTTTAGTATACCGGTAATTATTAAATAGTTGACTGTTTCCTGAAATAACGTTATTGCTTCACGAATAATTTGTTTTATCAACTTTGTTGCTGTTTGTTCAACTTCTGCCTGAGTCTCCAAGTATTGAAGTTTTACCTCCCACAAAAAACATAAGTAAACCCGTTGTGGTTATATAGGGTCTATGAAGCTCAATATGCTTCATCCTAGAAGGCTTAAAAATGCAGCAATGTGACATTGACAAGGTGTTGCATGGAAATATGTTGTTGGATTCTAATCAGACTCTCTGAGGCATTAAGACATCAGCCTTTCCATGTCTTAAAAATCCTCTGGAGAAGCCTGTCTCCAAGTACCCTCCTTAGTAGAGGAACACTGCTTCTGCGAAGGAGAAGACCTTTTTTGTGGTGGTGCCCAGACTCTGGATATCTTCCTATTTTAGAGTGTAGATTTTTGGAATTGTGTTAATTATTGTGTTTGTAGATTTTTAGGTTTTTATTTTGTTATAATTATTGGTTTTGAATTGTATTTCCATGGTTTGTGTTTACCCACACTTATGTAAACTGCCCTGCAATCTTTTGGTGAAGGGTGCTTAAGAAATATCTGAAAACAAATAAGTAACTTTAATTTTGATAATATCGCCGTAAAGTAAGAATTTCTTGTAGCATTCGTGTGGTGACTTTTTCCTTCTGGCTTTAACTCCATGAGATAACTTCTGAGAGCTAATAAGCCCCGTACTGAGTTTCTGATAATTTCTGCAGTATGTTACATATCACCAGGTTCAGACAAAGCGTGTTCTCTTTCATGGAGAGCACGTGTTGCAGTGGGGGCTGACAGGACACTCCAAAGTTGTGGGGCAGGCTAATTGATCGTTGGCCACTGTTGTGATTGTGCTTCCCTTGTTGTTGGGAAGAAGTTAATGTTGCCATTTGTTGATTGACAGCCAGAAATGCTAAAACTCCCTGCACGAGGTGTAGAGCTTCCTCTTTTCGCCCCGTGCATCGGATTGCTCGTCCCCCCTCCCTATATTTAGAGTTGTTTGCTTTGACCTTGCTAATCCTGTCATGGGGTCGTCTGCTCTTGGGGCAGGGGCCCGGTAGGAATTTTGTCCATCTGGCTGATTGGCTGGGGCCATTTGGTTTTTGCCTACTGTGTAGCAAATCGTCACAACTTGTAAGGTTGCGGTTAGGCATTGGTTTATGGTTTATTTGGTTGAGGGGTATGGATTGGCTGTGCCTGCCCCTCTAATGCTGCTGCTGCAAGGGATTTCGTTAAAGGAATACAGGGGCTCACTATTGCTTTTGTCCACCCTGTCAAGGGGCTAGGGCCACGCAAGAGCCCCTGGTTGTATTTGGGGAGGGCTGAGGGCAGGTTCCCTGCTCCGTCGCTACCCCCAAGTTTATTCCCCTTTTCTGACTTTCGCAGGCGTGTGGAATGTCAGTCTGTCCCCCATGGGGGGGGGGGGCAGATAGTCGCAACCAATGCCTAAGCAACCACTCACGTTTTTGTATTGTAATAAAGCTGTGGCCAAAATTATGTCAAAAACCTTAAACAAAAATTTCTGTGTGATGTGTGAGTTATTGGGGTGGCCCTGGGGACCTCGACATGCAAATTAAGAAGACATATTCACCATAAAGCTGGGGGTGAGAGAGATAAACTTACGGGTCATTTTTTCTTCATTAAGAATAAACCATTATTGATGGATAATGCAACTGCAAGATTTATAATTTTCAGTGAAACTAATAAAAATATTAAGAATGCAATCTTATACATGTCTTACAGATGTTTACTTAGAAGCAAGGCCTGTTTAGTTCAGAGAGATTTACTTCCTAGTTAGTGGGCACGGAATTGCTGCCCAGTGCACATATTAATGTGAGAAATTGGCCGTCAGAGGACTTATTTGAGTTATGCTTACTAGCAGCCTTTTAAATATTCTGATTGGGACTTGAACCTCTGTCTTTCAAAGCATGGTCAAGACAATTGCAGCAAGGATTCTTCCCATTGTAGAATAAATAATGCACAGGCAAAACTTTTCCCACCTGTAACCTCCACTTACTCCCCTCTCTTTGGATGACGTAGATTGAATATACAACAAGAAGAGTATTTGCCAACTTTATGTATCCACAGTATTTAACAGCAGTCTAGTGGTTAAAGAAACGGTGGAAGAACAGATTTATTGTTTCCAGTGATTTGGCAAACGTTTATAGGTGGAGTGATTATTAGAAACCTCGGAGTTCTGTGTTCTTTCCCCTTTATCTGAAACAAAGGAATAAGAAAAAAAAGGCCAGTCGTATGAATTATTTTGATAGCATACATTTTTTTCTTCATGGCAGAAAGATTTAATGTTTAGATTATTATGGGGAGTTGTTCTTCATGTATAAAACTCTACAGTGATAATGCAGTACGTTATTTTTTTAAAAAAATAAAAGCTACTTTCATTATTATACACCTCTACAAACACAATTTCTTGTTTGAAAAACACACCCTATATTTGGTCCAGGAGGGAGCTCTTACATGAAGCTGGATAACAAAAAATGAAAGCAGGAGAACGTATTAATTGCACATCACAGAACAACGGGGTGCACAGAAGCTGCTCAGAATATTCTTCTTCTTTTCCAGAAAGCTGTGAAGGAGAGCAGGAGCCTCCATCATTGTCATGCAGTAGCAGTGTGATTCACACTGGAGAAGACGTTGGTCCAGAACAATCAGGTCCGAACTGGGAATTTATAATATAATCCCTCACACACACCCATTGGAAACACACTGGCATGCATATCTCAGCTTTTGCCTTAATTTGTGTGTGTGTGTGTGTGTGTGTGTGTGTGTGTTTGCATCCTCTGCCTTAAAAATCTGTGAAAACCTCACTGGAAAGAACAACAGACAAAGTCTGGAGCTGTTTCTAGAATTTACCTTTATAACATGTTGTTGTTTTTTTAACTGAAATAAGCACCATACATCCTTCAGAGGTTATGTTTCCATAGAACTTTTATTCACAGAAGCAAGTTTCCAAAACATTAATATGGGTCGGTGCTTTATCCTAACTTCTTCAATGTAATCTCCGCTTTTTCTATTTTGCTCTTTGGGAACTTTCTAACTTCCTATCTGTGATGGCCTAATCTCCATGTTTAACATTGCTTTCTACAATAATAGCAAAAGCTGTTTTTATTTGCATTTTTTTTTTCATTTCTGTATTTTCTAATAGTATTTGAGTTGAGTGGCTTCAGACACAGCCTTTCATGTTCTCTCTAAATATTTGTCTTCTAACACATGTTCTTTCATGTCAGTGCTACATGACTAACGGTCTCTTAGAAAGTTTCACTAAAACATTCGTTCTGAGTCTCACAATTGGTTTTATATATATATATAAATGCTTTTTAAAAGCACCCTTGTTTTATACTAGCAACAGCTTTCTACACTTTCAACTCATAAGTCATTTTGAATGATGTAGCTTTTAAAACATGCAATCTGGAGAGTACACACAGACACAGACACAGACACACAAACACACACACAATCTGGTGGCAAAATGCCCACTGATTTTTAATAGAGCCATTTTGTATCCCATGAAGTATTCACACATCTGTGGGTGGTCATGGTAGAGCATGTCTTTGCTTTAACATAGGTATGCACTATTTCTGATGTGGAAACTTGAATGTATAGCAGCCCACCAAAGGCTCTGCAGATCTCTTGGTTTTACTATCTGCTTTGGATTGCAGAAATGGGTGTGGTTGTTGCCATACATTTGGTTTCCTGCTATACACTATATACCTGGTAAACCATATTTTGGTGTGATAGGTTATAAGTTGTGCTGGTTTGATTTCCATTATTAAATGATCACATTTGTGGAGATCATTTCATATTCATGTCATAGTTAAATATTGCAATGTTCACACTTTTTCGTGGCACTGGCTGTGTACTGCGCATTCTCCTGTATTTCTTTAGCCTTGATGTAAACTCTTTCGAGTCATTCAGGTTTACTTTCCTGACACATTTCTTTTAGCATTTCCTCACTTCCCTTTTCATCTTTCCGAAGAAACCTTCATGTTGTATATAGTATTATGAATTCGTGAGCAGGATTTGAACTATGAGCAACAGACGGAATGAGAGATTATCAAATTATTGTTATGGTATAAGAGGCAGAAGATAGGATGTGGCAAGGAGGAGAAATAAAAATCACCATGGGAAATGGGATGGGAAGTAAAAAAAGTAAAATAAAAATCTATTTCTTATTGGAACGTTTATGTGAAATTCCTGGAAATCTAATAAAATATATCTTAAAAAAGAGCGAAAGAAACTTTCATGTTGTAGTACTACACTACAGCAGCATATTTCTTATTTTTTTCCATGGGCTAAATCTATTAGAAGTGCACATATGTTTATGAACTTGCATTCTTCCACTGCCCTCTAGGGACCATAATTCAATAGTAGCCTCTGAAACTTTTGAGTGCTAAAATCTCAAATCATTTGTGCATATCGAGAGAATGTTGGCTGCCTCTCTGCGTTTTATATTAGGACATTTCTGTTGTAAGCAGAAGGTTATTTATTTGCCTATAATCACTCAACGGCAAGCCAATTTTAAGTATATTAATATCACCAAAGAAGTTTGTGAAATTGTATAACTATAACTTGTGTGCCAGCTATTGAATCTGGAACTGGTGTTGCTTTGGATCTTGTAAAACTGGTCACTTAACAGTATCTAGCAACATACCTGCTGTTATAGCATAAATGCTAAGTGGTAGTTGCATTTTAAAAAGAAAAACCAAGACCTTTTATTATGTTGTTTTGATAAAGAGTTTTGGGGAAAAAAACAAAACCTCGCTATATCAATGTTTTGTGCTGTATTTTTTAAAGATACCACTTCTTATTTTGAACTGATAGAGAACATTACGGCCAGTGCTTTTTTTTCTGGGGGGATGCATATCCCTAAACATTTTGTGAATCTAAGTTTGTAAAGTAAGTAAGTAATTTTTTTATTTATAACCCACCCTCCCCGGCCAAGACCAGGCTCAGGGCAGCTAACATCATATATCAAATACATTAAAACACAATCAAACAGTTAATTAAAATACAGCTTAAAAATAGAATCAGGATAAAATTAAATGATTGCCCACAAATTACAACCATAGGGACCGGGAACCTCAAGTATTTATCATTTGGCCTCATTGAGGGGCAGTATTTCAATATGAGTAGGAAAAAGAGAGTACCCCTAAACATTTTTTTAAGAAAGGAAAAAAGCACTGATTACAGCCAGAAAAATCTATCTTATGGTTCTTAAAGTACAGGAATTTAATACGATGGCGAATGGGGTAAAATGGAGTATTTTAGACAACAGTTCTGCCAGATGAATACAGAAGCGGCACGCAATTTCTGCGTTCACAGAGAGGAGAAAGTGCACTAGAGGGTAGCCAGAGAGAAACCTAATTATTCAGAAAGCTAGACGAGCACAATTAGCATTCTTTGGAAGAGAGGAGATGAAAGAGGATCCTTGCAGTAATACAGCTCTCATCTGAATAGCCAGGATAAGTGCTTAAAATACTGATCCTTGAGGTGATGCAATTCCAAACTGAATAGCTAGGGTAAGTGCTAAAAAGGTACTTAGTTTAGTGTCCAATCTATAAACAAAGTGATACAAAAGTGCTCCCACAATAAACTGTTCGCCTTGCGACTTGCTAAGAGTTGTTACAGATGCCGTGAAGCGACGGCAACAGCAACAAAAGTTTCAGAGAGCTTTCATACAACCTACTTTGATTTGAGAAAAAAATACATTGCGGGAGTTTCATTGAAGTTTCAATTTTCAATTTTCATTTATTTATTTTTCTACATTAACAGGTTGTGTGCATTAATGACATTTTCTCCCCCCCCCTTTTTAAATAAACTGGCAGATAGATATGGACAACACGTTTTGTCACAGTTCATTTACTGTATATAAAAAATAAGGCTAAAAATAACACACGGGATTTTTCTTCTTCTATAGTTAACTGCCAAACTGCATCTTTCAGGTTTTCAGCTAACTTCCACCGATGAAGAAATATCGTTGCAGAACAAATGGCAGTCATTTTTGGGAGCACATTATGAGGTGGTGGTAGGTAAACTTTTGCATGCTGTTTAAAGTGTGTGTGTGTGTGTGTGTGTGTGTGTGTGTGTGTAATGGGTGGAAGAGCTGTCCTTGCAAAATTCCAAAGGAAGTAAACATTATGTATTTGTCTTTCAGAATATTAAATTTCAAAAATAAGCATAAAATGCCATGTTATGTACGCTTTAGATGAGAAAATAAAATGTGTTCTGGGAAAACAACAGTTCATAAAGTGCTGCAGTCCTTAGGAAAACTTGGTACTTGACTGATTCATAAGTTCACAGTATGTTATATTATGCTGTGCCAAGTACATAAATGGTTGTCGTTTGCCACAACTATACCATGCAAACATGAAGTGAGTACCTGAAGTGTGCCTTGAAAAATTTATAAATAGTAAAATGAATTAGTGTTTGCTTTCATCCATTTTGAGGTGGCTACTAAGCTACAGTGAAGTGAACCAACCCTTATTTTCAGATCACTTTTAGATGCCATGCCCTTACAGTGGTACCTTGGTTTACGAATTTAATTCGTTCTGGAAGTCTGCTCTTAAACCAAAGCGTGCTTTCCCATAGCAGTGGGGGACTCAATTTACAAATGGAACACACTCAACAGGAAGTGGAACATGTTCTTATTCCAAGGCAAAGTTCACAAACCAAAACACCTACTTCCGGGTTTGCAGCGTTCTTAACCCAAGTTGTTCATCAACTAAGTTGTTCTTAAACTAAGCTACCACTGTATTCCCATTGTTTTTTTGGCAAGGATGGTATGTGTACATGAAGTAGCTCTTACCTGCTCTAGAAGTAAGGGGAAAGGTAGGAGATGAAACCCAGTTATTTTTAGTTTACTAATTATTGTTATTTACATTATAGAATTAATTGACATGATTATAAATTATATATAAGTGAACTAAGAAACCCGGTAAAACATGAGTGATTTGCCATTTCATTTTGAAATTCAGGACAACACTTTTTTTGTGATCTGTTGCACTGCTTTTTGCACTGCGTCCAATCCTCATATGATTACAACTGACAACAGAGCATCATCCCAACTTTCTGGGCAGCATTTGTTTATTGATGTTATTACACACTGGGCAGTGCTATAGCAAAAGTACTGTACCCATATTGCTGCTTTTGGGGGATTAAAACATAGTGGCTTGTTAGTCACTCCACCCCCTTACGTCATATGGTGCTCATCATAACACAGCCTTCAAAGTAAAACCTTGCTCTATAAGCTTCTTTGCATGTAGTTATTATTTCAAATGAAGGGCTTTTCAAAGGACCACCTTTTCTCATGCGGTTCTGCTCACCCACTGGATCACTCTGGCATCACGGATATGGTTCACAAGGATGCAGAACAAAGCCATTTATGTTGTAGCACTCCCCTCACACAAAATCCAATTGTCTGATGGTTAAAATGGTGTTGTTTCCTGCTTTTGGACTGGTCTGATTTCCGCCCCCTCCCACAATTCTCTTACATTGGTTGATGATTCTCCGTTTTTTATTATGTGTTTGTCTCATGCTTAACTCGTCAGTTAAGCTATTTATTTTGCTGTTCATTTACGGCTGGTTGATGAGCAGGGGACGGTGTAGTACATTTCCTGTGCACTGTATCATCCAAAGGAGCGATACAGTTGCCTGAGCACACATGGCACTCTGGGGTGGCGGCAGTATTTTAAATATAATTCAGGGTCACAGTCAGAGCTACAGTTCTCAATCACTGACTAGCACAGCTGTTCCTCCACCTGGGATTTAGGGAGCCAGAGGGGATTATATTGCCAGGTGTGCATCCGGTCCATGCTTGACTGCTCCCAGAGGGTGACAGCAGCATGTACCGAATCTGGAATCCAGGGCTTTTTACGTTGCGCGGAAACACTTCCGTTTTAGAGCACTGTATTTTGCTACCCATTGTCCCTGTGGCACCCACAGAAGCTGACTTCTTGCGTAACGGGAGGTGCGATTCCTTTGATTGTGGCATTTGTTTCATTTATTTGTGGCTTTCTCTGGCCGCCTTTCATCTCTGGGGCAGCTGTAGCTCACCAGCATCTGTTCCCCTTTGCAAAGGAGAATGGGACGTTACGGCTGGCTGCCCCCTTTCAGCTTACATTGCGATTCCATCTTGTCTTGATGTGAGAAATCAATGGGCATGGATGATGTTTGAAAGAAGTGAGCTTGTAGCTTAGAAAGTAGAGCATCTGTGGCAGAATGTTAGGGTTGCTGCTTTTAAATCTACTGTCCCTTTTGTCCGTGGGTCCGAGTGCAATTTTGAGAACAACTAATCCTTCAGTGTTCTGAAGAGCCATTGTGTTCCTTCTTTCTAGGTAGCTCACGTGAACAAGTTTAGTGAAAGCAGTGGCCTGGGGATCAGCTTAGAAGCTACAGTGGGACATCATTTCATCCGATCTGTTTTGCCAGAAGGGCCAGTTGGACGATGCGGCAAGCTGTTTAGTGGAGATGAATTACTAGAAGTATGAAATAATTTCTGCTTTACTTCCAATCCTTCTTTAAAGGCGATTCTGCTGAGGATTTCCAGTATTCATAGATACTAACATACTTTACCATATGAAATTCCTGCATGAAAATTGTATGGATAAATCCTGCATTGGCTAATTGTATGCATCAATTTGTAATGGTGCACAATACACTGTAATTTTTTTTGCAGTGTAAACCCACCTCATATGAGTGGAAGTTGTGCAGATCTGCACTCTTGAGCAAGCCCTGCCTCATTCAGCGGCATTTTGAGGATGAAAAGTTCCCAAAGGATTGTTGATAATAGTAAAAATGGATGTGGCTTTCAGAAACCCTTTCCAGCTGACATTTGAATTTGTGTTACCTGCTTTCTGCATTGTGCCTGCAATTCTTGCAGGGCATTGTGTTTTGTGTCATTCTGGTGCACTGTGCATCTTACAAATTTCATTTTAAATATATATATATTTCTGTATAATATTTTGTCTTCTGTCGGCAGGTAAATGGAATATCTTTGCTTGGAGAAAATCACAAGGATGTAGTAAATATTTTAAAAGACCTGCCCATCAAAGTAACAATGGTGTGTTGCCGTGCAGCTCCACCTATTAGTCAGTTGTTAATGGATGAATCTCAGATGATGGAACAGGTAAATCAAAGCAAAGGCGTGGGCCTTGTATGTGTAGGATGCTGTGAAGAAAATGTGTGATCACTTGACTCTAAGCAAGGCTGTTTCAGCCTCTCTTACCCCTGTGGCAAATGGAGACAACCAGAAAATCTTTACAGGCACTCTTTCTCTCTCTCCCTCCTCCCATTATACCTTGTTTAAGGTTCCACTCTGTGCTCATTCTGAAATAGAGAGCTTTATTTCAGGCATTGCCAATGTTTCTGGGCCTCTGGGCACACTTGGGATGTTGAGGAAGTGCCAGTCACAAAATGGTTGCTGTGGGGTATGTGGCATAAAACAAAATGGCCGTCGTATTGAAAAAGAGCAGAAAAAAGGGACAAGACACAAAATGATGTGAGCATTCCCTCCCAACCCCAACCCCCCCTCCAAAAAGAAAAATCAGTGGGCGGAAAAGGCACATCAGTCACTACCACATTCACTCACGGAAAAAAGCTCTTTGTTCTTCTCTATTCTGATCAGAAGGAAAGGTGGATGTCCAAATCTGGCATCCAAAGACATGTCAGCATATTTAAGGGGCCTATTGAATTAGTGTAAAAAAATCGAATAGGAAGAGCAAAGAGTGCATTGTGCATTGCAGATTTTTGAGAGGACACTTGCAGAAACCTTTTGTGGGTGCCACAGGAAGTATTGGTGGGTGCACACAGGCACCAATTTGGCAACTCTCACATAACTATATAGTGGGACCTTAGCAGTCCTTCTTATTGGCTGAGTGAATGTGGGATCTTGTTGTAAGGACATACAACAATAGGCCTTGCATGTAAGTTAATTCAGGCTTGTCACTTCCTTGCTAGCACATACATTCACTTGAATGAACAACAGAACAGTTTTATCCCACTACAGTGGTACCTCAGGTTACATATGCTTCAGGTTACATACGCTTCAGGTTACAGACTCTGCTAACCCAGAAATAGTGCTTCAGGTTAAGAACTTTGCTTCAGGATGAGAACAGAAATCATGCTCCGGCGGCGCAGTGGCAGCGGGAGGCCCCATTAGTGGTGCTTCAGGTTAAGAACAGTTTCAGGTTAAGAACGGACCTCCGGAACGAATTAAGTACTTAACCCGAGGTACCACTGTACAGAGATGCTCAATTTGTGTGAGCAGTCTGTTTTACTGATAAAGCACCACAGTTGAGACTTGAAAAATTTCGCTTCTCCGACTTCAACAAAATATTCATTTCTTATCAGATAACACCAATGGTGGCAGCTAATAAGATGAGGCAGGACAATCCAGAGGGAGGGGAAGCCCACATCTGTACCAATGGGTGGCTGTTAGAAGCAGCTGAGTCAGGAGCAAGGCACACAACACCATGCAAAGCATTTGGGACACTCCCTCCCCTGGCTGCCTTCAACACATGCCCTTTTGGCTTGCCTTTCAGTGGTGGAGAGCCAATAGCCATTTACTTCTTAACACTTTCCATTCTGCCTTTCATCGCTATTCAGAGGAGAGATAGTTGGTATATGAAGGCAGACCTGATGTAGAAGGAAAATTCAATCAGAAAAGTTTGGATGAATGAAATATATAATATATACATATATGGTACAGCCGGTCCAATCCAGTGACTGGAATGTTAGATAATATTTCCACCTACAAAGCCTGTTTTAAAGACCTACTTTAGATTCTCAAAGTGGCTTTGGCCATATTAGTATGGTTACTCAGAGGAAAAGGAAAAAAATGTCTCCTCCCACAAAGCCATAAAATCGTTTTAGTTCTTTATCCTGGGTGGGGGGACGGACAAGATGTTGGCATTCAAGAAATGCAAGTCCAAAGTCCTTTAGACACACAGAACTAGTTGCATAGTTGTTTTTCACAATGAAGCAATTACCTCATGGGGTTTTGTGAAGGGGGCAGGCTAGAGGTAGCTTACCATTTTGTCAAGCAGAAGTGCTGTGTAAACAACTCGTTATTAATAGGAAGGTTGGTTAGAGCTGCCAAGCAATGTGGACACAAATATACAGTTAGAAGCAAAATTAAAATGCAGGGGCTATTCCCTATGTGGCTTTAGAGTGGCTTCAGATGTTTTGAATGTGGAGAGAATAGAGCAGTGGTTCTCAACCTGTGGGTCCCCAGATGTTGTTGGACTACAACTCCCATCATCCCTGAGCTTTGGCCTTGCTAGCTAGGGATGATGGGAGTTGTAGTTCAACAACATCTGGGGACCCAAGGTTGAGAAAGGCTGGAATAGAGAGTTCAAATGACTTCCCTGTTCTCTGCATATGTTTGTACCATCAGAAGTGGATCTTGCACATTTCTCTTGTCTCTCAGCCTGTCCCCACCATCTAAGCTTCTGCATTTGACCACTTCGGATGTTATAAAGATGCATGGGGAATAAGAAAAGCAAATCAGTCATGCTTGCCATTCTCCCATCTCTCAATGTCCAGAGTTCCTTTTAGTCTCTTGTTATATGTGTATCTACTTGGAATCGAGTTTCAGTAAAAATTGTAGGATTTTCAGTTTTATTTATGGAACTGAATCTCTTTCATTTTGCAGTCTGTTATTGATCTTGGTGGACTCCTTGGCTCTTCAGAGACAGAGGATGCTAACTTGGACATGGATAATATGGGCCAGAGTGCAGATGAGGTTCAAGGATCTTCTTTGGCAATGTGGGAGACAAACATACAGCAAATTGAGCTAGAGAAAGGGAGCATGGGACTTGGATTTAGCATATTAGATTACCAGGTAATGTCCAAACTACTTATTTTGCAGAATGGGAGTACTTACTCAGGGGAATTCTGCCCCTTTAAGCAATGTAATGTCATTTACCAGGCCTTTCCAAACTCTACTGTCAAACGTGCAACATTAAGTAAACAAATTTGTCAAACTAATTCTATGGACCATCATTCATTTTATGGGACCTCGGTCTAATTCTATGGCACAGTGATCTCTGTAGCAGGTCAGCTTGCATAAAGTATTTTGCTACGATTCAGGAAGAATCTACACATTGCATAACAATAAAAGCAGTTAACATTTATTAAGATGATTATGCAGAATTGTTGGCATGAGTCTCCACAGATTAGAAACACTGATTTGATTTTCAACTCTGATTTGGTCGTTCCTCTGGCCATGTACTTGGCCATTTATGTCTGATTCTATTTCTTTTAGAAATATTATTATTATTATCAGTGGCTGGACATCTGCACATTCAGCTCAAAGGAGAAAAATTGATATAATTAAACCAATTACTGTATTTTTTGCTCTATAAGACTCACTTTTTCCCTCCTAAAAAGTAAGGGGAAATGTGTGTGCGTCTTATGGAGTGAATGCAGGCTGTGCAGCTATCACAGAAGCCCGAACAGCAAGAGGGATTGCTGCTTTCACTGCGCAGCGATCCCTCTTGCTGTTCTGGCTTCTGAGATTCAGAATATATTTTTTCTTGTTTTCCTCCTCCAAAAACTAGGTGCGTCTTGTGGTCTGGTGCGTCTTATAGAGCGAAAAATACGTATATCAATTTTTCTCCTTTGAGCCGAATGTGCATATGCCCAGCCATTGATAAAAATAACAAGACCTACAAAGTCTTGCACAAGACCTACAAAGCTGCAGAGGAGTGTGAAATAGATATGCTTGCTAACAGTGAAATTGCTTTGCCTAATGCTGCAGAGCTTGGTTAGTAAAAGTCTGAGTATGTAAACATTCATAAAAGAATTGGACTGTGCCACATTAGTGGGGAATTGCTTTCACATTAAAAAATCTCTTGTACTTAGAATGCTATTCCACTAGAGAGGCGTTTAAGTCGAATTTCTACCCTAGCGTTCTAGCTTTCCATGTGCTAGGACTTTCCGAATTGCTGGAAGGATTCGAATCCACAGTCCCCATTGCATTCTGAAGTGGCAGAATCCTGTTTTATTAAAGAAGTTCAATAATCTCCTGAGCTAGAATCGCAAGCTGTTATATTGCCCAGTGTAATCTCCCAGTGTTACGTAGCCTGATTTCATGTTGGGCCTGGATAAAATATTCAGATTGAATATATACAGTGGTGCCCCACAAGACGAATGCCTCGCAAGATGAAAAACCCGCTAGACGAAAGGGTTTTCCATTTTTCGATGCGCTTCGCAGGACGAATTTCCCTATGGGCTTGCTTCGCAAGATGAAAATGTCTTGCAAGTCTTGAGATTTTTTTCGCTCCCCCCCCTTTTTCTAAGCCGCTAAGCCGCTAATAGCCTTTTAGCCGCTAAGCCGCTAAGCCTTTAATAGCCGCTAAACCGCTAATAGGGCTAATCCGCTAAGCCACTAATAGGGTTGCTTCGCAAGACGAAAAAACCGCTAGACGAAGAGACTTGCGGAACGGATTAATTTTGTCTTGCGAGGCACCACTGTACAAGAAAATGATCTCTACAAATGTGGGAATTAAACATTGGGTCCTGGAGGGTGTGAGTGCTTCCTCTCCTCCTCAGTGCCCCAGCAAACTGGCAGTTTTGGATATGCCACAACTCTCGTAAGATGTTTAAATAGTGAAACTTTCTATTCCTTGTGAGGTAAATGGAGCTTGGGGGAGGGATATCCAACTAATCAATGACCTAAAATCCATTAATTTCAGTGGGTCTTCTCTGAGTGTACCTATCATTGGATAGCTCCCATTGGCTTGGATTCCTGGACTACTGAAGGAGCCAGTGTAACGTTTTTGTCTAGACTGATAAAGAGGATTTGGCATTATTTTATTCATAATATGCTTCTTTTATTTTCATTAATGAATAAAGCGCTTCCTGAAATGTGTATTCCCCAGTGCTTTTACATAAACATGTTAGGGATCAAAGAATACTATCTTTCCCCCTTGGTTCTTCTGACATAATTTGAGTCGGCATAAACAAATATGCTTAATTATAGGGAAGCACATAGCCATTAGAAGTCTTTCAGCTGATCACTGCCTGAAACTCTCAGGTTTTAGTTTTAGATTTTTACATAAAGATATTCCATATGCCCATGTCTAACACAGAAGAGGAGAATAAAGCAGTGTGGGCACTATTTATATTATTTGATGGAGCCTCTTATTTGCTGTAGCACAAAGCACAATCGAAATAATCTAGTGCAGGCATAGGCAAACTCGGCCCTCCAGATGTTTTGGGACTACAAGTCCCATGATCCCTAGCTAACAGGACCAGTGGTCATGGATGATGGGAATTGTAGTCCCAAAACATCTGGAGGGCTGAGTTTCCCTATGCCTGATCTAATGGCTGCTTGCAGCTGCTATGTAAATGCAGACATATCTCATGAAAGTGGGGTTTCACCATTCACTGGGTTAGGGCTGGGTCATCTGCACCTTGAAAAGAAGCATAAAAACTTGCACGGGCTCCTAATTTATTGAGAATATGTTTTCCCCCACTTTCCTCTTCTTTAAAAAGGACCCTGTGGATCCTGTGAATACGGTGATTGTGATCCGCTCTCTAGTTTCTGGGGGAGTGGCCGAACAAGATGGCCGGCTCCTCCCCGGAGACAGACTTATGTACGTGAATGACATCAACTTGGAAAATGGCAGCCTGGAGGAAGCTGTGCAAGCGCTGAAAGGAGCGCCGATGGGAACGGTTAGGATAGGAGTCGCAAAGCCCTTGCCTGTAAGGAACTTAAATCTTACACATTTTGTTTGGGGTTTCCTATTTTGCCAAGAAACCATACAGGTTGCCTGTTTGCAAATGCATGCGTTTCGTTTATTGACCTAGCAGCTGACGACACTCACTGTGGATGTGTGAACTAATCTCGTTTTGTTTTAAAGTGATGTAAAAAAAAAAAAAAAAATTCTGTCTGTGGAGTTTCATCCGTAAAGGTCAGTTCACACATGTGTAAGTGATGTGGCTTCGGCTGCCGTCAAGTGATAAGCATACACCTGTGAACCTGCCCACAGTGTGTCTAACTGCAAAAATAAATAAATAAAACAATAGCAATCTGAAGTGTATCTGAAGAAGTGTGCATGAACCCGAAAGCTTATACCAGAACAAACTTAGTTGGTCTATAAGCTGCTACTGGATTTTTTATATTTTTTTATTTTCATTTCAATAGCAATCTGTACTTCAGATTCATCAGGGCTTCAGATTCATCATTTACTCAATAGCATCTTGTTTTGACCCTAGCTATGGAGCTTCATTTGGGAATAGCATACATTGGGCATAGTAATGGAAAGAGGAGCGGCCATCCTGGTTTGACAGAAAATTCAAAAAGGAATTTGTTTAAAGCTGGTTTTCTTCCTAACTTCAAACACAGCGTTCTTGACTTCAATGCTCTTAAGTTCAATGGAGCTTATTGATGAACATTTGCGTTTAGATTCTGAGAGTAAGTGGGACTGAAGTCTGTGGGACAAAATAGGTTTAAATCCAATCTGTTAGGCTCAGCTACATTGGTAATCGGGCTCTTTTGGCAAATATAGTGAAGTAAATATAAATCATTAGAGCTGAGAAAACATTCCAAATTCCTAGGTGCCAGGACTGGAGTATTAGATACTACCGTTGTGCACAGCTAAAATATTATTTCAAACTCATGGGCATTTCATTCTTCAGTGCTTTTCCTAGCCTTGTAAACCATTACACCTGCTCAGGGCTATAAGAATAACCTGCAGTTCTCTCTTTTTCGGAGGCTCCCATTCATTCCCCTTTCTAAAAATTCCCTCACGCTGCATGTCGTGAACATTAGCCACTATCCATCTCAAGAGCTTCATTCTCTCTGCAGCTTTCACCAGAAGAGGGCTATGTTTCTGCTAAGGAAGATTCCTTTTTCTACACTGCCCAGTCCTTTGAGGAGGAAGGGCCAGCTGATTCAGCCCTCTTCCATGCTGAGCTGGCTCTGGTTAGTGGCCACTTCCTTTCCATGATAATGTGTTAAAACCCTTTTGATCTTATGTTTTCATACCAAAGAAAATTTTGTCTAGCGTCAATGGAGAAACAGCCTTGACATTGTAACGTAAAGACGTATTTTAAAATGCTTGCTTAACTTCTTCTTTTTTAAGGGCTTAAGAAGGTTGTTTTATTGGGTCAAGATGCTGATATCCAAATACACACACACACACAAACAAAAAACCCACAGACGCACACACACAGTCATGAGAAAAAGAAAGTACACCCTCTTTGGTTTTACATATCCGGGCATAATAACAATAATCTGTTCCTTAGCAGTTCATTGAATTAGGTAAATACAACTTCAGGCGGACAGCAACACATGACCTGTTAAAGCAAAATGGAGAAGCCACATGTGGAAAAACTAAAAAACGAGACAGTAACTTGGATTGGAGTTCAAAAATAAATTCTGTGTTTGCACATTATCCTGTTTTGAGAATCGTACATTGATACAGGAAAAGGAAATTAAGGCTGCTGTCCTATGCTCTTCTGTAGGAGTAGTTAGTAGACTCACAGGTATTTGTTTCTGGGTAGAAACACAAGATTGGGCGGTCAACCACTTATACAAAAGAAGTGTTATTGACAAGAATCAGTTAAGGGGACGTGTATACCACATTACAAAGTGAAGTTTTTGCTGCTGTTTTTCAGGTCATGCTATACCGTCACCACAAAGTCTATCTAGAAGCTTGATGGATTCTTAGTTGGCTGCAATTTCCATCGTTCAAGCAAACTAATCACTTTTAAGTTTCAGTAGGAAGTTTTAATGCATGCACTTGTGATATCACATAAGTGCAGGATTTGTAACATCCTGGATATGTTTTTATTGGGCATTAAAAGATTAGTGAAAAGTGTGCTAGCTTTGGAGTTGGACAATACATACACACACACACACACACACACACACACCCTATTATTTCAAATAAAATGAGAGATTAGGTAGGCAGCTTTTGTATCATGAAGGTAATTAATTTTTTTAAAATGGACCTTTTTAGACAAACTTAAGCAGTGCACCACTTTCTTAAATTCAGCAATGGGACAGCATATGAGATTTTTTTTTCCAGAGGCAGAAAATTATAGGAAATCATTCCCCCTGCCCCAGCACCTGTTTATCACTTGATGTACTTGCAAATTCAGATCTAAATAATATTCTCAGATAACACTGGTGTGTCACTGAATTTGAGGATATGGAGACATAGGTGAAAATGGAAATGGGCTCATTGTGTATCCAAAAGATTTTGTATGTTTGAAATCAAAAAGAAAACTAAAGCAAGGCATGGTAGCTAAGAAGTATTCATCCACAGATGCAAATGTTTGGGGCTTATGTGATACGAATGCAGCAGATAGCCGGACTGATTAAATTGCCTTTGCTGTTAGGTGGATTCAAGTGAGGCAGATCTAGTGGAGGAATCCACCTTCGAATCGCACTATTCCCCAGACAATGATGGTACATTCCAGTCTTCAGTTTCAGCTCTGCATGGCAGCTCCTGTGCCGATGACCTGAAGTATAACCTCTCACTACCCTCTTCAACTCCCAAGGTAAAAAGAAAAATATGTATCATTTTATTGATTGTGGCGAAGCACCACTGAATGTGAAGATGTTTGCGTTTGGCTGCTGTATTGGATGTAGCAATGACTAATGTCGCCCCGGTTGGTTCCATCTGCTCGTAGGTTTGTTATTAGATTAAAGAGCAATTTCATTTAGGTAGTGTTGACTGAACACCTTTCAGACTTTCGGAGACCAAATGCATTTTGTGCTATATGAGGAGGACAACATCGATTTGAGGTGCTCTTGTTTTGCTTCTTAAAAAAAGAAGAAAGGTTTCAATGAATTTTAATAATACTGTGGGATATTTTCAAAAAGGTTAACGTAGAGTAACGAACTATTGCTCCAAAAATAGCATTTCCACCATATAAGACACTGTTCACTTTCTCCGTATCTTTAATCGTAGTCAGTTAGTTACTATATCCCTTTAGTAAATGTGATGTCGCAGTTAGGCTAAAATTAAATCAACAGCAAAATAGAATCAACATGTTGACATTCAATTTAACCATAAAGAGCAATATATTTTAAAAATGATTTGATCCCATACCCAATCCTGTTCTTTAGCATGATGGCATCTTTTACATTTTCTTCCCCATGTTAGGATTTTTCTCCCTTCCATTTCTTGGCAACCTGTTAATTTTTTTCACCTAAGCTTGAATAATTTCCTGTGTTTTTTTTAATACTCATGGTAGTTCTGGCATCATCATTGTCGGTGATGTCAATCCGTTTTCTTGGTTGGTTTGCAGTGTATATTCCTGAAAAAAGGAGTTGCTCATCTTTCACACCTGAGGTTCACCAGCTGGCTGTATCCCTTCTGGAATGTATTTCAGTCTTACTGGCCATGGGGCTGACAGCCGGAGTTTATCTCATAATGGAATTTCCTAATCCACAACAGAATGTACCTTTGCTGTGCCAATGAGACAGATTGCATTGTTTAACTTGGTAATTGTTACTTAAAGGGATTAGACAGAGAGCATGCTGGGAAATGTACGTTCTGCAACACATCTGGTCTTACAGAAGACATCACATTGGTGTTCCCAAAGACTCTCTTTCTGTCTCTGTCTCTTCTTTTACATCTACCAGATGCAATCCTATATATGTCTTCTCAGAAGTAAGTCCTGTTGAGTTCAATGGGGCTTACTCCCAGGTAAGTCCTTATAAGACTGCAACCCGAGAGTAAAATGCTAACATTAAAGCTTGGTAGCAATTCACGTTTCATTTTGCCCAGATAAAAATAGCCACACAGAAAGCAATGCAATATACCATTTCAACTGAGCCAGCGACCTCTCTTCACACAGGGAGAGGTAATAATAATAATAATAATAATAATAATAATAATAATAATAATTTATTATTATTTATACTTCTCCCATCTGACTGAGTTTCCCCAGCCACTCTGGGCGGCTCCCAACAAAATATTAAAATACCTTTCTAGAAGCAGAGGGACATGTGAAGTAGGGAATATCCACCTAAGAGACATTTTCGTCCTTAAAAGAGCACAGGAAGCCCACACATGCGGACCTCAAAATCATAGATCTAAAGTTTGGAATACAGGCAGTTGTAACTCCAAATGACAGACACATTGGAGTTTCAGTACAGTCATTATTTTGAAGAGGGGGAAAAGTTCATCTCAAATTTTACATGTTTTGGAGCCTTTCTTCACACTTGCAAAATGAAGCTTTTTGGGTAATTTATCTTAGATACAGTAGTTTGAGAGGAACATTAAAGCACTGATGGGTTAAGAAACGAGCAGGGCATTAACTCCCTTGTTGACAGACGTGCATTCAAATAATGCTCCATTAGGAGCGGAGTCGTAGGGTTCTATCAAAAGCAGCACCAGTGAAATTACGCTTTTGCAGTGGCAGATTGGGTCCACTTCCTGGTGGGGCCGGGTTGTGGTCTGGCCACCTAGCCACTTCTCTCAGCATCAGGGTGGTACGGCATCCTGTCTCATGCTGGGGGAGACCCCGGCCACATCAGGTTGCCAGGTGGCTAATCAGGTCACTTGGGGGTGTGGCCTGGGACAATTTATGCCTCAGCGTGACTCTGTGGCTTCCTCTTCTGTTTCCTCTCCCTCCTCCCCGCCCCCCAGTCTGGAGGGTCCTCCAACTCCAGCTGATTTTGAGGATGTGTGGAGGGCTGCAGGTGAGGAGGGAAAGCTCTGTCTTGCTTGCACAGGTCTGTTGTGCTAGTGGAGACGGAAGAGTGGCTATTGCCCTAGATTTTTAACTATATACATGTTCAGAACAGTAGGTGCTGTTCAGGAATGCTGATGCTGTCTGAAATGTCTCATGGTCTTTATGAGATTGTCAGTGCAGTTTGGTATCATGTCTACTTGAAAATGTGCTGCCCTGAGCTTACTCCCAGGAAACTGGATAGTAAGGTTGTATCCTTAGGGTGGTATTCAACTATGTTTACTCGGAGTAGATGCATTGAAATTAATGACCACGGCAAAGTTAGGTCTATGAATTTCAGTAGGTCTATTTGGAGGAAAATCTGGTTGAATACCCTTGGGTGCTCTTGCCTGGAAGCAAGCCCCACTGAATACAGTGAGATATACTTCTGAGTAAACATGTGTCGGTTTTGCTCTGATGGGCTGTAATTCTATGCACACTTACTTGGGGGTAGGTCTCACGGAACTGTGTGAGACTTAACTTCTGAGTAGACGAGCAGAGATTTTAGTTCTATCTTGGTGATTGGAAAAGCATTTAGTCTTTGCTGAATTCACTTTCAAGAGATGGGTAGAACAATAACATTGTTATTGTTTAGTTGTTTAGTCGTGTCCGACTCTTCGTGACCCCATGGACCAGAGCACACCAGGCACTCCTGTCTTCCACTACCTCCCGGAGTTTTGTCAAATTCATGCTGGTAGCTTCAAGAACACTGTCCAACCATCTCGTCCTCTGTCGTCCCCTTCTCCTTGTTCCCCACCATCTTTTCCAACATCAAGATCCTTTCCAGGGAGTCTTCTCTTCTCAAACAATAATATACCAAGCTGTTATTCAAAAAGAAAACCTCTAAAAGTCAAATAAAATTTTTAAATCTTCTTCTTTTTTTAATAATAGGCTGTTTGCAAAGAAAGTTCAAATGCCTCAGTTGGTTACCATTTACCGGACCAAAACCTGTACACCATGGATCTAATGCAAAGGGGAGCAGAGAGCAGATCTTCTGCTGATGTATGTGTGGAACAGTCTGCTGGGAGCACAAGAAAAGATCCAGTAACACATTCTCCTAAGAAACAAGCTGAACATGAAAGCACAGGAACTTGGACAGCTGAAGCCTCACACAATGCAAATTTAACTTCTAGATTGAACCCTGATGCTACTGGGAAAGTAAGTGTTTCATTGCGTATGTCTGTGCAGTAATGCCAGTATTTCCAGGGATCACAAAATGGAACTGATAGCCTTCCGGATATTACTGTGCTTACAAACTCCCTTAATAACTCTGCCAGCCTTGATAGCCTGGTTGAATTGTGGAATAAAGTGTGTTCTCCTTCATGGAGAGCACGTGTTATGGTGGGGGCCCCCAGGACACTCCAAAGTTGTGGGGCGGGCTAATTGACCGTTGGCCACTGATGCGATTGGGCTTCCCTTGTTGTTGGGAAGAAGTTAATGTTGCCATTTGTTGATTGACAGCCAGAAATGCTAAAACTCCTTGCACGAGGCTAGGGCTTCCTCTTTTCGCTCCATGCATCGGATTGCCCATCCCCCCCTTCCCTATATTTAGGGTTGTTCGCATTGACCTTGCTATTCCTGTCATGGGGTCGTCTGCACTTGGGGCAGGGGCCTGGTAGGAATTTTGTCCATCTGGCTGATTGGCTGGGGCCATTTGGGTTTTGCCTACTGCGTAGCAAATCGTCACAAATTGTAAGGTTGCAAATCGTCACAACTTGTAAGGTTGCTCTTGGCTGCATTTGGGGAGGGCTGAGGGCAGGTTCCCTGCTCTGTCGCTACCCCCAAGTATATTCCCCTTTTCTGACTTTCACAGGCGTACGGAATGTCAGTCTGTCCCCCACGGTGGGGGCAGATAGTCGCAACCAATGCCTAAGCAACCGCTTACATGTTTGTATTTTAATAAAGTTCTGGTCAAAATTATGCCAAAAACCTTAAACAAAAAAATTGGTGTGATGTGTGTGTTATTGGGGTGGCCCTGGGGACCTCGACACGCAACAGGCTCCCCTTGCAACATGGTATATCTCCCAGGGGTCCTTCCGGCAGTGCAGGTTCCTCTTGTTCAGGGAGCACCAAAGACAACTGAAGTGGCTGGCTTTGTTGTAAAGATGGCAATTTTTGTGATCAATTTATGGCCTAGGCCTGCTTCAAAGGGTTGTGCTACTACTATCAGAGTAGCATCCGTTCTGTAAAACTGTTCTGAGCGATAGTAAGTAAGGGCTAAGTTTGCAGAGAGCTCCAAAGTGAAAGGGTGCAGGCATACAAAGGGGTTTTTCTCTCTCTCGTTCTTCTAGGTCAGGCTGATTTGCAGCACAAGCACGCAGCAGGAGCTTGTTCTTGGACAGAGCAGGAAGACTTTGGCATAAAATCAGGTTTATATTCCTGCCTACCTCTCCAGCACTTTGCTGCTGCTGCTTGCGCTGAAGGAGATAGTTTGCTTTATTTTCTTGCTTTGCTGCCAAGGAACTTGCATAAATGCTGATGTTTTAGCAGTAAACCATCGCGTTACTTCTTTTTTTATCCTTTTAGCTCAGTCATATTAATTTGAAGGGAAACAAGAGTTCTGTAAGCAAATTAGGAATTACACATTTTCTTATTACGTGAATGCCTAGCAGATTGGAAACCATCTGTAATTGGCAAATCACACGGAATCCAATAATGCTCTCCAGTTACTTGTCTCTATAAACTGACACTGTTTTTCTTCTTATCAGGATCATGTACTCTCGATGGAAAATAACAGCTTAACACATGCTGGGAGGTATTCTGCAACCCTAAATACAAACAAAAACAAGTTTGAGAAGACGATTACTATTGCAAAAGGCAATTCAAGTTTAGGTAGTGTATCTGCATCACCTTTTCTGCCGTTGTTGTAATCTCTGCCTACTTGCTCCCCAAATAGAACTGTGAAATGGTATGAAAAATAACAACAGACAAACCCATTGAGAGTGTGGCTGCTGTGTAGGCAACCTGCAACTTCTCAGGTCCATGGTGCTGTCTCCAGGAATATGTTTTTCCCAGGAGAGTAGGAAGATATTTCAACACAGGTGTTTTGTTTTGTTTTGCTAATTGGATGGAATTCCTTCTATTGTTTTGCTCACGATATGGCATGAGATTTAATGTGAGTCAGTAATATCAAACCAACCTACGTAATTCTAGTAATTAGTAGTGAGATGGGAAACATATGGCCCTTAAGGTATTTTTGGCTTTCAGCTCCCATCATCCCTAGTTGTGAGAAATTATGGGAAACGTGGTCCAACAAGATCTTTCCAAAGCGTTTGACATTGGGCTATTGGAATTAGTTAATAGAATTTATTGCTTGCATCTTTTAGCTAATACTTCAGCTAAGAGTTGTTGCAACCATGACACTGAATAAAGCCTCACAAGACTGTCTAATCTTCTTCAGAGGATGAACGAACAACAGCACATTGAGACTGCAGTCCTATATATACTGTTACTTGGAAGCAAATCCCGTTTATTTAAAATATTTATATCCTGCCCTTCATTACAAGATTTCCCTGTGGGGAACAATAAAACTCATTCTGAAACCACAAAGCCATTAAACAGATGCAAGAGTGGGTCAGATTGCAATTAGCATCAGTTATAAAACTATAGAGCAACATCTATAAAAATCTCAAGCTGAGCACTTAACAGTTTCCAAATGCTTGAGTAAATAACTATATCTTGATCTGATGCTGAACTGAGAGGCGATGGGTATTCCACAACTGGGGCACAACCCCAGTGAAGCTTCTCAAGCCCTTGCATAGTATATAACTCCTGGAAGCTGGACCATTTAAATCAAGGGGACTTCATTCTGAATAGGATTACACTGTAAAAATAGCCATTCCTCAATGTTTCAGTGTGATGTTCAGAATGCAGTTTGTGCTAGACAGCTGCCAAGAAACAGAAGTTATGGTCACGCTCACAGCTTTGCATAAATGTAAATATCAGCATCTTGCTCAGAATGATTCTGTTAAAAGTGCCTTATCTTAATATTATCAAATTTCACATGTGGTTTTATTTTATATTTTGGGTGGGTGGGGCGGTTGTAGGTGGTGGTTTGCTTCTATGGATGCATATCTGCTATCAGCAAAAACGCCTATGTATAATGTTTAGGTTGACTGTTTTTTGGGGTCTTCTCATAGGCTGGAATTTGCTACCGTATTACCTGTAATATTGGCTGCAAATTTATCTTCTTTATTTTCTTCTACTTCTCCTTTAAGGGATGACAGTAAGTTCCAATAAAGATGGCTCTGGAATGATAGTCCGCAGCATTATCCATGGGGGCTCCATAAGTCGCGATGGGCGCATTGGTGTTGGGGACTGCATTCTGTCTGTCAATGAGGAACCTACCACTAATTTAACCAACGCACAGGCACGAGCTATGCTGCGGAGACATTCCCTCGTTGGACCAGATATAAAGTATGTAGAGTCAATTGGTGCAAGAACAATGTCTGGTGTATTTATTTATTTATTATCTTTAAAAATAATCTTGAAGGACATCACATTCCACACTTACCTTGAAGTTATGTTCCAAATTCAGGATTTAAATGGCTAGAACAGGCACCCCCAAACTCGGCCCTCCAGATATTTTGGGACTACAATTCCCATCATCCCTGACCACTGGTTCTGTTAGCTAGGGATGATGGGAGTTGTAGTCCCAAAACAACTGGAGGGCCGAGTTTGGGGATGCCTGGGCTAGAAAACAACTCAAAATTGCCAGTGTGAGTCCAGGAAGAAAATGCAAGATTGTGATTCTCAGCACGGCCTGCTCTGACCCAAGTTTACAGCTTTTAATGAGCATCCTTAAGATTTAAGTCTGATTTAAATCTGCCAGTCCTCCCTGGGGTACATTTCTTCCTTTACTCCCACTCTGGGATCCCTTCAGATTCAACCTGTTAGGTGGGTTTGACATAAACATTTTATGTTCTCTTGCATCAGATTGCATCAGATCAGCATCAGATTGCCTTCCTTGGGCAAGAAGGGCTCCTTTTTTCACTAGTACACTTGCTGGTTTTCCTTCACCCTCGCAAGGCAGCAAGTGTCCCAGCCCCCACCCCCTTTTCACACAAACAGATTCTTCCAGCTTCTAGCAGATGCAAGCATGTTCCCATGGGACCCAAGTTATGCAATGCCTTTCTGAGTGGAGAGAGCTGTGCCCCGTTATATTGTGTTGTGTGACTGCATGCTTGGTGCAAGAAGAGCCTCTCAGCTCCTTGCTCTTTGATGGGGAGAAAACGTGGATTGCACACCTCCTGCGACTGAAGACCTTTGCTCAGGAAGATAAACTAGGGAAAATGTTGGAATTTTTATAAGGGAAGTCTACTCTCTGTTTGCCAAAGATTCTTTTCTTTGAGAAAAATCTCGGTAATGAACAAGTGGCTAATTACAGAAACTATGACACATGGCATTAAGACAGAAGAATAATGTTTTAAAGTATAACTCTCAGTACATCTTTGACAAATATCAGGAAAGCAGTTTATCTTGTACCTACATTTGTATTTCACACATGTAGACTTAGAGGCAGGGTAGCTTGTTACTTGAAAGAGGCACAAAAATCTAAAGCCTAGAAATAAAATACACTGAGTTGAAATAGTTTGCCGCCTGCTTACTCTTTGAAGACAACAGCAACAGGTGCATTATCTTTACTGCATATTAGGTGTTCAGAGACAAGATACTTTCAGGTAACCCAGGTCATTTACAAGAAACTGGTGTAACCCGTAACTTCCTGGACCTATTAGTGGTATCTTGGTCATTTGCTTAAATTCCATGTATGTAGTAAACGGTAAATGACCCCTGGATGGTTAAGTCCAGTCAATGGTGGAAGGTAAATACATGTTGTAGGCCCTTTATGAATAGAAAAAATCCTCTTTACACATTGAGGTGAGCACAACTTGCTTCCTAATAAGGGTCCTTAGCTTTCTATCCTATCCAATCAGAAGCAGACCAAAAGTTCAGTTCCTCTGGGCATGCCTGTCTTATCTATCATCTATCTATCTATCTATCCATCTATCTATCTATCTATCTATCTATCTATCTATCTATCTATCCAAACATGTACATTTTTTTCTAAGCAGACAAGCAGATGTGTAGCCTCACTTCTCACTCCACCTTACAATTTCTGTAATAATATCTAGGGCTTTGCTTTTTAGCAGCAGTCATAACAGCTGCTTGTAACATCTGCCAGATAATTACCAAGCTGATTCAGAATTCACCTGCCTTCACCGAATGTGTGGAGATGAATCAAGGAAATAAAAGATTGATTGCGGTTCCATTTTTCATGCTTGTTAATAATCACCGCTATACACTCCCAATAAAGAGCAGATGCTTTCTGTTGGGAGGTGTGGATAGAATGGAGGTGGAAAGGGGAGAAGAGGAGAGAGAATAGGAGTGCACACTTTTAATGGTGCGTGTGCGCATCTTGCATTCAGCACAAGTCACTGACATTTGTTAACACCATTGTAAAAAGATGCTGCGTCGTATGCTTCACATTCTAGATCTTCTCCAACACCTGCTGATGATCAGGCCCCCTTTTATGTGTGAGTATCGGTGATTTAAAAGCTCATTATAGCTCTGTGTTGCAACTTGTCTGTTAAACCATTCATGCTTTCATAACACCCAAAGTAGCTGGGATATATCCAGATATAGGTACAGCATTATGTACGCAGACTTACATGGCTGCCTTCATCCAATTAGTCTGTTACTAGAATCGACAAGTTGATTCATTACCCAATTACATTACAGTATACTGGCATTTTTGGAGGTATTTAATAAAGATAACTTTTTTTTTTGTCTTCTTAAATAGCACAGTAAAATAAGATATTGGCGGGGGGGGGGATTCATCTTCAAAGGGGAGAGGTCCATTTATGAGAGGGAGTTTGATTGTTCACATGTTTCCTTTACTAGACAAGTCAGCCTGCCAACTGACAAGTATTAACCAGTGGCACGGGGCAGAGTATTTTTCTGGACTAAAACAGAAGACACGTTTCATCCTATGCTTAAAAAGTTAAACATGCATATATTTACTCACATAGTTTCGTGGAGGGGGGGGTTAAGTGTAATTTATCCTCTTTTCAACCGCTGGATAGCTGCATTAGTACAGGCAACCCCCGTTTTCGGTGCGACAGATATGTGTGCAATTGCACACATGTGCACAGGGTAGAACCTGGAATTGACATGGAAACGTCATAAAATATGTCACTCAAGGTGTGAAACGGGTGGGGCAGTGGCAGAACGGGGGTTTGAATTGCACACGATTTCACACAAGCGTGCAGTGACCCGGAACGCAACCTCTGTGCAAATTGGAGTTTGCCTGTACTGCTTTTAGTTTCAGCAGCCTACATTCCACTTTGCCCGGTCAGGACTCAGGTATAGGATTTTGCTTTCTGAAAAACAATGATGCTTTTCTAGTCATCTGTGACACAGCTTCATCTGGGATTCCCAGTGCATCCTTGTTCCTCTCCTTGTGATGATGTATTGGCAGGGAAATACAGAATCATTGCTCGGAGTCTTTCCTATTCTGATAGGCATAGAGAGCAGTTTGATACATGCAATATGCAGCATAATTCAGTTCATGTGCATTCAGAAGTTAAGTCCCTTTGAATTCAGTAGGACATACTCCTAGGTAATTGTGTATATAGGATTACAGTCATAATGGCCTGGTTTTGCAAAGCACACTTCAGGAATTGTCATAGCACAGGACTGTGCTCCTTCTCACTGCATTTATGCATTCAATCTGATTATATATTGTGGCTTTTCAGCGTTGCTATACAACTGTGTATCGCAGCACTAGTAAAGATACCTGAACACTCTTTCCCAAGGTGCTAGTTACTGATACAATCATGGATGTACTGATATCTGGATTAATCTCACTGTCATATTTTCTGTGATACTAATGTTTTACTCTCTCCACTGTGTGACCAAAAGACTCTAGTTGCCAAGCCTGTTGACTGTATTGTAAATTGTCCTGAATGTGATCACAGATTTCTTTATTTGGTATATTTCTTATCATAGTATGTACAGAAGGCTTTTTTTTGTCTGGCTATAGAATCAAGCATGCAGTTGATTCCTTTTAGTATTGCATGCTGCCTCATGTTTACACCCCTGTCCTCTGACTTTATTTAGCGCAGGATATGATTCATTCATTTGTTTATTTTTGCTTACTTTCTGAGTGCCGAGCTGATGTGTAGTCAGTTTAGTCCTTTCCAGCTTCAGTTTTTCAGCCTTTCCTGCCAATTATGGAATCTAAAGTGGATGGGCTTGTGAGCCATCTCTCCTTTTATCGTTTCCTTCTTCCTAAATTGTCTTTCAACCAAAAAGAATGCTGTACAACTACCCAATTCTACTCTCATTTTCCATCTAATCTAAAGATTTGAAGTTGTGACATCTGCTGGAAATTTTTTGTTGAATGTATGAATGAAGTTTCCCCTGTTCTGGAGGGAAATGTTCTTATCTCTCTATATAGTGCTAGATTTTTTATTTATTTATCCATGTGATTTATTTATTAATGTGATACCATTTTCATCTCTAACGTTACCATAGCTTTATTCACTTTCCCCCCTAGTTACAATCATGTGTTTTGTTGCATTTAACAGTTTAAAAGAATCATGTTACCCCCATAAATACCACCATCTCTCGAGACTTTCTGACCACTACTACTTATTTCTCTCTAAAATGAACACTTTAAAGGGATAACCTTCAGAACAACAAGGCGGCATTTTAGCCAGAATGGATGTCTGCAAACGGCAGGGATAATTTCATCGCAGTCAAGTTGATATGGTTGATTTATTGATTGGCAATGGGGAACAGTAATGAGGCATAAGGAATTTTTGGTGGGTGTTTTTTTTAAAAAAAATCAATTTTCCATATTTATGATTGCCTTTGTGAAGCACCCAAGTTGATGTACAAGGAATAAAGCAAAAACAAGCCAATTATGAATATTCCAAAAATTAAAATGACAAAAAACCTCAGCAGCATTAGCCGCTTTCATCCTTCCTGTTTTGTGTGCAGAACCTTCTTGGAGAGACTGCTCTACAATTGCGGTGCCATTGCTAAGACTATCCTGCTTTGAGTTCCAAACCACCTAATCTCAGAGGAAAGAAAATGGTGCCCAGAGGAAAGATATATCAGTTAATATGAAAGGGGATGTGTGTAGCCAGTGGCAGTTTTTCACTAGTAGAAACTGCTTCCAATCATGCAAGGCAACACAATTTTCAAACTCCTACCATTGCACACACAAAGATGTGCTAAAGCCCTCTGTGCCTCATTCCCTGCTGTTCCAGAGAACCTTCCAACCTTCAGGAGCAGTTTCTTTTTAGCAGACTGGGGTGGGCTGCAGTACTTAGGGAGAATTAGAGAGTACTGTGAGAGGAAGTGCTTTTCTCCAACACAAAACTATTATTGGTAGCAACCCAGAGAGAAGCAGCTCCTGAAAGTAAACACTGGATCCACGTGTTTCTGTCACCACACCTCTGATTATTAACTGTCATGCTTTTAGCATTTTCACCAGTTTTAGAGCCCAGCATGTATCATTTATTCTTATTTCTAGGTCATCCAATAAGAAGAATGGTTCTGAGTCATGGCCTAGATCTTGGTATCGTGCTCTTGTTTTGAATTGTTGCATACCCCATTAATTCAAAGAGAGACTTTTGGCTCAAGAACCAAGTAGTGTGGCTGGAGAAAGCCTTAAAATCTTGACTGCTTGTTACTGAGCTATTCCTCAGACACCTGCAGCATTGTAGGTTTTATTTTTATGTTTCATATTGCAGCATTACCTATGTGCCAGCAGAGCAGTTTGAAGAGTACCAGGCCAGCTTAGGGCAGCAGCTAGAAGGAAGAATGCCACTGGATGTTTTTCCTTCGCATGTTGTCAGGTAATCTACTACACCATATTGCTATAATCCTCTCCTTTACCTCTGTTTACACATGCATATGCTAATAGCATGAAAATTCTACCTCCATGCTTGCCGAAGCAAAACACTTTTACTAAAAAATGATAGGCAAATGTCTGGCATCTGTTTACTCTAGACGATAATATGGTGGTTGTGGGTTTTTTAAAGCACAGACAAAGAAATACTCGGTCTAGCCAATGATTTGTTTCAGAAAAGTTGTTCACCATTGTGCAAAGATTTTGACTTGTACATTGTGCAAAGATTTTGGCCTGTACTAAACCAGAGTTACTGGTGTGGGCTTCATGGGGAACTGTTCTTGATATAAGCCAGGATTGTCACAGCGAAGGCAGAGCATGATGGGAGGAGAGATCAGCCCCAACACTAATTTACAGCATAATAAATCATAGTCCCCCCCCCCCAAAAAAGAGAAATTAACAGTTAATTGACTAGTGGTCATTCTGCCTTCCTTTTCCCCACCCCCATTCTTAACCTCCGCCAGTGACTTTTCCTACAAATGAGAATAGGATTATTCCAGAGGAATTGTGAAATTGCAAGAAGGACTTATGATATTTAGCAATATGTTCACAGTTTGTATTTGGGTTGGCATAAGCTATGAATGGATACCAGTTTTGAATGAAATTGTCAATGTGACTTTGTGAACCGTCTTGTCCAACTGGTAATGCCTTCAAATGGAAGGCTGTTGTGTGTCATGGAGTGCTATTCTGGAATACGAGGGATGTGAGGAGGGGGAGGAGTCCATATGTAGATATAAAATACTACCTGCAGTTTTTGGATCTTGATTGATATACAGAATATAGAATCACCCCCATTTCCTATACATTTCTTATCCTTCTTCCTATTCTTGTGCCCTTGTTATTGTCTTTGTTGTATTTTTATTTTCTCAGTTTGCTTGCAAGGTTGTTTTTTTTTTCTCTTTTATCTCCACCCCCCAAAAGCCCCAAGATTTCAAAAAACAATGTAACTGGAAATTGTATCCATTTCTAGTCTGCTTGACTGGGGAAAGTGCTTTAGATTGTTTGATTTTTAAAAAAATGTGGAGCAAGGCTATAATCCTGGATTGTGTTCAGTTAAGTTATATTCTGAGTAGACCCACTGAAATGGATGGCCTCGAGTTAGTCACACCCATTAATTTCAATGGGTCTACGCTGAGTAGAATTAACTTTGGTTACAACCCTCTGTCTTCAATACTTCAGGATGATGAGAGATGCTATTTGTAGGTTACTAAAGCATGCTGTACATGCCCTTGTTTATTACCAGAGAAATTCCAGAACTACCAGAACGGGAAGAAGGTGAAGGAGAAGAAAGTGAACTTCAGAATGCAGGCTACAGTAACTGGAACCAACCAAGGAGGTATGTGTGTTTCTGCTACTCAGATAACTCCCTTAGCAGTTTATTTTGGTGCAGTGTCCAGTTTCTCACATTTTATTGATTTGGGGGCACAACCAGAATGCCTGGATAACTGGAAATCAAGATAAATTGAAATCTTAGTTAATTCATAAGGCACGTTTACCAAATCTTCACCGTGATCAACTCTTGCCCGGAAACCTATGTCCCACCTATGGAAATACGTGTGGATCCAGAATTGGCCTCCACAGTCTCTTACGGACTCATTGTTAAGACTGTGTTCATGGAAGACAATCTTACTTGTCTACAAGTGATTGCCAAACAAAGAAGACATGGACATGGAATTTGGGTCATTTGGACAGTTTCCTTTCTTGTGCAGTTTATTGAATTGTAGCCAGGAGAACTGGGAGTGCTTCTAACCATGGTTAGAAATTCTAGTTGGTGCCAACTGTAATAATTATGTATGAATGACCGCCATACTTAGGATTGTTTCCAACACACCACTCGTGCAGTGGGACCCCCCCCCCATTCCTTTCATCTCCTCATTCACCACCAGAATCTGCTACAGAGTGTCCTCAAACCTTCTGGAGCAGATTTTGAAGGTGCTTCAGGGACTGCAAGGAAGAGGACAGGAGCGGAAAGGTTTCATTGCACAAGCAGAAGTCTGTTGTGTAAGTTGAATGGCATTGCTGGATGCAGCCCTCGGCTTTGGAATCAAAAAGGCTTCCTACAAATTGAAAGGAGCAAAGGAGAAATCCTCAGACAAGGTGGGAGGAGATCTGGAGCTGCAGAGGTGTGCCTGATCATCATCACAGGCAGGCAGGCAGAATTACATCTGCGTTTGACCTCTTGAATTCCTAGATTGGTCTTTGACAGTTCTCCACAGAGCTCTTAACTTGTGTAATATTAGCAGTGCCAGATTTACATATACACTAAGCAAGTTATAGCTTAGGACCCCACTTTCTTGGGGCCCCCCAAAAAAATTAAATGAAAAAAACACCTGGATGTACATTTCCAAAATATAAGATAAAAAACAAATAAAATAAAACCTACATACAGCAACAGTGTTTTGTGTTGTGTATGGACCTAATAGGTCCATAAATTACCATATAGCATATATTCAACATAAAAAACAGCAACAATATGTTGTTGACAAAGGATAGCTGGACATATAAAGGGCCCCATTACCTTCAGTAGCTTTAGGGCCTCATCAAGCCTAAATCCGGCCCTGTTACCACCTGCCATCACTGACACCATAGGAGGAAGAGGAGGCAGCAATCAGGCACCCATTTGTCTCCCCTGGGAGTAACCACTGTGTGAGCACAATTCTATATCGTGCTGTCATTTTAAGCCCTTGTGAAGCTTTTCTTTGTGTGCTTCCTCCATGTGAAGTCCAGAGGGTGGCAGCATGAGAGTGGGCCTTCTCTGTAGTGGCTCCCCATTTGTGGAATGCTCTCCCCAAGGAGGTTTGCCTGGTGCCTTCATTATATATTTGTATATATTTTGCCAGGCAAAAATGTTCCTTTTCAACCAGGCCTTTAGCTGTTTTATTGTGTTGGTTTAATTATTTGCTGTGTTTTATCTTGCATTTTATTCTGTGAACCACCCTGGGATCTTTTTATGAAGGCCGATACATTAAAAAATTAAGAAAGAAAGAAAGAAAGAAAGAAAGAAAGAAAGAAAAAGAAACTGTTGTTGTTACTTAAATCTTAGTAAGGTTGCGTGAGACATGCCTATTTAATTTCAGCCCTGTTGTTACAAGAAACAAAAGCCCAGCTCTCTCCTTGATGATTGCATTGTGAAGCGCTTGAATGAACAGTTTCTGATTTTGCCCATATTTGTTTTCCTGTTTAATGAAATATTCTCCCCTTGACTCAAAATGGCACAATCCTAAATAGCAACCGAAAGTGACAAAGAGTCTCTTCAGCCCTAAGTTCAAGCACGCTGAGATGCAATTTGTAAAAGTCGCAAACCTGTAATGTAGATGCGCTGCATTTCTTAACGTATTTATAATTATAGGGTTGAACTCTGGAGAGAACCCAGCAAGTCACTGGGAATCAGCATTGTCGGTGGACGAGGAATGGGAAGCCGACTGAGCAGCGGCGAAGTCATGAGAGGAATCTTCATCAAACACATTCTTGAAGACAGCCCTGCTGGCAAAAACGGAACCTTGAAAACAGGAGATAGAATAGTGGAGGTAGTAGATCGCCCTCCACTTTCCCACAGTTAAAGCCCCCAACCTCCTTACACACATTTAATGGGATTGCTGGTTGTTCTAAGAAGATTGACTTCCAGAAGTAGAATGCATGTTGTAAACAGCTTCTGGCATGACTGAACTAGATCTGTAGGGCTCAATTGGTAGAGCACGAGACTCTTAATCTCAGGTCATGAGTTTGAGTCTCCACGTCGAGCAAAAGATTCATGCATTGCAAGGCGTTAAGCTAGATGGCTCTGGTGATCGCTTCTCTATGATTCTATGAAATGATTTCTATTACTACTGCACGTTTGAATTAAGTATTTTGTTCTGGTACCCATGGTTTGTGTCCTGCATCACCCTGGTTTCCACCTCTGGAAGTTTACAAACTCTAATGGTTGCTCATCTTTCCATGCTTTATAGTGGATGGTTTAATTCTCAGTCAACTCATAAGAACTAAAGTGGTAAAGAGAGCTCTTCCCATGAGACTTCTAATGTTAAAATTGCAACTAACCACTAGCATGCTGTACCTTGGCTTCCAGCTTCAATAGTGACTGAAAACCCAAATTAACTTACTAACACTAATATTATAACCTCATTTTCTTCGGGTGCCAAAACAGCCTTTGGATCCTTGTCTTAGACATCTGCACAAGTGGAAGCCCCCTTTCAGGAAGTGCTAAGTCTTAGCCTTCTTGGAAAGACTGCATTTTGCAGCTCTTGAGGGAGTCTAAATGGCAGTGTCTCAACTTTTCCCTTCCTTCCCCCTCCCTTTAAAATGAACATTGTACTTTATACGCATGTTAATTGAGCCTTGCAGCAATTCAATGAAGCATGTAAACACAATCTTGCTTTGGAAATACGATTTTAAAATTTTTATTTGCAGAAGCCTTTTAGAAATTCTGTTCGCTGCTTTCAAATTATGACCCATCCTGAGACTTCTCTCTCTTTTTTTTAAAAAAAAAGAAATAAGTACACATGTAAATTGACATACACAGGTGGTTTGTCTGCTGTGGACTGATAATACATTGAATTTGAGGCTGGATCTATACACATTAAAAAAACGTGTTGCAGAAAAATGCGTTATAAAAGCTGTTAATGTAAAACCCCACTAGCGATAGATCACAGCTCTGCAACGCCATCTGGTGTCACATGTTTATAATGCAGTTATAATGATATAGTTGATGAGTGTATCTGAGTCCTGAGTTTTCTCAATGATTCACATACATTTGTCTCAATATCCTGTAAGGTAGGTCAGGATTATTGCCCTCATATTGCGAAAGACGGTACTCAGGCTTGGATAAAGTGCTTTGCTTAAGGTTAAAGCTCATGACTGGAACAAGATTTGAACTATGGGCTCCTCATTTGCAGCTCGGTCTCCTTAACACTGCACTATCCTGAAGGCCTGACGTCAGAAAGGACTGCCCCTAGTTTTTTTCTTGTTTGCTTGTTACGTTTTCACCATGGCAAAGAGAAGTCAAATACATTTTCTAGAAGTTGCTGCATTATTATTTTTCTAGCTGCATGTACCATTGTGTTAAGCTTAGGCCTTACGATTTCAGGTGGACGGAATTAACCTCAGAGATGCAAGCCACGAACAAGCTGTGGAAGCCATACGAAGAGCAGGCAATCCAGTAGTCTTTATGGTACAAAGCATTATAAACAGACCAAGGGTAAGCATATGAACTGTGAAAGAAAGATTTGCAGAACCAAAATATGCAGGGAGAAATTAAACATCCAAGGCTGTGTTATTTTGGGGAGGACATTTCCACAAAGCTAAGGGCAGGATTCTTAGTGTTGCAATTAGCACACACACACACATGCAAACTAAACAAAAAACCAATCCTTGAAAACCTACTTTAAAATGGATTTGTAAGACAGTGCAGGTTTCTGGATCAAAGCGAGTGGCAACCAAAAATATAAATGTACATTTCATTAGGCATCCATCGTGGAAAAGTTCTAAGACAGGGTTTCCCAAACTTGGATCTGCAGCTGTTTTTTGACTACAACTTCCCTAGCTAGCAAGACCAGTGGTTGAGGATGATGGGGATTGTAGTTCAAAAGCAGCTGGAGGCCCAAGTTTGAGAAATGCTGTTCTAACAGCTCTTCCACACCAACCAGTAGTTGAGATTATGAGACTGGGCATTCAGTGCAGCTGAGACCCTCCTGCCCCACAGCACCTGTGTATATCCCATCTTGATTACATGCTCGTCAAACATGGCAGCTGGAGACAGCTGTGGGCTGTGCATGGCCTGCACAATCTGCATGGGGCAGAATAGTTGCAAACACCCATTGCACCCAAATGCCCCTTTTCGTTTCAACGCTTCTAAAGCATTAACCAGGAGGGATGGAAACTTCCTGTGCAGATGAACCGTTCAAGTATGCAGAGGGACCTGTTTCGTTTTGCTTCACTTCACACTTTCAGGAACTTGCGCTGCATGGGCGACACAAACACCTGCAAAATAGTTTTAATATAGTAGCTTGCATTGTTTGTAATGACACTTCCTCCTTGTAGATTCGCTGTAAGCTGCATGTCTTGATTTACAAGCTGTTTCACAAACTTTTTGTTTCCCAGCCAGAATCTCTCTATAGCTCTGTATCGTCCTCTGCTCCCAGCGGGCAGAAACCTAATAATCCATTTTACCGCCAGTCGTCGCAGGTAAAGTCGCATGGAGTAGCTTTGCAGAATATTGGTGATTGTGTGCAAGACGCTATTTGAGGCTTGTGCATTTGCTGTGGCATGGACAAAAGCAGCGCTTCTAGTTTGTGCTCTTCGTTTGAAAACCGTTGTGTTTTTAGAGCAAGATCCTATAAGGGGATTTCCATTCTTTGGTCACAGACAGTCATCCACAAACTAACCGGGTCCTATAATGAGAGTTACCTTTTAATACAGCTTTGTTTTTTTAAAAAAAGTATCCAGCAATTTAACACGTTCCACCAGTGCATGTTGTGGGTGGGAAATGGCTAAGTGTTACCTAGGGGATATGAATGATTACTGTGACCAGTTATATATATTGTTTTGAAACAACTCTTAACTTGCTTGTTTAATAAGTTAAGTATTTCGTTGTGCATTTCCCCCCTGTAACTTATTTGCAAAGGATGCGAGTCACGTTGACAAGCCTTTTCAGATTCTGCTTACCACTATGTTTTTATCAATATTTAAAGTATATACCGTACTTTTCTGTGTATAAGACTATGTTTTTTTACTTTAAAATTATGTGAAAAACTGTGGGTCTTCTTATACACGGATAGTGAAGGGTAGGGATATTCTTAAAATAGGGGGTGTCTTCTACATGAGGGCATCTTATACACGGAAAAATATGGTAATTTATTGTCTGTTGATGTAATATTTTTGCCTTGTTAATTGTAACAGTGGCAACAGAATTCGTAAGTATCCTTGTACATTCTGATCCTGTCCATTTTTATTTGAAAGTAAGTCCCATTGAGTTGAGTGGAATTTACTTCCAAATAAGCAGGCATAGGATTTGGTAGGAGATTGGGAATGCCCCATGGGCTTTGGGGCTTTCATTATCTGTTGCCCTTATGTTGTGCGCTCCTTCTTCATCACATCTTGCATGGAGATTCCCCCTTGTTTTCAGTGTCTGAGCTAACGATGACATAGGACCAGGGTGGATTTGATTTAAATCATGATTTAAATCACTAGTCAGTATGAGTTGATTTAAATCTTTTCTTTTTTTCACAGAAAGACTCATTCTAGCTGGTATAATCTTAATATTTACAACCAGATGAAGGTTTTATTTTTGGAATAATAATTTTTCAGAGCAGTTTTTACAGTTACCTATATCAGAAATTACTGATTTGGTTTTACTATTAGAAATATGTAGACAGATAATTATGGAATTATTGTGAGGTTTGATAAGTTAACTGTTTATATTTGGTCAACTTCTCTGCTGTACTTTATTGGAAGGAGAAAAACAATCATTTCCTTCATAACAATTTAAACAATTTATTTAACTAAAACAATAACATTATAGAATATGTATCCATGTTTGTTAACTAATGTGGTTAAACTTTTTTTAAAAAACAAAACACAAAAAAAACTTAGACTGAGTTTTAGCACACATGAAAAACCTAAAACAAATCCTTATTTCCTGATGAATAGCCTTTAGACTATAATGTATCTTAAATAGAAAACTATATTTAAAAAGGTTTTTCCTCCAAAGGCATTTTACTTTAAAAATCCGATTTAAATTACATTGATTTTTTATTCACCCTGCATAGGACAACATCTATAGCGGTGCTAATCATGGTTATGTAAGACCACAGCTTCCAACCTACTTCTAACTATGGCTGAAAACTGTGGTTTGGCGGTAACCATGAGGTCTTCCTCCTAATCCCTTATCCATTAGGCAGCTTTGTGGCTGGCATATGTTTATATTGTTTTCAAGCTACCTATGCTAGATCACAGCTAGTGCTGTGGTTGCGCCAAGAGGCAAACCCCTCCACTGCACTAATTTAAATTATGGATGCGTGCATCTGCTTTTCTAATTTGGACTTGCAATGATAACGAAGGGATATTTGGAACAATCTTGGTGGAGTCCTGTTCCTTTTCGAGATGCTTAAAACTACGGAGAGGTCTCGTGCATAAAGGATGGTACAAACATGCATGCAGGTGCAACACTCGACAACCTTATTTATCAGTGATTCTCAGCTGGAACGTGTGAATTGCCATTGAAACGCATTGTGTCTGAAATGCTTTGCAATCACTCTGTGGTATTTGATCCGTGACCACCATTTTCACACATGGATTTGATCAGGGGTCAGCAAACTTTTTGGGGGAGGGCGCCAGTTCACCATCCCCCAGACCTAGTGGCTGCGGACTGCGGAGGGGGCTTCTCTCTCCCCCCTCTCCCCCAGCCGCTCCCCTCCCCCTGCCTACCTCCGCTGCTGCTCTGCCTGTGGTTGGGAGCTGGCAGTGGTGACCGTGCCTCTCCTTTTCGGGCCAGCTTTCCTGGGTGCCAGGCACAGGGCCAACAGGCGCGTCAAGCTCCAGCCCATGGGGAGAGGCTGGCGGACGGGTGGCGACGCTTCCTATCAAAGCCCAGCCCCCTTCCTCAGCAGGGTGGGGAGAAGCCAGGAAGAGGGAGGGAGGAGATGCCACCACGGTGAGGGAGAGAGGGGGAAAACCACAAAAAAATGGCTCCTGAAAAGAAAGAAAAAAAATGGCGATCGCACCGATCCAAGTGGTGGTTGCAGAACCATTTGCGGGCCGGATCCAGAGGACAATTGGGCCAGATCCGGCCCACGGGATTTTTAGTTTGCCGACCCCTGGATTTGATGTTGGCCAATGGATGGTCATGTTTGTGTGGAAGTGCCCTAATGTATTTGCCTTTTGGTTAGCGAGCCCCTTTCTGTTTTTCTTGTAGAACCTCCCTATGCCTTACCTGCAGTACAACCCTTTCAGTAAGCCTCCTGCCTTCAGCAGCACTAACCCTTTTGTTGAGCCTCTACAGTTCAACACTAACAAGGTTGGATGATGCATGGATATTTGCGATGGACTCAGTGAAAATTTATGTGTTCCTCTGTTTCTCTGCTCCTTCTCCTCTCCCTCATTTGATATTTTTTGAACAAACATCAATAAGCCAGTGTCTTACTGGAGGAAAAGCATTCTCCTTATCAGAGATAGGTCCACCATACTCACCCAAAAAGCTTTAATTTGACCAGTGAACCAGCTGGTCCACAATCATAGTAAGACAGAGAGGCAGCCTGTTACTTGTGGAAAGACCAGAAGCTGCAAGTGTGTCATGCTTTGTATTTAACAGATAAACTGTTCACTAAAGCTACAAATCTTCATTGTAAAATATTACATGAATCAGTGTGGGTTAGGATTTTAAAACACACACACATGTACACATTGATGAGACTAAATTGATTGGCAGTATAACCGCATTGCCAAATCTTTTTGAGAATATTAACGGAAATAGTTTGGCTCTTCTTTTCCCCCACCCTCCACCCTGCCCCCAGTGAATTAGGAATATTAAGGAATGGTATGGAGAATACAGAACACAAATAGCTAAGGTTGCAGTTCTGTAATCGCTTACCTGGGAGCAAGCTGTACTGATATCAGTGGGACATAGTCATGTGTCAGAGTGGACTGTAAATGAATTGTGTCTAGAGGCATTCTTGTATTGCTGGTTGCATTGCCGCCGCCAGAACCTAGTCACAGGACAATTCTGTGTTCAGTCCTGACAAAGTCAATAGCAGACCACTGCTGTCTGCAAGGGAATTCAGGCTACAGATCTAACTAACATTGATGCCTCAGTTGATAGAGAATGAGACTCCTAATCTCAGGGTTGTGGGTTCAAGCCCCATGCTGGGCAAAATATTCCTGTATTCCTGTCTTGCAGGGAGTTGGACTAGATGATCGTTGTGGTCCTTTCCAACTCTACAATTCTACCTTAGGTTCTCCCCCCAGATACTTTATGCTATCTGTTATTTGTTGCCATGAAAGTTGGGGGGGGGGGTGTTGTGAAGCTTAGTGGTGGAGCATGTGCTTTAGATGCAAGAAGTTCCTCTGCCTAGTCTCTGGCTTCTTAGACTGAGCTGGGGGGGGGGGGACCTTCTGAAATCCTGGGCAGCTGCTGTCGGTCAGTGTACTGAGCTAGACACCAGTGGTTTCACTCACTATAAGGCACCTTCCTGTGTCTCCAAGGTGCCACATAACTGCTTAAATGCAAGCGTTCTGTCTCTACTTGGTGATATAGGTAAGGGCTATAGAAGTAAACTTACTTTTCTTTTAATAAGCTAACAGCTTAGGTCAGGGGTCAGCAAACTTTTTCAGCAGGGGGCTGGTCCACTGTCCCTCAGACCTTGTGGGGTGCCAGACTATTTTTTTTTTGGGGGGGGATGAACAAATTCCTATGCCCCACAAATAACCCATTCTACTCATGTAAAAACACGCTGATTCCTGGACCATCTGCCGGCCGGATTTAGAAGGCGATTGAGCCGGATCTGGCCCCCAGGGCCTAGTTTGCCTACCCATGGCTTAGGTTCTCAAAACAAACAGAAGGCAAGGGGTTCTCTGCTGTTTTCTCCAGTACTGCTGTTCTGAAAGTAGAAGCCACTTTTGCTCACAGAACAGGACTTAAACTTCCTTTCCTCCCTCCTCCAGCCCCTGAGCCACCTTCAAAAGCTAGTTGGGGGTCCCCCTTGAGCAGATTTTGGAGGGGCTGCTATGGTATTCCACTTCATGCACATCTGCATGCAAAAGTAAATTGATGCATAAATGTTTGTTCTCAGGTTGCAGAATTGTCTTTGTCAATTTTCTCCCAAGAAGGATTTTCTTTGCTCCAAGGCCTGTGCAAATACATATTGGATAGGGCCTATGACTGGTAATGATAGGCCCTTTAAGAAATGTTGAGTCATTCTGATGTGATAAAAAAAATAAAGTTTATATAAAACCCATTCCCTATGTAAGAATACTTGTACAGTACAAAAAGTAGCATTCTTCCAAGGATACTGTAATAAACAGCCTGCTGTTTTCTGTTACCATAGGATATGCAGAATCCAATTAGATTTACCACCAGTTGCTCCCCATGTAACCCCTTTGCTCCTACACCATTTAAGGTTTGTTTTAATTCACGGTTACTGTCCTAATTTGTAGTTAACTATCGTAGTCAGTGTATGTACTGCACTCCTTGTGTGCTGTCTGTCCTCAACCCCCCCATTTTGCCCCCTTGATCATTTCAAAAGACCACGTGCTTCTTCCAAGTGTACCTGCTTCTTTCAGAGTGATGCTGCTCTCTCTGTACTTACTGTCGCCCAAATTCGTTGCCTGAAACCCACAGGATACTATGGTGAAGGATTCGGGAGTTGCCACATTTGTATTTATTTCTGCATCTTTTATAGTAGTGATTGGGGGGGGGGGGGCTGTGGTTCTCCAGAAGTTGTCAGGCTACATTTCCCATCAGCCCCCAGCAGCTTGGTTGACCGTCAGGTATCACTGCTGGAATTCCAGCAATACCTGGAGAGCCAACTCTTCATAATTAAGGTCACCATTGTTCTTATTAAGAGCTCCCTGTTCAGATCCCCAAAGCCAATTATTTTGCTTCCATTCACTCTTATAGGGTGTCTTCCTATGTTACCTTAGTGAGACCATTTGCCAAAGTTAGGCCCCATACCTCTGCATACAAGAGGGCCAAGTTGTTGTTGTGTGTGTAAATTGTTGATGATATGTAGCTTACAGCTAGGAAGCCAAATAACTCTTCTAGGTGATCAATAGCTTCTTTGAAAAGACTATACAATGTCCAGACTCTTTACAGTCGTACCTTGGTTCTGGAACACCTTGCGACTCGAACATTTTGGCTCCTGAATGCCGCAAACCCAGAAGTGAGTGTTCCGGTTTATGAACATTTTTTGGAAGCCAAACGTCTGACGTAGCTTCCGCAGCTTCCAATTGAGTGCAGAAAGCTCCTGAAGCCAATCGGAAGTCGTGCCTTGGTTTTCGGTTGTGTTCGAAAACATTCAGCCGCACAAAATCTGAAGTTGTGTGCATATAGTTATTATATATGCACACGCTAAGTATTGAAATAAAGTTAAATGCACACAAACACACACACACACACACACACACGGTTGTTTCCAGAGTGTCCCTTTGGCGAATGGAAGCTCCCAAAGGAGAGGGGAGGAGACAATGCCCACAATCTCTCATGCAGGTTCCCAAAACAACTTCTGCTGTGTTCTGGAGAGGTCCGCCAACTCTCTGTGGCTTGTTTCAAGAGGGCTTCAGGGACACGGATGTAGGCATGTATGGTGAGCAGAGTTCTGTACTTGGGAACTTTGGATCCAAACTAGTATTGCTGAAGCCGCGTGTGAGTTTCTCTTCTCCCCCTCCCCACCTTTTGAACAAAGGCACTTTTCTATATGAATCCTCAAAACAACACATCTCGCCACTTTTCTTTGGGAATCAGTAAAATTATCTCCCTTCCTTCCTTCCTTATGTTATACTGTTTTCGGTTTTGGAAATACACTTTCATGTCTATGTAAGTCCTTTGTATGTACGCCACCCAGCACATAAACCTTCACTGAATTTGGCTTTTAGTAACTGTCCTGCTTGCTTAAAGTGCATTTGAACCTTCATTTACCATGCTGGTTTTTTTCCCATCTGTGATTGCCTTTCCGTTCTATTATTTCACAGTATTTTAACTTCAAAGGCCCAGCCCTTTCTTTGTCATCACTTCATGCATTTTCTTTGCCCAATGCCAGTCTGCACGTTCCCAGCCACTGTATTTTCCTTACTCTCCACAGGCATCTAGCCAGTCAGATTCAGAGCTAGAAAAGACTTCGTCTTGTAACCTGCTTCTGCCGCCTCCTTCACTGTCTCCAGGAATGAGCAGTGAAATTTTGCAGCGTTCCTGCAACCAATACCTGGAAGAGCTGGATAAGGAAGATGAGTTCGGATACAGCTGGAGTAAGTTTGCTTCTTGAGAGAACCTTTCACAATTGTTTACATCTTCATATACTCTGTGATGGTCATCTTCCTTTTTTTTATCTTGCTTGAATAACTCATGGAAACAACATTATTTTTTGCTATGTACATTTTGTTGTATGAATTCAGATTCTGTCTTTTGCATAATGGACAAACATATTAAGCTCTATTCTCTGGTTGTCTTTTCCATTATAGTCCAAGTGAGATAATTGTTGCTATTAGAAAACATCTTAAAAACACAAATATGTGTGGGAGTTGTGTGTGTGTGTGTTTGTTTGTTTGTGTCAGTGTGTACACACACAGAGAGAGGCAGACTGTATAGAGCAGTGAGGGAGAGATTTTCTACTCTTCCATTCTGATAAAATGAAGTGCCTGGAGGCATTTTCTTCTAGTTAGAGAATTTTACTGGAAAAGAACCATAGATTCCTATTTGAATTGTTTCAGTCTGCGTGAGATTATGGGTTTATGACAATGACTGCTGAATTTCCAAAGTTTGCGTTCTTTTTAAGTTTTCGGAGATAAATACTTCCCTTGCCACCTAATTTCTCTCTCCTTATGACTAGGAAAGATCAGTCAGGGGTATGGGCATCTGTCTGGAGATCTGCACATGATAGAGTTGGAGAAAGGGAAGACTGGCTTAGGACTCAGCCTAGCTGGGAACAAAGACCGGTCCAAGATGAGCGTTTTTGTAGTGGGAATTGATCCAAATGGAGCAGCTGGAAAAGATGGCAGACTGCAGATTGCAGACGAGTTACTGGAAGTAAGTGTCTAGTAATTATACTTAAAATGAAACATGCTGACTCTAAGGACGGGGGGGTGGAGTGGGGACATTCGATTATTGGTGCAAAATGCAGCCTTTAATTAACAGCACATTCTTTTAATCAGTATTGCCTTTCTTTACAATCATACTAGTTTCCCGTTATAAATTTTGTGTTTGCGGTCAAGATTGTTTTCCAACTATACTAGCACTGAAGAAATAAATAGATGCTGTGAAACAGGAGAAGTAAGTACCTTTGCTATGGTTTTGAGAGAAAGAAAGCCATGATTTAATGAAATAGCAAGACTGCGGTCCTGTTCCACTTAACTGGGAGTAAGCCTCTTTGAGCTCAATGGGATTTATATATAGGGTTGTACTGCTAATATGTTGTCATTCATCCTGAAGCTTTCCCCTTAGGTTTTTAGTTACTTCTGGTTGCCTGACGTCTCACCCGATTTCTCCTTTCATGGTCTCCAAAGTTATACCAGGACTAATGTCACAGAAGTAGCCAACATCATCTCAGATTTCATAGTCTCAGATGAAGGAAGATACACAATTGATTTTATCATTCATTGGACTACTCTTTGGGTTGATAGAAGAAAATGGAAGCTTTTGAAGTATTCAGTACTCAGCACTAGGTCCTATAGGAGGTTTAGTGCTGGATGTTAGAATATACAGGAACAGGATTAGAATAGAAAAAGAGGTGGACTAAGATATAGTACATTTAATCTAGAGTTTATCCAGCCCACCATTTTGTTTCCATCAGTGGCCAGTCTGATTACTCTTGTAGTTCACAAACAGGGTATCAACATGGAAGCTATCCCCTCTACAATTTGTCTGCCACCAGTACTGTATATTCAGAGGTATAGTGATCACGAGACCCTATTTAGCTACCTTGGCTAATGCTGATAGAGTTAGCCTCCACAATTCTGTTTAACCCTTTTTTAAAAACTAGGTAGGCCAATGGTTATCACATGTATTGTAGTAAATAAATACTGCAGGTTAACTATGTAGGTGTGGGTGTGTCTATTTATGAAATATATTTTTTTTAAAACAAAATATTTATACATACCTCTTTCTGCCCCATAAATTGGGAAACACACCCCAGCCAGATAGCTCATGACAGTAGTTGAAAAGCACAACAAAAAAGTAACATTTAAAAAAAGTAAATAACAAGATTAAAAATAACTGGTAGGAAAACAAGTGTTCAGGAGTCTGCAGTGTCATTCAGTTTGTACAACAAAACCACAGTGAAATGGTACTATTTTAACTATATATCAAAATGTCGGGGGGGGGGGGCACAGTCCATGGGCAACAACTGAAAAGGCCTCATCCTGTGTATCCAACAGCTATTGTTTGGACAGAAGTGATACATGGAGCAGCAGCACTGCAAAACACATCAGTGGATTGCAGGATTTTTCAGAAGACATTCTTTTAAATATCACAGTACCAAGCCGTTTAGGGCTCTCAGGGTAATCATCACTTTAGAATTGGGCTCAGAAATGGTCTAGGAGCTTGAACAAATAGGGGGTCACATATTCTAAACAATGGGTGCTAGTCAGTATAGAAAGGCAGGAGCGTGTCATAACCAACTGAAGCTTCCAAATATTCTTCAATGGTAGCCCCATGTAGAGTATGTTGCACTAAACCTCAGTGTGACCAAGGCATGTGTGAGCATGGTCACACCTCCCCTTTCCAGGAACAGGTGTGATTGGTGCACCTGTAAAAGCTGTGCAAAAGTGTTTCTGGCCTCATACTGAGGATTTAAGCACACTGTTTAGACACAGTATGCAATAGCAGAACAATCCCATGTATGTTTAATCAGAAGCAAATCTTACTCTGTTCACTAGGGACTTCAGTGCACTCCAGGGACTGCATAACATACCTTTTATTTTCATTTCCATGCTCGTTTACAAAATGACCTGGTTGGAGTGGGCTGATTTACCGTTACTTGCTTGTATAAACCTGCTGTCTTCATGCCTTTTTTTTCCATTTGACAAACAGTGAGTCACGAGGTGATCAATCACTAGTGGAAATTGATAATGATGTTCCCAAAGTCAGCCAGCCCACTGCAACCTAATGAAGGACGATTTCAGCCAGTCGAGAGCCAAATACAAACCAGCAGCTGTTTTATAGATTTAAAAAGGCGATAACAATTATAGTATAGAGATACAGGATTAGTGCATTGCAACCATAATGGTTGAATAGCAGTTTTAATAACAATAGTGACAAAGAAATCAAGTTTGCTTTTGTCTGTGGAACAAAGCTGGTATTCATAATTAAAGTAAGTATCCATCCCATTCTGATTTATCTAGATAAATGGACAAGTTCTCTATGGAAAGACTCATCAGAATGCATCTTCAATAATAAAATGTGCACCTTCTAAAGTAAAAATCATATTTATCAGGTAAGCAACCTCTAATGTTTGTATCTATTTTTAACATTTTGTAATATCTAAATGCATATTCAACAGTATCTTTCCCCATATAATTCAACTTTTGAAGCATTGCTAAAAGCTTCCCTGAATGATATATTTGCTTTTCAGGATTTACCACTATTGTGGGTATGTCCTTCAAAAAGCAGAAAGCAAGTGCTTTAGGTATCGAAAGTATTGCAGAGTTTTTCAAAAAACCTTTCTGCTCCATATATTATAGAAACAAAGATGCTGTCCAACAGATGGCCGTTTGTCCTGGGAAATCAACAGAGACTTCACCTTCCTCTTCTGGGCTACTTCAGTATGAAGAGGTACAATTTGTATTTCATATTTATTTTCATGTGATAGAATTAATAATGGTAGGGATGGGAAAAAGGGGATACTCTTCAGTATGTTGTAAATAGCTTCTAAACAAGAGGGATCAAGGTAGATTTTAGCAAGACTTGTTTTAACAGAGGTACTTTAATATAAATCTGAAATTGAGGGTGGGGAGGGAAGTTTGCGTTAAACAAAATGTTGTAGCACAGAGCACTGCTGCTTCCAGAATATCCTGCTCCACTGCCCCTCCCACCCTGGCTTTTCATTTTTGTCCCTAGTAGCCAGTTAAGAGCTTGTTGAACAATGAGCATGCCCAGTGGCTTCTTCCCCCCTCCCCCAAATACCTTATCTCCTATGTGGACAGTGACATTTTGGCTTCATAAGGTCTGGCACACAGAGAAATGAGATTGCCATTAGTACAGGCGACCCCCAATTTGTGTGGGTGTTGCGTTCTGGGTCATCGTGTGCAACGGCGAAGCACACATAAACCCGTTCTGCCCTGCCCCTTTCCCCTGCCACTTCCAGCTTGCTGCAATGCACGTGCGCATGAAGGGATGCGGGTGGCGCTGTGGTCTAAACCACCGAGCCTCTTGGGCTTGCCAGTCAGAAGGTTGGCATTTCAAATCCCCGCAACAGAGTGAGCTCCCGTTGCTCTGTCCCAGCTCCTGCCAACCTAGCAGTTCAAAAGCATGCCAGTGCCAATAGATAAATAGGTACCACTGCAGCGGGAAGGTAAACGGTGATTCCATGTGCTTTGGTTTCCATCACGGTGTTCTGTTGTGCCAGAAGCAGTTTAGTCCTGCTGGCCACATGACCTGGAAAGCTGTCTGTGGACAAACGCTGGCTCCCTTGGCCTGAAAGCGAGATGAGCTTCGCAACCCCATAGTCTCCTTTGAATGAACTTAACAGTCCGGGGGTCCTTTACCTTACCTTTACCCTTTTTAACGTGTGCATGGTCACATGTCAATTGGATGTGCGTAAATTGGTCATTGTCGGGATGTCATTAGATGTATTGGTTCTGTGACCTCTATAATGAACATGGCATGTTATGTTTTTCTGTATTGATAAATTTTGATACAATATTTTTCTTTCTTTCTTTCAGGGTGAAGTGAATGATCCAAGCTCTATTTTTCCTATAGATCTGAGTTTATATAAGAATATTAAAAATGTGGAATTGCCTAAAGTGAGTAGATGCTGATGCAAATGGCCCCAAACAGAATTCTGTCTGTAATTTCTTTAGTCTGAAAGGGAAGGGACCATTTCCTACTCTGAATGAACAAATTTCTCTAATGGTCTCAGTTTTCAATCTTACAATCAACACTCAGTTTCATTCTCAAGATTCACGTGTTTTCCCATTTTATATTGGATCGCATGGGGTTATCTGTGTGGTCATTATGCTGGTGCATAGTCTTAGACTTCCCAAAATCCAGCAATGTGTTTGGCTTCATTCAAAACATAACTAAACCATGAAAATGAGTGGTAGCAGGCCTCGGGCTCACATTTTCACTCTCCCTTTCATCGGTCCTCTGGTGTGGAGGAATTTGGATTTTTTTTTTACTTTAATTTTAGATTAACCACATATTGCTTTATTGTCTAGATTTAGAAAAGCTGTGGGAAATGGTAACTAGGATTTGTTAAAACAACCTAGCTTCAGCCCCTTGTTTCAACTAACTATAATTAAGATTAACCACAGTTTAGTGTGTGGAACTCAGTGCTCAAGGCTAGTTCTTGTAATACTAAACACTCTTTTTTTGTTTTGTACAAATGGGGCCTTTCTCTATACCTGTACTTATCTGCAGTGAATATATTTTTAACTGAATTGCTTTATGAAGTGTATACTCTTATGCTAAGCATGGATTTACCTAGGAACATTATTCTCTCTCTCTCTGTGTGTGTGTGTGTGTGTGCGTGTGTGTGTGTGTGTGTGTGTTGTGAACTGCGGGTATAAAGTGGTATACAAATGTGTGTGTGTTTTAAAAAGGAACAAATACAGTCATACCTTTTGTTATGTTCGGTTCAGGTTAAGTTCTTTCAGGATACGTCCCGCGGCTTACTTACGGTTACTTCCAGGTTTCGCCGCTCGCGCATGCGCATATGCTCAAAATGATGTCACACGCATGTGCAGAAGCGGCAAATCGCAGATGCGCAGATGCAGGTTGCATTCTGCTCATGTTGCAAATGGGGCTCTGGAACGGATCCCATTTGCAACCAGAGGTACCACTGTAATCAAACAAATTACAAGCATACAAAAAAACCCCCCATTTATTCAAGAGCCAATATTCAAGAGCAACAAATGTCTAAACCATATAGATGCACATGGTCTCTCTGAATATGTTCCATAATTCTGTCCTTTCTGCATTAATCTCTGCTTTAATGCCACCACCAGTCAGTCTCTCTGTCTCACTTTTTTAATGTGTATTTTCTGAAATAAGTATTTAATATGCACCTTGCAACATTTAAACTGCCAGGGACGGTGCCACAAGTTTCAGAGGAGCGAACTTGTTTTGATCAATGCGTTCGAGTGGTGCAGATCGTTTGGGCCATCTTTTAAAGAAATTAACGAAGATAGCACTTCTCAAGCATTCATACTTAAGACAGCTTTGATTGACATTCATCTATACCTCTGGGTGTCCCTTTGTATTTCTTAGGATCAAGGAGGCATAGGTATTGCCATTGGTGAAGAAGACACATTTAACGGTGTGGTTATTCAGAGCTTAACAGAGCATGGTGCAGCAGGAAAGGTAAGGCTGTTAAATTGTGACCCATTCAGAGAAGAAGGTAATAAGTGTATAGATGGGAAAACCTTCTGCCCCCCTCCATCCCATCCCAGAGTTGTTATTTTTATTTCAGGATGGCCGAATTAAAGTTGGAGATCAGATTCTGGCAGTGGACGATGAAGTTGTTGTGGGGTATCCTATAGAAAAGGTACTTGAACGATTCCTTACAGCATGCGACTTACTGACGCCTGTTCTATACAACCATTTAAGGGCATAAAAATACAGATACCAGGATTCTGTTTAGGCATTTAGTCAGGGTGCTATGGGACCAGGGATGCTCTGTCTGTTTCAGGAGGGTTGCTAAATCTTTTCTCTTTCTTCTCATTCTTTCCTGTCACACTTCTGAACCCAAAATAGCACTTTATGTTGGCTTTTTGGGGAAGCTGAAGTGGCTTGTGGGGCATATTATTTAGCTGTGAGGATATTTAAATGTTTTTAATCCTGTTTTGTTGTTTGCTGCCCTGGGGTCCTTTGTTAGGAAGGGCAGAATAAATGTATACCGTATTTTTCGCTCCATAGGATGCACTTTCCCCCTTTTAAAAACTAAGGGGGAAAGTCTGTGCGTCCTATGGAGCGAATGCAGGGGGGAGGCAGGCAGGAAAAGCCCCCAAGAGCTGCACACAAGCTTTGCGTGGCTCTTGCAGGCTTTTCCCCAGGAGGGAGAAGGGACTTATGCGGCCAGTCAGTCCCTTCTCCCTCCTCGTAGAAAAGCCCTCAGGAGCCGCGCGCTCCTTAAAGGGTGCGTGGCTCCTGTGGGCTTTTGCAGGAGGTGGGGGAATTGCCATAGCTGCGCGCAGCCTCTCCAGCTGGGAGAGGCTGTGCAAGGCTAAAGAGGAAGCCAAGGCAGCGAGCGGGATGGATCGCACTCACCGCCTTGGCTTCTTTAGCCACACTTCTTTAGCCTCACTGGAGAGGTTTAGCTCCCGGCTGGAGAGGTTGCGCGGCTATGGCAGAAGCCAAGACAGCCAGCGGGATGGATCCCGCTGGCTGTCTTGGCTTCTTTGCTCTTTGGGGCTGGGGAAGAAACCCGGGCTTCCCCCAGGCTTCCCCGAGCAGCCTGTTCACTGCTCTTTGGGGTTGAGGGGGAATAATTCCCCCCCTTGATTTCCCCCTCTAAAAACTAGGTGCGTCTTGTGGTCCGGTGCGTCCTATAGAGCGAAAAATACGGTATATATAATTAATAAATGGAGCACTGATGGTTGCATGTGTATTAAGCCTATTAACTGCAGTTCTTGTGATCAGCTCTTTGGAGGGGAAGGGCAGAGCAGGGATTCCAGCTCCATTTTTAAAGCAGCTGAATTTATTATTTCATTATTATTTATTAAATTTCTACACTGCCTTTCACCTGAGGATCACAGGGCATTTTAAAATATAAAAAAACCCCTCAAGTTATGTGTTGAAAGAAGCGGTGTCTACCATGACTTTAATAAAATATATGGGGGGAGGCAGCACCCCACATAATCAGTTTAGAAGATCTGGCACATGCACCATTTGGATGGCAATGCCCATTGACTTTGGGGGCCCCTGGCCCCCTCAGATTTGGGGGGGGAGCCAACAGGACCTCGGTCCCCGGGACTTGACTCCTATGCATGCTTTTGGAAATCTGTTACAATATGCCTGCTATACGATTTTCTGTACTCTAGAATGATAAAAAATCATGTATCTATATTGGCTTGTTACATGAAAGTTTGCTCTTCTTTACTGTTCAAGTTTATCAGTTTGCTGAAGACATCAAAGCCCACTGTGAAACTCACAATCAATTCAGCTGAAGAGGAGAGTCAGACAGCTGCTCAGCCACAAACACCGATTTACAGTGCTACTTCGGGTGAGAGAACTAATATCCAACAATCAGCCGTTGTTTCACCTTCTGAATCACCAGAACCAGAGTCGGTTAAAAGTAAGAATCTTCTAGTTACCCCAAGTCTTGGAAAAGAATTCAGTGACATTCATTCGTAGAACTAAGCCATTGTCTGTTTTAGTCATGGTTTTGTTCACCAAACCACGAGACAAATGTGCAGAGAAGACTAGAAACCACAGCTTATTTATTTCTCCAAAGCTTGGTTTGTTTTCAAGCTGCTGTTTCCTTGGGCCTCTTTCCCTTAGTGAGTGTCTAGGGTGGGATGGCCAAATAACAGATGCCTAAGCAAAGCTATTACATTTAGATACAATAACAAACCATTGTTAAAACAAGCTATGGTTCATAAGCCCAGGAACAAGGCTTTCTGCATGGAGGCTTGTCAGAAACCATCTTTATTTTTATGCAGCAGGCAAAAACTTGCCTTTTTACCCAGGCTTTGGGGCCTTAATATGAATTACTCTAAGTACTCCATTAGTGTGGCAGATACTGTAAGACCTGTCTTTTGTCTGTATAAATGTGTTTTTTTAATTGGCTTTGTTGTAATTGATTTTAATGTTTATATGTTACTGTAAGTCGCTTTGTGACATTATTATTATTAGGGAACCTGCATACCTGTGATTTTGCCTAGCAAGCCAAAGGCACTTAAAAATTGTTAGTTTTCTTCCAAGTAGGGAAGTTTACTTATCATCAGCTGGATGTAACTCTGTGATTTTAGTGCCCTTCACTTCACCAGTTTATGGCATGAGTCCAAGCTGGTTGAATGAGCAGGCATGACTAGATCACTGCAGAAATCCAATTTAAGTAGTCTATTAAGGAATAGGAAAATAAGAGAAAAATCATAGGTTGCATTTTTTAAAACAAAACAAAAGCATACACTAGCTGATCTTTGGCCAAAGCAGTTGAATAAAGTAATTAAAGACCCTACAAACAAAATATGATGTGCCCTCAGCCAAAGTGGGAGTGGCAGACATCCCACATGGAAAAAGTTGAAAACAACATCTAAAACCATCCCATTTTATAGTTTTTTCAACATTGATGCATCCAGCCAAATGTGTGTGTGAGAAGAGATGGTTTCTCTCAGATAAGTTGTAAACATAACTTTGTATTTCTGAGAGATTTCAGACTTTGCAGGAGAAAAAGAAGCAGGCAAGAATTCAGGTGGCATCTCTGTTTCTTGGGGCCAGAGCTCATCACAGGTTTTCTTATGTGCATTGAGGCGAACCGTATATGTGGGTATTTGTTGGGGGCGGGAGAATGGACAAGAAAAGCCTTCTTCACCTTAATGAATAAAAGGATAAAGTCCATAGTAGACAAGGATTTTTAAGGAGGAGAGTAGTTATAGCTATAACTAGTCGGTTTTCTGTTTCTAGACACAAGCAGGTCCTCAACTCCAGCCACATTGATATCTGACCCAGCTACATGCCCAATCATCCCGGGTTGTGAAACGACAATTGATATCTCCAAGGGACGCACCGGTCTTGGCTTGAGCATAGTAGGAGGAGCCGATACTTTGCTGGTTTGTAACGAATGCCTTTCATAACCCCAAACTAAAGAAGGAAAATGCTTCTTTCTTTGACATACCATACTTTTCTGTGTATGACTAGGGTTTTGTCTATAAAAATCATACTAAAAATTGGGGCTCGTTTTATACACAGATAGTGAAAAGGGGGGACGTGGGGTTGGTTGCTGCCGAGAGCCAGAGATTGTTAGTGTGTTATTGGAAGTCTGGTGGTTGAGTGAATTTCGGCAATCTCCTCTGAAAAAGCTCTACAAGTATGGGCAATCCTCCCCAAAAGAGTTTAGCAACTCTGGGCAATCTCCCCCTCTCCCATTTTCTTAATTTGGAGTCCCAAAAATAGGGGGTATCTTATAAAAGGGGGCGTTATACACGGAAAAATACAGTATACAATGCGACTCAAATAAATGGATGGGAACAATTGATCTCTAAGTTGGGGGATAAAATTTATGTCCATAATTGCACTAGGCAGGAGTGTCTCCCCGCAATTCTGTTTGTTTGAGTGTGTGTGTGTGTGTGTGTGTGTGTGTATTGGAGCATTATTTTTAGCATCCGTACAAGTGTTACAAAGTTTTTAAATGTATTTGTTGCCACTTGCCACATAAAACACATTTTAAATAATGGGTTTCATCCTTATTATGTTTTATAAGCATTTTAACATTTTTTCTGAAGTGTGAAATGTTGCTGTTCTAATCTGTAGTGCTCCCGAAGAAGGGTGCTTTGAAATGTATTATGTAAATGCAATCTTTATTTCCGTGCACCATTGAAATTTCACTCACTCACTCTCTCACACACAAACATTGGTGCTTTCCCTCTTTTCGTTTTTCTTGACCACACACTTTCATCAGGACAGCAAATGAAAACTTATTTAAATACAATTTTTACTTTTGTACCGGAATTTATTCTAGGCACCACTATTCATGTGTATTACTTTGTGTGTGTGTGTGTGTGTGTGTGTGCGTTTTCAATTTTACAAATACTAACAAAAAAAGACACACACCCCCCAAAAAAAGACAGAATACAAACGATGTATCCCTTTGGACTCCCCCCCCTTTTTGTGGTTCCTTTTGTTATTGTTTTCCTTCTGCATCTTCTCATTAATTCCAATTATTATAAAACCTTAATCAGTCCATAATTCAATTTTTTTACTACAAGATTTCTGTCAAACCTCCTAAAGTGTGTAGTCCTTTACAATATTTTTTCAAATACATTACGTACTTTCTCTCATTCCTTAGTAAAATTTGATTCATCTGTATTCCTTTGAGATCTCCACAAAACCCCCTTTTATTCTTTTCTTAGGCTCAAAATAGTTGAACTGAATGACGAATGAAAAGGTCTAGCAAGTTTTATATTTTGCTTTTAAATCCACAGGGCGCAATTATTATCCATGAGGTGTATGAAGAAGGAGCAGCGTCCAAAGATGGAAGGCTCTGGGCTGGTGATCAAATCTTGGAGGTATAACATTGTGCAACGTACAAGCCATCCTTACATTGCATACTTCTGAAAGTGGGAGTGGCGGCGGCGGGGGGCAAGGAGAAAGGCAGGAGTAGAGGGGGCCTATATGCTTCTGACATCTGCCGTACAATTGAATCCCAGGTGAACGGAATCGACCTAAGGAACGCAACGCACGACGAGGCCATAAACGTTCTCAGACAGACGCCTCAGAAAGTCCGCCTCACTGTCTACAGAGACGAAGCCCAGTATAAGGAAGAAGACATGTATGATGTGCTCAGTATAGAGCTACAGAAGAAGCCAGGCAAAGGCCTTGGATTAAGTATTGTTGGGAAGAGGTGGGTACATGAGGAGAGCTTCTGGAAGTCTGTTTGGTCTTTGTGTGCAGTGCCGGATTTACGTATATGTTAAACAAGCTATAGCTTAGGACCCCACTCTCTTGGGGTCCCCAAAATAATTTAAAGGGGAAAAAACCTGGATGTACATTTCCAAAATATAAGATAAATAACAAATAAAGTAAAACCTACATACAGCAAATCGAATCCCCGCGGCGGGGTGAGCTCCCGTCGTTCGGTCCCAGCTCCTGCCCACCTAGCAGTTCGAAAGCACCCCTAAGTGCAAGTAGATAAATAGGGACCGCTTTATAGCGGGAAGGTAAATGGCGTTTCCGTGTGCTGTGCTGGTGCTGGCTCGCCAGAGCAGCTTCGTCACGCTGGCCACGTGACCCGGAAGTGTCTGCGGACAGCGCTGGCTCCCGGCCTCTTAAGTGAGATGAGCGCACAACCCTAGAGTCGGACACGACTGGCCCGTACGGGCAGGGGTACCTTTAACTTTACCTTACATACAGCAAAAGTGGTTTGTGCTGTGTAGGATCCTATTTGTTATGTGCAAAGGGCTTTAGATACCTATTAGGTCCATAAATTACCATATAGCATATATTCAACACAAAACAGCGACAATTTGTTGTTTACAAAGGAGAGCAGGACATTTAAAGAGCCCCATTACCTTCAGTAGCTTAGGGCCTCATCAAACCTAAATCCGGCCCTGTTTGTGTGCAAGCTAATGCGGAGACAACATTGCTGAGAGAAGGTAAAATAAGAATCGCCTCCCTTAGCATTTGAACCTAATGCCTAAGGGAGGGAATTCTTATTTTACCTTCTCTCACTAATGTTGTTAGTGAGTGCAACTTTGACCTGGGAGATATAGTTCATTTTTCTTTCTTTCTTTCTTTCTTTCTTTCTTTCTTTCTTTCTTTCTTTCTTTCTTTCTGGAAATGTGAAATACCTTTATTTATTTATTTGGAAATGCATTATATTAAGGTTTATAGAGAAAAATACAAAGCTTAATATCTCTCCCCCCCTTGCTTTTTTCAAACAAACCAAGCTCTAGATACAATAAAAACACAAAAGGCAGGGGGAGAAATAGAGAAAGAAAAATAAATAAATAAATAGAAAGAGTAGGGAAGAGGTTAAAAGAGAAAGATAGAAAAATAAGATTCAGAAAATAAAGAACTTCTGATTGTACATCTGTCCACTATATAAATGCAATATTCACTTTGTCTAATCCAAGATAAGACCCAACAAAGATATCGCTTCAACGCACCCCTCACCTCTTGCTTAGCCATGCTGCAAGTCAGCTTCACTTCCTCATTTGTACAACTAAAATAAGAGCTGTCTACCCTTACTGCTTAGGGGTGAGGAAATGTTGTCCCCTTTAGGACTGCATCTGCTATTAAGTCTCTAAGCTTCCTTGTTTGACTAGATAGCAAACTTGCTCAGAAAAGGACAAGACAAAGAAGATCCTTTTCTTCAGCACCCCACAAGAACGAAGAAGCTATTGATAGATGCATTACTCTTAAGTCTCTTAACACAAATGTAACCACCGGAACATAACATTTTTACATGCACCAATCAGGTGATCTGGAAAGAAGAAAAACAGCTGCCTTGGCAAAGCACTTTTAGACAGCCTCGCACTCCCTGGCTCATACACACACACATAATTTTATTTGCCCTTCCTCTATTCAAACCATCGGTTCAAACCATCCTCAATAATCCCACTGCAAAAACCTCCAAACAACACCCTGGCCCTAGAGTCTGTTAAGCAGCTTCAGCTTTTGTAGTTGGAGTCAGTCAGAGCCATACCCTCCTTCCCAGATTGGAAAAGGCCTCCAAGGCAGGGAGCAGGTCTTCCAGATGGTTCTTGTTTGAGCCACCAGTTCCAACAATAAGGATTTCAAAGCACAGCATCACCTAATGTCATCGTGACATCAGATAATTGACAGGTAAACAACCCTTTCTACCTGTCAGACTTGGCCTGCCAGGGAATCTGGCCCACTAGTCCCCTCTGCTGACATACACGAACCATTCTTACTAAATTCAGCATGTTGTCATTCTTAGTTTACACACTTTATGACTGCAGAAATAAATTCATATTTGGCGTAAGGAGCAATTGTGTCTACGGCATTGTTACCTTGGTCTCCCTTATTCACCAGGACATCATATTCTGCTGTAAGATCTGCATATGAGAATCCATCCTGTTAGGTTGTATGTATATATAAGAAAGTGCTGAAATCTCATGTTACCCACCAAAATACTTGTTTGATCATTGCTTTTAAAAGCTCGTTCTTAACCAGGTAACTATTTAATGAATACATTCATAAGTAAACCACCTTGGAAATGTCTTCTTGAAGGGCAATATATAATGTTTTAAATAAAGAAACCCAACAAAATATACTTCCATTATTTTGTTTACAGGAATGACACTGGAGTGTTTGTGTCAGACATTGTCAAAGGAGGCATAGCAGATCTGGATGGGAGACTGATGCAGGGAGACCAGATATTAATGGTGAACGGGGAAGATGTTCGAAATGCTAACCAGGAAGCGGTGGCCGCTTTGTTAAAGGTAATGGCAGAACGATAGAGAAAAACATAACTGCATAAATGGATACTAGGTCCTCTCTTTTTCCAAAACGAGAATCGCAAACGGGAATAGTGCTGTTGCACTCCCATCTGGCTTGCGGACTTCCCATAGGTATCTGATGGGCCTCTTGCCTGATGTAACAGGGACTTCCTCGTAATTCTAGGGACAAGTCTTGTGCAGGGGGGGTTGGTGAGGAGAGGTTGCCACTGTGCACAAGGGCCTCCTGGCAGTGGAGTTGCTGCTACTTCTTGGAAGAGAGGGTGATGGGAAGGTTGGCACTACAACTGCACATTGGTAGGAGGGTATCCTTTAAGTGTGAATGACTCTGCTGCTGGGAGGCCACCCCTACTGATCATTCCCGGTCTCTTCTGGTATTTTCTTAAGGGATGCTAAGGTTGGCATTTTTTAACGTTCCATATTTGTAAAGCAAATGAAAGGCAGTTCCTTTTAGGTACGTTTGCACACCCACCCACCCCGCTTTCATTGTTGCATTCAGCACATACAGAACCAACAGACTGGGGATTAAAAGATATTCACTTGTTCCGGGGGATTAAAATATGCTGCTACTTCTGATTTAGCACTGCAGTGCACGGCCAGCAGTGGAAACAAAAGCTACTGTTTCTAAATGAAGTTCCTTTATCGTTCCTACTTGTCAAAGTCAGGATTATACGTTGTGCTTTGAAGCAACTTGCAAGCATCATGTTGCTGTGGCTTTTTCATAGATAGGGATGAAAAGAGGGGGGGGAGCATTAGCGCTGCGTTATGTGATACTCTGGGCAGAAAAGAAATGCTAGCTAGATGTTAGAAGGGCTAGGTTTAGCCACTTAACGTTGGGGTCACTGAAGACATCAATAGTGGATGTCCTTGCTGAGGGTTAAAGTAGGGACTAATGCAAATTTCTGTTGGACTTGGAATGTACAGAAGCAAAGCCTGGAATGGCTGAAGGTGGTTTTGCTTGGTTTTCCAAAACAGGTTTCGGGTCGCATTCCTTATTTGGTGAATACGTCTTCATTCTCTGTGTATTTTGGAATTGATTCTTCTCACATGCCATTCGATGTTGCAGTTAGAGAAGAGCTTCTCCCACTTAAAGCACTCAAAGTATAATTTTGTTACCTTGGTTGTCCAAACAGCAATTTGTTAATGGGCATAGCTGGCTGTGAAATACAGCTGATGTACCATCCTTATTATGCCATTGCTTCTGTAGGGACCTCCCTCTATGTCCTTGTTGAACCAACTGGCAGGCATGGACAATGTGCAATCTACATGCTCCTTTGTGATTTCAGACAAGGTTCATGCAATTTTCTCAGCACGGGTGTAATCACACAATGGACAACACTTACAGAAGGTTCAGCTAAGACTTGTGTGAAATGGCCCTTGATCTTCCTTTAACTAAGATATGCCTTTACATCATTATACTCTGGGTTAAGGAATCTGTGTCTTACAAATAATGCCTGCTCTCTAGTGCTCATTAGGTACAGTCAGACTAGAAGTTGGAAGAATAAAGGCAGGCCCATTCCATTCGGAGAGGAGAACGTCTCAGAGCAGCCAGGTTTGTAATTGCTTGCATTGGCTTCATTTGGAACCATCACAAGCATTGTTAAAATTATATAAGCAAATAAAAGGGAATTGATTTCGCAGTGGCAGTGATTTTTCTGTAGAGGCTGAACAGAGATGAATAAACTCCAAGCCAAGTACATAAAAGGCAGTTTTATGTACCCATAGCCATATTGGGTTTATTCTAGCTTTTTTTTTAAACAGCTTAGATCCTCAAAGCTGCTGTGTAGCACAGCCCTGTTCCCAATGCTGTGTAAGGCAAGACACATCTACAAATGTACTGAAAACTAAGTTGGGATTTAACTGTATGATTTTTGCTGTCACAACTAAACATTTGGGGTATGATCTAGTCCCCCTCCCCTCCTTTCTGTCTCCTCCCATGTACTATGTTGTGCCTGAAGGGATGTTCTGGTGCTAACCCCTCTTCTCACTGTTAGCAGCTGTACTGCATCTGTAGGAGGGCTGTGCATGCCTGATTGGTTGCTCTGCACAGGGAACAGAATTGACCGTTGTCTTTCTCTCTGAGTAACTTGGTTACATCTCCATTCAAGATAGCTGCTGAGAAGTCTGATTTAGCAGGGAAAGAGAGTATAATATCTCACATATCTGGAGGGTTCTTTCACTCCAGAAAAGTGCTTCCTTCTACCGGTACACAGTATTTTTACGCCAAACAAGATACTCTGCCAAGCGCTTGCTCTGACTGCTCTAATATGCTGCAAACTATTAAGTTTGCCATTCATACTTGTACTTTCACTCCCATAGGGGGGACCATGTCCTTGAGCACAACTGGCAGACATGGTCCAAGTAAAATATTACTTACGAAATATGAGACAGTAGTTATACTTGGATGATAAAATATCAGCTTAGTGAGCCAAGTTATGAACAAGCTACATGCAGCCACTTTGCTCCTTCCTCTGCAAGAAAGCCAGGAAACAAGTTAGCTATAGTTTCCTGTTGCATCCTAACTAGGAAACTGTGGTTAATGGCTTCCAAAGAAATTAGGATATTAAACAAACTTTAAACCTTGGTTTCATATCCTGGGTTGTATGAAGAGAGGAGTGACCTAGCTGAGTGTGGTTGCACGAAGCTTGTTGGTATTTTGGATTATTAAGCTGGACATCTGAACATGCCATTGTTGATGTAGAAAGAAAACTGGACTTACGGGCTTCTAGTAATTCTCAGTGGTGTAACTCTTTAAGGTCAGCGAGGGAAGCAGCAGCCTGTCATCATTCAGTTTCCCAGGTTCGGGATCCAACCCACCAGAAAGTTATGAAAGTACTCTGAAGAAGAATTCCTGTAAGTTTCAGCTGCTGCTGTTCAAATTCTGTAACTAATATCTTCTCAGTTATTTCTGTGCTGTTAGATACATGCTGTTCTCCCAGCAATCACATGACATTTTGTGCTTTCATGCTCACGTGTATTGGTCATGTTCCAAAATTTAAAAAATATTTGTGTGTCGGCAGTCACACATCAATTGGATGCTTCTAAAATGGTCGTTGGCTGTGTGCAGGAAATGTCGAGCTATGACTTGCCATTGGATCCCTTAATTGAGCTTGTGTCTGTGAAATCCAGTAGTTCCAATGGAAGAATAAGGAATTATTACTCACCTTTTAATAACAGTAGGAATTTCCATTAGAAGGCAGAACTTGAAAAATAAAGATAATCCATTTATATCAGATTATTTCCTAAGAATGTGGGATAATTTATATATAAGATAAAATTAACAAATTTGGCCAGTCAGAGAAGGTAGACAAAAAGAAAACCGATTGATTGAGAAATGGGGCATTTTCATACTGCATTGGAATTTGAAAGTATGGGATTCTATAAAGTGGTACCTCGGGTTAAGTACTTAATTCGTTCCAGAGGTCCGTTCTTAACCTGAAACTGTTCTTAACCTGAAGCACCACTTTAGCTAATGGGGCCTCCTGCTGCCGCCATGCCACCGGAGCACGATTTCTGTTCTCATCCTGAAGCAAAGTTCTTAACCTGAGGTACTATTTCTGGGTTAGCAGAGTCTGTAACCTGAAGCATATGTAACCCAAGGTACCATTGTATATCCATATGCATTACTGTGCGTAATTTAGTAATCCTCAGTATTGTTTCGGTGGTATTTCTTTCCTTCTATTTATTGTGCCTCCGTACAATTCAGATAACAGTTGATATTTCATTATTGTATGAAAATATAACAAATTATCTTATCAATTGAAAGTATACATATAAAAAGATTTTGTGCACTGGGGATGAAAGCGATATTCATGACGAACCTCAGTGACTTCAGAAATAAGCAAAACAAAACTCTCTTCTTGTTTATTGGCCATTGATTACAATTTCCCTCTAGGAATGAAATGTTTAAGCCAGGGATGATGGGCAGATTTTGATCTACTTTGTTTTTGACTAGAACTACCAGATATATCAACCAGAGACTGTGGTTAAATTTTTTGGGCTCCCCCAAGAGAGTGGGGCCCTAAGCTATAGCTTGTTTAGCTTATATGTAAATCCAGTACTGAGTAGATCCCAATCTTTCTTATGCCCACCCTAATTGAAACATTCAAGAACCAGCTTTTCTTGTGGCAGTATTCAACAGTATGGGAGTACTGCCACCTCTTTTTCTGTTGCCGGGGCAGCCATTTTTTTGCTGGTACCCACAACACTTTTATCAAGATACAAGTAGCAGCACTTCATTTTTTATTTTTATTTTACCAAAAAAGGCACTGGTTATTTCTGTGGGGAAAAATCAAGCAAGTTCCCCATTGCCTCTGATGAAGCACATAACCCTGACTTTCCAGCAGCAACTTAATGACCATGAAGGAAAGAGGGAGATGTGCTTAAAGAAAAATTTATCATTTTTGTTTGCTTTTAAGTAAACAAGCAAACCTAGAGACTAGCGCTACCAGGTTCCTTAAATTGCTTTGAAAACAATGTAAGCTTTAACAGTGATAAAAAAAAATGTTCTGGAGTGCATGGAAAATAATGTTTCAAAGTGGAAAACACCAGTGATAACAGTGCTGTTTCCCTTTTTAACAGTAGCATCTGAAATACAAGGATTAAGAACAGTCGAAATAAAAAAGGTAAGTAGAACCTAGAAGCTGGTATAAAATTAAGGAGAATTTATTACTAACTTGAATAGATGCAGGATTGCATCATGCATCAATTTGGCTATTCTGCTTAATGGAAGATTTCGACTGCATTATATTTTATTAGTTTTGTTTTTTTTTATCAATAGACCTCTCACACATATTTTGAAGTTACATAACACAAATTCCCATTATTTATCCAAGGAAAGAAAGTTAGGTTTGGAGATTTGAAAATTGCTTCTCTGCCTGATTTTTGGGTGAACCTATCAGTAGTCTTATTTACTTGGGAATTGCAGAATCTGAATCTTCAGAATGTTTTGTATCTCTTCCTTTTACAAACATACCACCATTTGCATTATGAATTTATATTGTGCTTTTGGTTGGAAACCAGAGAGCTCCTGCTGGCATTCTGAAAAGCTAAGGCATGCCCAGTGGGCAGGTTGGTTTTGTTGCTTTCCTACTTTAAAATAATCCCATATTACTAGCTGCCTTTGTAAGCACCTTCTGTTCCAGAAACAATTTGCCACATGGCATGGAGATGGACGTGTTGTGGAAGAAGCACAAGCCCAAATCTCCCTTGATCATGCACATCTATTTACAAAGCTGTTCCTTATCCTCATCTTTGTCAGGAATCTTCAGATCATTTCAAAACACAAACACTGAGCTTCATAACAGGAATAGAATAAAGTAGGTGCAAGAGCTGTGTTCAAATTCCACTTCCTGCGATGAACTTTTAAATAAAGGTTTTAAACTGCACAAAACAGCAAGGGGAATAAAACTGGACAAGCGATGCTCTCCAGTGTGGAAACTTTAACTGACAAGAATGCTTGCTTTGCAATGCAGTTGCTATGAAACATGCAGGAAGACGCAGCTGCTCAGATAATGTGGCCCCACGCCATCTGGGCCTTGAGATGCTGATGTTAAAATCCTTGAGCTGAACACAATGGCTAATAAAGCATCAAGTTGAGCTCCTACAGAAGATGTGGGATACAGTTGCAGCAGCGAAAATTCCTCACAGAAAACAAGCCTATTAGACTGTGCAAAGTTGCAGCCATTAAATACTTAATGCTAAAGGCAGCATTAAACAAAGTGCAAGATTCACAGATTGCCATGCTATTCCCCCTCAGCAGGCTCAGAGATTTGACGTTATACGCGCAAAGAAGCACTAGAGGGAGCTTGGCTTTCTTTATATAGCTGTTTCATTTTTACTTCCACATTTTAAAAAAACCCACTGGTATTGCAGATAACGGTGTACTGATAAATGTGGGTATGTTTGTTTATACAGTGGTACCTCTGGTTGAGAACTTAATTTGTTCTGGAGGTCCGTTCTTAACCTGAAACTGTTCTTAACCTGAGGTACCACTTTAGCTAATGGGGCCTCCCGCTGCCGCCGCACCGCTGGCATGCAATTTCTGTTCCCATTCTGAGGTAAAGTTCTTAACCTGAAGTACTATTTCTGGGTTAGCAGAGTCTGTAACCTGAAGCATCTGTAACCTGAAGCGTCTGTAACCCGAGATACCACTGTACAGTAGACTAGGGTTCATTGGATTGGTTACAAAGAATTAGGGCAGTAGGAATAGAACAAAGGTAACAATGAGATGCTAACTTGGCTGAATCAAGCCAATTTAAAGTGTTGGTGCTGATCTGTATACCTTAAGAGCGTCTCCACGCCCATCGTTCAGCCCAGACACTGAGGTCCAGCTCCGAGGGCCTTTTGGCGGTTCCCCCACTGCGTTAAGTGGACTTACAGGGAATCTCGATAGTGGCGCCCACCCTGTGGGTCACCCTCCTGTCAGATGTCAAGGAAATAAACAACTACCTGCCTTTTAGAAGACATCTGAAGGCAGCCTTGTATAGGGGAGTTTTTAATCTGTTATCAAGATAACCAGGTGACAGCAAAAACTGCAAAAAAAGTAGGGACAATTAAGATATATTATTTGATCAACTTTCTAACATTGCTCAGGTCTTTTTTAATCAAAAGAAAGCCTGTTGCTTCACATGTCTTAACTGTGGTTAAAAGATTATGTATCAGTCCTGTCATTTGTATTGATGATACGTCTAGAACGTATTTCATATCTAAGCATTTAGCCTTATCCTCAGTATATTGTATTTTATTTTATTGCTATGGCTAGTGGCTGATGCAAATAAAGTTTCTATGTCTTATGTCAAGCTGTTTGAAGCAGCCCAGAGTAGTTGGGGCAACCCAGTCAGATGGACAGAATAATGATAATAATAATAATAATAATAATAATAATAATAATAATAATGTGGAAGTTTAGATGGGAAGCCTTTGGCTGTAGATGGGGATGAAGGGAGTTGTAGCTCTGATTTTAGAACTTGCACAAAACGATTCGAGTGTTGAATAATAGCAGCTTTTCTTTTGTTGTTGTTGACTTTGTGTTACAGGGCCCTTCAGATTCCTTGGGAGTTAGTATTGCTGGTGGCGTCGGAAGCCCTCTTGGAGACGTTCCGATTTTTATAGCCATGATGCATCCTAATGGAGTTGCAGCTCAAACTCAGAAATTGAGGGTAAGAAAAGAGTAAAACAAAACCTTGAAAATGAAATGTTCTAACTTCAAGATAACAACTTCAGTTGTTGCTTTTCACCCTCCAATAGGTGTCTTGGGGGGGGGGTTGTCTAGCAAATGGTGTGGCAAATTCCAGAAAGGCTGTAGACTCACTTCAAAGGAAGAAGGCAGGGTCTTTTCGTTTCTTGGCCCATTCCCACATTGAAACTACATCAGTTGCAGAGCACATTGAACATCTCAGAAAGGATGGTGTCGAATGCAGAAACCTGTGAACCCCTCCCACTTGGTTGGCTCAGAAATCTTAAGACACTGCATGGATGGATGAAAATTTCAAGCAGGGGTGCTTGATGGTGCAAGCAGAATAAAGGTGGATCCACCTCAGGTTGACTCCCCAACTTGATTCCGCCACACCCTCACAAGCAGGCTCCCCAACTCAATTTTGTTTACGCACACCAGCTGCTAGTATGTCATTTGTTTTCACAAGCACGGTTTTGACGGGCCGCATTCAGGGAAGTTGCTAGAGAAGGACTTTTGCCTCAGAAGTCTTTTGCATGGATGGGCATTTGTGCCGAAGCAGCAGTTTTTCATGGTGCATACACTGAAATAGGCTCCCAAGGGAGGGAAGCACCTGTGGATGTAGTCTGTGAACCCACAAACACCTGGCTTGTGGCCAGATCTTACGTTATACATATATATATATATATATATATATATATATATATATATATATGATTTTCAAAAATAAAGAAAAAAGAAAATAAACATACATCCAAAGATCATACAGAATCCACATATCGAGATTACTCTGAATCGCCTGACTTCCCCCCCATCCCATCCATGGGTCCTCTTAATTCTGTTTTCAACTGAATATCAATACTTCTCCATATTTTTCATCTTCCTAAGTTATCTGTACTTTCTGTTATATTACAAGTTGTATTTAGAACCCTGCTCATGTTTTGACCTGTCTGCAATGATTTTGCATATGCATTATAAACATTTCCCATTCTTTTTTAAAATATCTTGTCCTCTTGGTTCCTGAGCTTCCCAGTCAATTTTGCCATTTTGGCATAGTCCATCAACTTGATTTGCTATTCTTCTTTGGTTGGGGTTGTCTCTTCCTTCCATCTCTGGCTGAGCAGCATCCGAGTGGCCGTTGTAGCATACATGAACAATTTCCTCTGGTCTTTTGGGATCTCGGTACCTATAATTCCTAGTAAAAAAGCTTCTGTTTTTTTTAACAAAGGCTATTTTAAACATTTTCCCCCATTTCATTATATAACATTTCCCTTATATATTTTTTATTACATTACTATTCCACCACATGTTATACTCTTCATGAGCAACCTTTTTAAAGACCATCTTCCTTGCCTGCTTATAATTCCGGAGGCAGGAGCAAGTTCTCATTTTTTTTGCTGTTATTCCTGCAATCAGCAAAGGCTGAAAAACCCTTGAAATATACACTTGTCCCTTGCCGTCTTCAAAGCCCTCACAATACAATGAAGCTCCCTCACCTTCACAAAGGGAAGAAGGGAATCACTACCGTGAATTTTTCCATCTGTCTTTGCAATGGACAGGAGAAGCTGAGCACAAAATAAACCACCACCTGAGCAATACCGTATTTTTAATGGTACAGACATAAAGTGCTTTCCCGAGCTGCAGTTCTGTGGCAAGCAGCTGGCAATGCAGAATGTGTATCTGTGGTGATCTGTACTACATACTTAGGGAAGCAGTTTCAAACTTGCCTTGAAATGGGAAGGGGGTTGTTAAAAGTCTTCCTTGCCCAGTGACTTTCAAGAGGCCAACTTGATATCATTGACATCTGACTTCTCTCCCCCCTCCCTCTTTTATATTCCAGGTAGGGGATAGGATTGTTAGCATCTGTGGAACACCAACCGAAGGAATGACTCATTCTCAGGCTGTCAGCTTGTTAAAAAATGCTTCTGGCACTATTGAAATACAGGTAAAAAAAACACACAACAGAGACAAAAATAAAGATTGCCCGCAGAGCTATTCAGAACATTTATTCAAACTTTGTTTTCAAGGACAGAAATTATAGCCTTTGAGGGTCTGAGGAGAATTTAGCTTCCAGTGGCTGTAATTTAATATATTTTGTCCATGGAATGGTTTATCCATTTTGATGAACGGTTAGTAGCCACAATGTTTCATTGTTGTCGTTTTTCACACGGTTTGTAATCAACGTGTTTCCTGAAACAGCTTTGGGCTGCAATTATAGGCAATGGTATGCATAGGGGAGAACTGGAAGCATAACTGAAGGTGTTTAGCAGCTGATCGCATGGATGAACAGGCAAGCGATTCCCTGTTAAAGGGAATAGCTTTTTACCCAGTCCACTGTGCGAACTTCTGTTTGCCTAGTCCACTGTGTGGCTGGTAGCAGGAGGAGGGGGATCTAAACAGCTTTCAAAGCACAAATATTACTTTCTGAACCATGGGAGCCCAGGTAGTTTCATTATGTCACACATGCAAGCCATAATTGGATTTTCACGGGCATTCAAGATATCAGATGGTCCAAAAGCCATGGGTACACTTGGAAACTTGTCAGTTCTTTCCAAATTCAGGCCTGTTTGCTTTAGGACATTTCCACATTAATGTCTCGGTGTGTATAGGTGTGAGCCTGCTGTGGTTAGATGTGCAACCTCTAAGCATCAGGCTCAGTGGAGATTCATTATTCCTCTTTGCAGCCACAGAAGCTGCGCACAGCCCTAATAACTTAACCTTTGTGGCAGTTGCAAAGTTGCCTCCCAGCACTATTCTGGAAAAGTGTTTCGAACTTTAAAAAAACACCTGATCGGTAAAAAACGGGAGAGGGCACTGAAGAAATGTTAAACTTGCAAAGCACTTGAATAAATTTAACCTGTCTGAAGCATGCGGGTGGGACCAAATAGGAAATGAAAATCATGTTGGTAAGAGAAAAAGCCAAGCTAGCTCCGAAGGAAAACACACAAACTGACCCTCATGTTTTTAGGTAGTGTATCTGTGAGCCTTAACAGAGCAGTTGCTCTCAAAGTTCTGAGTGGAACCACAGGTGCAAATCTGTCTCTGAAACAAGCATGTATGAATTAAAGAAAACAATCAGAAGCATTTGGCGAAGTGTCTGTGGCATCAAACACTATACAAATCTTGGGGTGCATTTGGTAAAAAAACAATGGAGGACACAGAAACATTCAGTTGATGTTGCCCCATCAGTTTTAGTCCATTTCCTGCTACAAAACCTTGCGCATTCTCACAAGAGCAACCCTGTCTGTATCCAAAGCAAGGCACCATTTGTCTGGCTTGGGAACCAGAAACAGTAATGCTGCTATTGTGTTTGTAAATCACCTAGGAAGTGCTTCATATTTCCACCTGCGTCTTAAAAGTGTCCTTGCAAGCACATACAAAAGCCTCAGATCCTGATCAACACCTGAAGTGGAGACTTGCACGCTTCTCCCAGTGACGTACACAAGCTCCTTGGGCTTCTCCCTCTGAGGAACATGCACAGGTCAATCCTTTGGATTTTGCAGGGAGGAGAAACAAGCGCAACTCTCCCACCGATTCTGACATCCTCCACTCTCTTGCCTGCCCATAACAACTGTGGGGCTTCTCTGCATGCAGTTTTCATGTGATAATCTGTGTACTCGTTTCATTTATATTTAAACTGAACCTGCAGGTTGTAGCTGGTGGAGATGTCAGTGTCATAACCAGCCAGCAGCAAGATCCACCAACATCTAGCCTTTCGTTTGCCGGCCTAACAACAAACAGCATCTTTCAAGATGATTTGGGGTGAGTGGCTATGCTGAAACTGGTATCTTAACGGGGGGCGGGGGGGAATGGTCCCATACATTGGCATATGTTCCCGTGACCAACCAGTCACCTCTTCATGTGACCTTTGGAGCAAAAAGTTCTGCCCATCCCTGATTCAGAGTGGCTGTTGCTGAACTTCACCTTTCTGACTCTTGCCTTACAGACCTCCACAGTATAAAACCATCACTCTGGATCGGGGACCCGATGGCTTGGGCTTCAGCATTGTAGGCGGGTATGGAAGTCCTCATGGAGATCTGCCCATTTATGTTAAGACTGTGTTTGCAAAGGTATGCGCCAAGATCAAATTTTTGTTTTAATTAAGTTGTTACTGAAGATTTTCTTGCGTTACCAAACAAACAAGGAGAAGTACATATAGCGTCTCCACTTTCAATTCATATAGGTTTTTTCACAGCTCGTTCACATTTGGTATGAGTGTCATAGGCATCTTGCGATTGGGAGGAAAGAAAGGGGGAAGAAAGAGAGAAGGAGGGAGATGGGGGGGTTGTCATTTCGTTCTATTGCATAGTGTTAGTGCAGGGCAGGCATGTCCGACCGGTCGATCATGATCTACTGGTCGATCAGGTGATCCTGGTTGATCATGATGCACCCCGCCCTCGTTGCTATTTCCTCTCGCTGCCACCGGTGCTTTTGTGAATGCCTTAATTCCCTGCATTTGCAGGCAGAGTGTGTGAAGGAGTTAGAGCTGTGGACTGTAGGGTGAGTGATTTTATGCAACTCACTCCCCCTAAAAATAGCTCAACAACTATGGGCAATGACAATGGGTAAATCACCCCCTGTTTTATTAAACTGGGAGTAGATCACAGTCTCTATAGAGTTGGACGTGCCTGGTGTAGAGATAGGTCATTGTCTTTTTGTGCTGTGTATAAAGGGGAACCACACCTGGGTGAAGGTGTCCTCCTTTGCTTGTCCCCGTGCTAGTTTAAATTTATGACTCCCACTACTTGGAATTAACATTTCAAACAGTGGCATAGCGTGGGGGGTGCAGGGGGGCCAGCCGCACCGGGCGCAACATCTGGGGGTTAGGGTTAGGGGGCGCAAATCCACGGGTTAAGGGGCGCAATTCCATGGGTTAGGGGGCGCAAATTACTTGCCTTGCCCCGGGTGCTGACAACCCACGCTACGCCACTGATTTCAAATACAGAAATACAGTTTGTATTTCAATTTATATCTTTTCTAATTTACTTGTGGGGCAAAAACTATCTCCCCAACTTTTGTGTGTGTTGTTGTTGTTTTAATTGCTGTATAAACTTGCTGCAGTAAGCTGCAGGCACAATCCAGTACTTGGCTGCTTTTCAATTTCAGGGTGCCGCAGCAGAAGATGGGCGCCTGAAGAGAGGGGATCAGATCATTGCCGTCAATGGGCAGAGCTTGGAAGGGATCACACACGAAGAAGCGGTGGCTATTCTGAAAAGGACGAAAGGAACAGTGACCCTGACTGTTCTCTCTTGAACCCTCTTCTCCCGAATTTTGGGTCAGCACAGTTACTCTGTCCACATTCCACACAGCAAAGAGAATGGAAATGCTTATATCGTTCTCTTGCTCACTGCAGCTGCCAGATTGTTTTACATCATAGGTGGAAAACACAACCACCACAACAAATGATCTTATTTTTATACGCAGTAGAAATAGTTTCCTGCTGTCGAGGTACAGAGGTTGGTTCTGTAGCATAGGACAGTGGCAGGAGAACTTGAGAGCAGTACTAATAGAATCAAAAAGGAAGGGAATCAATGAAATGAGAAAAAGATAAAGTAATTACGAGACACTTGATGTGTGATGGTGGGCGGGGAGGGGAGGGCATGTTCTGAAATTCCGAAACTGTGTGAACTTTGGCTTTGGCAACGTTAAATTTCCAAACATCAGCTAGCCAGTCATGACCTCTGACAACAAGGGAACCTCTCAAGGCTGTGTGTCAGTCAGTCTGATTTAAGAGTACCACTGTTCTTTAGCTGTGTGTCCATCTGTGAAACTTAGACAAGTTCCTTTCTGCAATATTATTGCTAGGGAGCAACACTTTTAAAAGGGTCATATTGGAAGCTTGCTGGATATTCATGAGAATCATAAGACTGGATTGGACTGCCTGGCCTTTTTTTAATGGTAGCAAAACGTCAATCACTGAATAGGATATGTGTGTGCTAGCAATGCCTGTCTGTTGCAAAGGTCACAGAGATACAGTGCAGCTCCTCTCCCTTCCCTATGGAATCGCTGGCAGTGATAGGAATGCTGTCCAGGATCAGAGGTATAGACTTTGGGGAGTTGCAGCTTTAGCCCCTTTCAGTGGTGTAGCTGTTTGTTCTGTCCCACAGAACTAAATGGGGCTCTCAATATTTAATGCCATGCCCCAGATTTCATTTCTTAAGTCTTGGAGTGTAATAAAGCTCCATAAGAACTCTCCATATAAAACAAATGTCCTAACAGTCATCATGGAAATTACTAATCCTAAATTAATTTTAAAATTAAAGCATTCAGTATATGGTTGCAGAGAGAGAGAGAGAAATGGGAAAGTTGACTGTACTGTTGTTAGCAGAGGTGGTTCTAGGGGTATGGCAACTGGTATGGTCACACTGAGCTTTCAGGATGCCAGAGCAGGCATGCCAGTATCACTCTAATGGAAAGTGAGAGGCGACGGCGGCGGCGGGGGGGGGGGGGGAATGCTGTATTTGGGCGATGCACAGGGTTGCACTGAAATTTGAGATGCTAAGGTCCGCCACTGCTGTTAGAAGACAAATCTAAAGGAAACGATTTGGAAGCACCTAGATGTGTCACTGTGGCACCTGACTTAGAATATTTGGCAAGCCTAACTAAGAAAGTATGTATAGCGGCATGCCAAATAGATGTTTGAAGCAGGCACAGTTACAAAGACTCTAAGCCGAGTTCCAGAACTCCATAAATAACCAAGGCATGAGATGTTGATCTTTTACAAGAACGTTTTCCATCTCAAGAACTAGAGATTTCATCAAAGCAGTTAGTTAGCAGCCATGTAAACCTCTCTATCAGAATGGCTGCAGTCTTCACTCCAAATGCATAATTTCTTTGCACATGTGCCTGGGAGCCTTGTAGGGTGCAAAAAACACCAGGTCAACACAGTTTCTGCAGGAAACAAGGGGCTGCCCTTGCTACTTTGCTGTACTTAAGTTCTCTGTAGGAGCCATGGTGACACCTGTGCATGATGATTGGAATTTGGGCTTAAGAAGGATGTTCCTGCAGCTGAGATGAACTAGCAGACCTGAAGCTTTTCTTTTTCTTTTCTTGCCTCTGAAGCATGTGAACTTGATTCACTTGCCTAGACTCTAAGGCACAGGTAAGAAACCTGTGGCCCTACTACTCACATCTCTGACCTGGGGCTGATGGAAGTTGGAGACCATCATGGATGTCTTCCCCCAGCCCCAAGGTAATGCCTCATATTAAGTCAGACTCTTGGCGCATCCAATTATATAATGCCAGTGCTGACTGTGGCTCTCCTGGGCCTCAGTCTAGGATCCATTCAATTGAAGACCCCAGCATTAAACCTTTAAACTTTCTTTGGACAAGGCATCTGCACTGCCATTGAGCTCCTCCAACAGTGACCCATAATGGAGTCATATACCCAGCCACCACCATCTTGTTGGCATCTGCTTTCTCTTTATAATACCCAGTGGTCTTAATGACATGGGCTAATGTGTGGCAGCAAGTCAGGCTGGAGGAGCCTTCTGGGAAGGGGTTGTATTAGTTGGTCCCTGCAGTCCCTGCCAGCCCTATGATCTCATGCTTACACTGTCAAGAGTTTGTCTTATGAACCTGTGAAATCTGCAGTACAGGGACACTTGCAAAATGCAGCATTGGTTTGAGAATGCTGTTGCTCCCACCAGCAGAAGTAGAAAAATCCAAGGGTTGCATCCAGTTTGAGTTTATAGAGGATTAGATTGGCTAAAGTCTGCCCATGCCTGCTGTTTTTATGTTGTATATACATGAACATACTGCAGATATCTGGTATACCCTGTACTTGAAAGATGAATACTGTTCTTAATTGCTGCTCTGCTTCAGAGTTTATTTACGCAGAAAGTAGTACCTCATTAGAGGTTGTACTAACTTTCCTATGAACAAATGTCCCAAATCCCTGCCACTGCCCATGATGTTGAATGCTTGATCATAATTTAGTTCTTTGAGCATTGTGAACAAAACCGGCCCAAATAGCCGACAGTTTTGGGGAGTGAAAGTGTGAGAAACGCTCAAAGAGTAGCACTAGGATGTTGAAGGTAAACAAGGAAGACTCACGCATTAGTCTACAAACAGGAGCTGCTGTTTATTGGATGGAGGATTTATCAGGAAGAAGGTTTATGAATCAGGTAATAAGTAAGTAAACATCTGCTAGCACAATCCTAAACGTGTTATAACTCAGAAGCCAAACCTTAAGTTTAAGCCTGAGTTAAGTCCCAATCAACACAGTGGAGCTTACTTCTGAGCAGATATGTAGGATTACTCTCTCATGTCTTTATACTTGTAGCCTGCAAAACATTTCCTACTCCTCTAACAACACCCACCCTCCAAGGCTTCTCCTATAAGCGCTCCAATTTCCTTCACCCAATATCTTTGTCCACTCACCCAAGCAGGGAAGGTTCACATTTTGTGAACCTCTTTTTCCTCCTGTGATAGATGCTGCGCCTTCAGAGATTTTAGGTGGGTAGACTTCTTCTTTTTTTGTGGGGGAGACACTGCAGAGGGGAAAACACCCACCATGCATTCAGGCAATGTTTCCATTGCAAGCCCTTTCACAGTCTAAGCAAACTTTTTCAGCAGGGAGCTGGTCCACTGTCCCTCAGACCTTGTGGGGGGCCGGACTACTTTTTTTTTGGGGGGGGGACGAATTCCTATGCCCCACAAATAATCCAGGGATGCATTTTGAATAAAAGCACACATTCTACTCATGTAAAAACACGCTGATTCCTGGACCGTCCGCAAGCCAGATTTAGAAGGTGATTGGGCCGCATCCGGCCTCCGGGCCTTAGTTTGCCTACCCATGCTCTACAGCAGGGGTGGCCACCTCCTAAGAGACTGCAATCTGATTTCATAATTAAAATCTGGCAATGATCTACCCCTGTTTTTTAAGGGGTTCAGCTCAAAGTTGTTGAGCTTTTCTTGGGAGGAAGGCGCAGGCCCTGTTTTTGTCAGGTCAGGTCAAGGTTGTTGGTGTCAGGTCAGGTCAAGGTTGTTGGTGGGGGTTAAGGTGCAGGCTTTCTTGGGGAGGGGAGTTCTGCTTTTTGGAAGGGGAAGTAGGGGTTAAGTCACTCACATCGCTATGGATGAAAACAGTCACAAAGACGGAGCTTCGTCTTCCCTTCCTGAGTTCAAACAACAATGCAGGGCAGCACGAGGGGGCAGGGCAGGAGTCAGATTTACCAATGCAGAGGAAAGGGAGCCAAAAATTTACCGCTATCTAACAAAACATTGCAGGGATCTACCAGTAGATCGTGATTGACTTGCTGGACATCCCTGGTCTACAGCTTTGTTGTTACACCTTGTCTGAAAGTGGCATTTTTTTCCTTCCTAATAACAAAGTAATCATGATGCAGATAATCTGATTTGGCTCTGTAATGTTACTGAGAGGCAAGGAAGCTACTTCAGAGTGAGTGAAATGCCTATTCCAGATCTTTTACTGCTCATTCTGAATTAGACTTGTCAGCCCCCATCAACTGGCTGTGCATTGATGTTATTGTTACTACAAAGGAAGGCTAGTTTTAAAGCAAAATTTTGCACCGCAACTGCAGTTAGTTGGGGCAATGAATAGCACTGAACAAGCATTTTAAAAAATAGCTTTTAGAAGTCTTTCAGGAAACGTTTTGCTCACCTTCGCAAAACACCTTTTTCACACTGGAAATGTCCGTCAAAGAACATTTGGTTCTGCACTACACTTTAATAAAACTTTGCAACTTTTACAGCTGAGTTAGGTAAAGCTTAATGTGTGCAACAGAAATTTTCAAATGGTAAAAAATAGGTTCTCTTCCTGAAGCATTATGTTGTGTTTGCTGTTGTAGCAACGTCAAATCACTTGGTGCAAAAAAAAAGGGGGGGGGAGATGTTCATACATCTTAAGAGCACAGGTGTTGCTTCTGTTTTCTACTATTTCAAGAAAATGCCAGAAGGCTGTTGATATTGAATTGTTGCTACTTTATGACACAGACAGTTTAAAAAACAAACCTGAATTAGAATATTTAGGAATACATTCACTTTTTCTCAGAATAAGAGAAAAATAAGATTAGGGAATTTTCCTCAGACATTCTTAGCCGGTAGCTCAGCGCAGCTTAATTAAAAAGAAGTCCTTTGGTATCATTAATTACTTTCAGATACTACATGGGCGTAGAGTGAGAGAGACTCTTCGTAAAGTACCATAACTGGAAACAATCAGTGTTGAATCATTGTCTTGTATTACTAACAGCTTAGAGTGTGTTATACCTACCTTACCGTATGTGAAACCA